CTCCAGAGCGCTAAGGACCTCAGACTGGGGCGAACTTTCACCTTCCAACAGGACAACAACCCTAAATACACAGCCAAGACGACGCAGGAGTGGCTTCGGGACAAGTCTCTGAATGTCCTTGAGTGGCCCAGCCAGAGCCCGGACATGAACCCGTTCTAATATCTCTGCAGAGACCTGAAAATAGCTGTGCAGCGACGCTCCCCATCCGACTTGATAGAGCTTGAGAGGATCTGCAGAGAAGAATGGGAAAAACTCCCCAAATACAGGTGTGCCAAGCTTGTAGCATCATACCGAAGAAGACTCGAAGCTGTAATCGCTGCCAAAGGTGCTTCAACAAAGTACTGAGTAAAGGGTCTGAATACTTATGTAAATGTAATATTTCCGGTTGTTTTTATATACATTTGCAATGGTCATCGTCCTTCATCCATCAATTAAACACACACCACTTAGCTAATGAGACTGCACACTGTCCCGGTCCCCCATCCCTCCCCACCTGCTTTGTGTATGTGTGTGTGTGCCTGGTAGGGGGATTTCGGCGTAGGCGCACACACACACACACACACACACACACACACACACACACAGTGCTGCTGTCCGCAGTGCGTTTCCTAGTGTAATGAAGCACAGTAAGCCGATAGAGTGCCAGCTGCTTACCTGTCCTATCTCTGGGGAAACCAGGTGCATTCAACAGAGTTAAAGAACTAGGAAGATCTACTCTTACTCAGTTTGGTGTGTGTTTGTGTGTGTGTGTGTGTGTGTGTGTGTGTGTGTGTGGCACTCTATCTGCTTACTGTGCCTCATTACACTAGGGAAAGCACTGCGGACAGCAGTACTGAGTAGAGCTGGGGCGATAAACCGAAAATTATCGACACCGACCATACTAATCACTTATCTCAGGCATTTAGCTGATATCGTTCATTACGATAAGTAGCCTATACTAGAGATATTTGACATTTGAAATGAAATAAGTTAGCTAATATGAGTGAATGTTAATGGGACAATTGAGGGCTGCAACCATTTTTTTTACCCGGTAGCTAAGTTGACTGAGAACACATTCTCATTTACAGCAATGACCTGGGGAATAGTTACAGGGGAGATGAGGAGGGATGAATGAGCCAATTGGAAGCTGGGGATGATTAGGTGGCCATGATGGTATGAGGACCATTTTGGGATTTTAGCCAGGACACCAGGGTTAACACCCCTGCTCTTACAATAAGTGCCATGGGATCTTTAGTGACTACAGAGAGTCAGGACACCCGTTTAACGTCCCATCCAAAATACAGCACTCAACACAGGGCAATGTCCCCAATCACTGCCCTCAGGAATTGGGATATCATTATAATTTATTTGACCAGAGGAAAGAGTGCCTCCTACAGGCCCTTTAACACCCTCTGGTCTCTCATCCAGGGACCAACCAGGACCAACCCTGCTTAGCTTCAGGGGCAAGCCAGCAATGGGATGCAGGGTGGTATGCTGCTGGCCATCAAACTAGAAGTAGTAGTTTAAAGAATAAAAAAAACTGTGGTGCACATTCATGTTATAAAGTTATTGTTCTATTTACCGAATATCGCATCAATTCAGGCAATTTATTGCAATATGGATTTTTGTCGAAATCGGCCAGCTCTAGCACTGTGTGTGTGCATTGTTTCCCCTAGGATTTTTTCTAGCAGTGGTGGCAAAGGTAGGGGGAGGGCTGGTGGTTTCTCTTTGCTGCAGGGGGTCCAGGCGCATGATCCCCGGGAGAGTATTTCTGTAGGGTGAATGTGAGATGGTCATGTCTGGTGACCATTTTTATGTCTCTGCGTGAAGTTTGAAGGAAGTTGAAGGTAATTTCACGAGCCATTGCTAACTAGCTAACACTAGCTAACGCTAGTTAGCAACTTCCTTCAAACTGCATGCAGAGACATAAAAATGGTATCCATGAGTTCATCTGACTCTGGGTAAGTAGAAAAAAGGCTTCATTGCAAAAATCTAAGAGAGCCACGAGCGCACAGCCACCGCTTGCTCCTCATCATCTCTCTACAGTGCAGAGGCGTACGTCAGTATATTTCAGATGGTATCAACATAATTTACTTTTCATGCATTTTAGAGTCAAATGTATTTTTAAAAAGTTACCAGAAGTGACTTTCTCACAGTCGTTCTACAAAAAATACTCTCCCGGGGAGATATGTAAATCATATTTTTTGGAGTGGCGGCAATGATTAAGCAGTGTTAGCCTGCCGGTGCTAAATTAATATAGAGGTAACACTGGCCTGTGTGTGTGTGTGAAAGGCATGTTGTTTGTTAGGAGTACATGGATCCTATGGAGGTGCCTCTAAATGGCGTTCTATAAGGATGACTGAAATTGACCCACTCTAGGCCAGACCTGTGTGTGTGTGTGTGTGTGTGTGTGTGTGTGTGTGTGTGTGTGTGTGTTTGTGTGCATGCATGCCGACAGTATGTGCTTGCACTTTTGAGTGTAGTGTGTGTACTTGCAAGCAGTGTCTAGTTGGGATTTGGACCCTTTTTGCACCCTTCTCCTTCTCTCTCTTCTCTCTCTCTCTCTCTCTCTCTCTCTCTCTCTCTCTCTCTCTCTCTCTCTCTCTCTCTCTCTCTGTCCCCATCTCTGTCTCTCTCCCTCTCTCTCTCCTCCTCTCCTCCCCTTTCCCTCTCCTCAGTACCACCAGGCAGTGAGAGAAGTAGGCCGCTTAAAGATAGCTCCCGGCAGCCTCAATACTGGCTCCCAAAATACCACTGCTAGTGAGACTGATTTACTCTCAGCTCCCTCTCTCTTATAGCCAAGAGACTGGTCCTCTCATCCTTCTTTCTCTTCTCCTCCTTTTTCTCCTTCCCCCTTTTGCCACAGCTCCACCTAGAGCTTCAGTCCCTCTGAAAGACATGGGCTAACATGCAGAAAGACATCCTGGATCTGTGTGTGTGTGTATGTGCTTGCGTGCACATCTGCATGTGCACATACTGTACTACTTTAGGGCAAGTCTTCTGTGGGAATGTGTTTATGTGACTGATGTGTGAGAGTTTGTGTGACTGATGGGTGACGTGTCTTTAGTCTCAGTTCTTAGCCTCCTCTATGGAATTATGACATCAGGATTGTACCATTAGCTGTGTGTAGCAGAGGGGGGTCCCAGGCTCTATTAGTAATGCAGTGAGATGCTCAGCTATCAGGGTGCATGGTGACCTAGACTAGTGTTACCCCCCGTTGGCCCACAGCCACAGAGAATGAGGACAATTGGATGGGGTGACTCTCATGTGTGCTTAATGTACTGTGTTATACCTGCTGTTTGCTGATTTATAGAGAGGTGTGTGTGTGTGTGTGTGTGTGTGTGTGTGTGTGTGTGCGTGCGTACGTGCGTGCGTGTGTGCGTGTGTGTGTGTGTGTGTGTGCGATTCTTATCTGAGCTTGTTTAATCCCACACTCATAAAGCCCCCAGATATGGATCGCATGTGGATTTTCCAATGAAATCATCCGACCACCACTGAACACTATCCTAGCTCATACAGAACTGTTGTTCATGTGCTAATGCTAGTTACTATATCCTGTTTCACTCAGGGCTAATATCTACTGGAAAGCCTATATCCTTTCTCTGCAGCCTATGTTTCAGGCGCTGTAAAGTACATGGGCATTATGAAATGGTTTTGCCTGACCCGAATGTTTTCGTAAAGCTTGAATACATTGGGCATGGAATGCATTCAGCAGTGTGAGTGTGTGCCATGGGTGTGAGTTTGTACAGACAGTACAGACTCTTACCCGCTTAATACCCATTCCAAACGGAGGGTAATTAGTCAGTAACAGCAACCTCAGAATGCCCCTCACACACACAGACACACAGACACACAAACACACACACACACATACATACACACTGATATTTAGGTCAAATTGAGGAAAGAGAGAGAGAGAGAGAACGAGAGAGATGGGGGGAGGACAGTAGAGAGAGACCCACCCTCTGGCTACCTCTCTATGTGTTGTTCACTCATGTAGAAATAGACCCATCTGCTGGAGGGAATGTAGTGAGAAAAGAGAACACAAGCACACATTACAACCATAGAGGCAGAAAAGACAGTGTCGGAAATGGATTGAAAGAAAAAGAGAGAAACGAAGAGGGGGGAGAAGAGAAGGATGGCAGATAGAGAGGGGGGAGTCAGATCTGTGCGGCGTTGCCCCGAGATACAGGATGTCGTAATAAGGCAGAGGGGATTGAGGGAGGTAGAGAGGGAAGGAGGGAAGGAGGGAGGGCCGGACCACGCAGGGAGAGGGGGAGGAGAGAGGGCCTCAGGGAGAAGTGGTTTCGTTTTCCATTGGTCCCAGCCCTCCCACCCCCCTCTCTCTGTCAGGCAGTGGTTTGTTCCAGCTCGCTCTGGGCTCTGTTGTTGTGCAGAGCTGCAGAAGGCCTGCTAGAGCCAGCTACTGCGCTGCTGCTGTTACACAGAGAGAGAGAGAGAGAGAGAGACAGAGAGAGAGAGAGAGACAGAGAGAGACAGACAGACAGACAGACAGACAGACATACAGACAGACAGACAGACAGACAGACAGACAGACAGACAGACAGACAGACAGACAGGCAGGCAGACAGACAGACAGACAGACAGGCAGGCAGACAGACAGAGAGAGAGAGAGAGAGAGAGAGAGAGAGAGAGACCGGATTGAGACTGTGGGAGCTTGTGTGTTCATTTCATCACCCGTTTAAGAACCAACCAAGGAAGACAGAGGACGGAAGGAAGGAGACTGAAAAAGATTTCTGCTTAGCCAGCCCACATCTGTTTGTTTTCTTCTCCTCTTTCTGGGATCGTTGTCCTCCATCCTTTCTTCTCCTCTGAGAAAGAGGGAAAGAGAGAAAGCGAGAGAGGAGGAGGAGGGGAGGCAGCCCCCCCACCCTTACACAGACACACGGCACAGAACGAAAGGAGAGAGGACGAAGCAGAGAAAAGAGAGAGAGCCCGTTTTGTCGTTCCTTGCCGTCTCTGTCGCCCCTCGGCGAGCGAGCGGCTAACAGGCACCGCTCATGTCCGTGAACTCTGAGAAATCCTCGTCCCCCGAAAGGTAACATGTCTCAACGCCTTCCCCACCCCCCACCCTCCCTCTGTATGTCTGTCTGTCTGTCTCCAGTCTCTCCGTCTGTCTGTCTCTATGCCATGCATTCTGTTTGGCTGACTGTCATTCTGTTTTCTCCTCCTCCAGAATCCCCCCATATCCTCCCCCTCTTCCCCTTCCCTCCCACCCTCCTTCCCTCTCTCTCTAGCCGTCTGTCTCCTCATCTATCCATCTATCTGTCCAACTCTAGCCGGTTGTCGTCTACTGTTGTTTGTGGAGGGTGCAGTGTGCTGACACACAGAGGAGAAAAAGCGCAGTGGTCCATTGTTGCATGCTGCTGTAGCGTTTCATACAGCCAGTCGAAAAACAACAGCCACCCTATCAAATGCTCTCTGTCGGTATGTCTGTCTGTCTGTATGGCGCTGGCTGCTCCACAGCCACCAGCACATTTTAGCACAGCCACCAGCCACCAGCACACAACATTAGCACAGCCACCAGCACATCTCAGCAGGACAAAACAATCGGATGTCAATCACCAGCAGCACATCTCAAAACACATAGAAAACAACAACCGAACATCAGACTTTGTACAAACATCCAAAAACAACTGCAGTTCGCATGACAACCAGAGAGCTTGTAATGTTGTAAAACGACTGCATACTATATCTCTTGTACACACAGGACATTTTAGCATAACAACACAATCTCACTGCACAACAATCACACAACCATTACATAAACGGGTGTGCTACAACAAACCAACAGCCTATAACACAATGTTGCAACCAACATCACATCACAAGCAAAGAACAGATATCCCAACACAACAGAGCAACATTAAACCAACACATCACAATGCAACATCACAAACCAACATCACAAACCAACAGACATCACAACATCAAACCAACACAAACCAAGACATCAAATCAACACATCACAACATTACAAACCAACAAACCAACATCAAACATCAAACCAACCAAAACAACACGATATTACACATGCCGAAATAGGTCTAGTTCCGGACTAAAACACAGGAAGGAAGACATGTCCAGAACACAACATTATATACAGGTAAAAGTCAGTAAATTAGAATATTTTGAAAAACTTGATTTATTTCAGTAATTGCATTCAAAAGGTGTAACTTGTACATTATATTTATTCATTGCACACAGACTGATGCATTCAAATGTTTATTTCATTTAATTTTGATGATTTGAAGTGGCAACAAATGAAAATCCAAAATTCCGTGTGTCACAAAATTAGAATATTGTGTAAGGGTTACATTTTGAAGACACCTGGTGCCACAAAATAATCAGCTGATTAACTCAAAACACCTGCAAAGGGCTTTAAATGGTCTCTCAGTCCAGTTCTGAAGCCTACACAAACATGGGGAAGACTTCAGATTTGACAGCTGTCCAAAAGGCGACCATCGACACATTGCACAAGGAGGGAAAGACACAAAAGGTTATTGCAGAAGAGGCTGGCTGTTCTCAGAGCTCTGTGTCCAAACACATTAATAGAGAGGCAAAGGGAAGGAAAAACTGTGGTCAGAAAAAGTGTACAAGCGATAGGGATCACCGCGCCCTAGTCAAGATTGTGAAAAAAAAAACCATTCAAAAATGTGGGGGAGATTCACAAGGAGTGGACAGCTGCTGGAGTCAGGGCTTCAAGATCCACCACCAAGAGACGCTTGAAAGACATGGGTTTCAACTGCCGCATACCTCGTGTCAAGCCACTGTTGACCAAGAAACAGCGCGAAAAGCGTCTCACCTGGGCTAAGGAAAAAAAGAGCTGGACTGCTGCTGAGTGGTCTAAAGTCATGTTTTCTGACGAAAGCAAATTTTGCATTTCCTTTGGAAATCGAGGTCCCAGAGTCTGGAGGAAGACAGGAGAGGCACAGGATCCACGTTGCCTGAAGTCTAGTGTAAAGTTTCCACCATCAGTGATGGTTTGGGGTGCCATGTCATCTGCTGGTGTCGGTCCACTCTGTTTCCTGAGATCAAGGGTCAACGCAGCCGTCTACCAGCAAGTTTTAGAGCACTTCATGCTTCCTGCTGCTGACCTGCTCTATGGAGATGGAGATTTCAGGTTCCAACAGGACTTGGCGCCTGCACACAGCGCAAAATCTACCCGTGCCTGGTTTACGGACCATGGTATTTCTGTTCTAAATTGGCCAGCCAACTCCCCTGACCTTAGCCCCATAGAAAATCTGTGGGGTATTGTGAAAAGGAAGATGCAGAATGCCAGACCCAACAACGCAGAAGAGTTGAAGGCCACTATCAGAGCAACCTGGGCTCTCATAACACCTGAGCAGTGCCAGAAACTCATCGACTCCATGCCACGCCGCATTAATGCAGTAATTGAGGCAAAAGGAGCTCCAACCAAGTATTGAGTATTGTACATGCTCATATTTTTCATTTTCATACTTTTCAGTTGGCCAACATTTCTAAAAAATCCCTTTTTTGTATTAGCCTTAAGTAATATTCTAATTTTGTGACACACGGAATTTTGGATTTTCATTTGTTGCCACTTCAAATCATCAAAATTAAATGAAATAAACATTTGAATGCATCAGTCTGTGTGCAATGAATAAATATAATGTACAAGTTACACCTTTTGAATGCAATTACTGAAATAAATCAAGTTTTTCAAAATATTCTAATTTACTGACTTTTACCTGTATAAATATAGAATATGGGTTCTGTGAGCGGTGAGGGGTGGGCCATGAGGTGAGGCCAGGCATCTGACTCAGTCATCACTGATGCCATGCCAATTGTCAATGGGCAGAGCCGGCATGGCCGGCTGCCAAGAGGCCTACGCAACGCCATGCCTCAGACTGGCACACACACACACACACACACACACACACACACACACACACACACACTCTCTCATCTGCTGTGGAGTGGGCACACAGACAAACAGGAGTGAATGGGCATAGATATAGAGGATTTGGTGGTTTGGCAGTGAATGGGGATTGTATTGGCATAGAGAGAGAAGTAAGTCTCTAGCTGGACAAAGAGGAAGGGTAGATAGGTGCACTGTGCAGACACAGACACAGACACAGACACAGACACAGACACAAAAACCACTTGAAGACTATAGAATGGAAACATTCGGCTATTGACAGACAGACAGACAGACAGACAGACAGACAGACAGACAGACAGACAGACAGACAGACAGACAGACAGACAGACAGACAGACAGACAGATAGACAGACAGACAGACCCTGGTAGAGTGAAGTGGATGTCTGGTCACACACAAACATGCACACACACACATAGAACACCTCTGGACCCTGGAGGGGCAAAGTGACTTGTCTGGTATTCCTGACTCAGGATAGACAATATATTGTGGCTGGATTGCCTGGGATATCATTAATGCATGCATGTCTAATAGGACCAGGATGATACCAGTATCGCAATATTTGTTAGTAACATGGCAAGGAAACTAAACACGAAGCGGATTTATCTTCTTTAGGAAAACAGCCCTAATGTTGGAAACAAACGTTATGTTGTCATCCAGAGTCACATTTATTTATTTAACAAGCGATAGCACACAATATTTTACATACAGCAGGTTTTTAAAGGACCAAAGAGTTTGTTTGGCTTCCTGTTTTCATTTTTGCCATGGAAAGAATATTGCGATACTGGTATTGTCACAGCCCTAATGTCTAATACCACTATTAGATATCTGCACTATGAATACATCACAGCTAATGAGCAAGTGGGTGGTATTGTATCTGGAATCAGAGGATGATGATGAGAACATCAAGGATTAGCTGGAAATCCAGGTTGTCATGAATATGTTATTATGGTTTCATATGAGGATTAATGCCAACATATGAGTAGTATCAATGCTAACATATGAGTAGTATCAATGCCAACATATGAGTAGTATCAATGCCAACATATGAGTAGGATCAATGCCAACATATGAGTAGTATCAATGCCAACATATGAGTAGTATCAATGCTAACATATGAGTAGTATCAATGCCAACATATGAGTAGTATCAATGCCAACATATGAGTAGTATCAATGCCAACATATGAGTAGTATCAATGCCAACATATGAGTAGTATCAATGCCAACATATGAGTAGTATCAATGCCAACATATGAGTAGTATCAATGCCAACATATGAGTAGGACCAATGCTAACATATGAGTAGGATCAATGCCAACACATATGAGTAGGATGAATGCCAACATATAAGTAGTATCAATGCCAACATATGAGTAGGATAAATGCTAACACATATGAGTAGTATAAATGCTAACACATATGAGTAGTATAAATGCCAACACATATGAGTAGTATCAATGCTAACATGTGAGTAGTATGAATGGCAACATATATGAATAGCCTATTTACAAGCATATCAGGGCTGATACAGAATGTTTTGGCTAAAGTTAACAAAGCCTTCAATGCCTATGATTTAGGCCTATGAGTATCGGTGGGACATATGAGTGGTGGCATTTAATACATGTACCTGGGTTGATATATGAAAATGATTATATTATGCCTAATTGCTTTATCAGAGATATACATTGCAGTATGGGTATCTATGCTAATATACTTGCCACATACAGTATACAAGTCTATTAAGGCTAATATGTGAGAAGGTTTATATTGGCTAATGTATTTGCATTATTTAAAGTGTATCAGGAATAGGCCTATTCATTATTAGTCTGTGTTCTATTTAATCTCATCTGAGAGCAAGTGGAAATGCTTTATCTTGATATCTGTGTCAAATCACTATATCACTATGTTTGGGGTATCAGTGCTGTATTTTTAAAGTACCATCTGGACCCGAGGCACCGCACACACAGGTACACACATGTACATACATGAACACGTACACCCATACACTTGCTCAGTTTGGTTGAGCTGAAAGGTGTTAGCCAACAATGAGTTGAGCTGACTTGCTGAGACGCCAGCAGCGGTAGCAGCCTATCTACTTCTGTTTGAATTAGGATTGGAGGATAGATAGAGGGGGAGGATAGAGGGAGTGATGGAAGAAGTGGGGCAGGAGGAAAGCTGCGAGCGTAATGATGCTCTGTCTCTGACACATTTCGTTTTAAGCAGCAGGCAGATTTTGATGAGGGCTGTTGTGTAAGATGGCACTAGAGGCATGGCGGGGGGGGGGGGGGGGGGGGGGGGGGGTGGTTGACGTTACAATCAGCTGATTCTGGGTCAGATATCTTTCTTTCATCCCTAATGGTTATGAATAGTATGGTGAACAGGTCATCTGACACTAGATCTGTGGTTAGGGGGAAATACTACTGTACCTGGAGCCATGGCAGGGATGGATGATGAATGCAGGTGGGAAGGGAGGGATTGGGGGAGGTCGGGGGAGGGGTGTGTGTGTTGGCATCTGAGCGTTTCAGTATGTGGTAGTGTTGTGTGGTTGCAGTCTTTGTTGTATAACAGAGTGTTGTTTTAGTTCACAGCTGAGCTGGGGTGTTGGCTGGTATGCTGTTCTACATGGATGGGGTCAGGTGTTTGTGTCTGGACTGCAGTGCTTGGTTTGTTCATCATACAGAGAAAAGAAGGGGTGGCAAGGGAAATAAAAAGAAGAAGAGAGAGAGAGAGAGAAAGCGGAAGAGACAGAGAGAGAGAAAGTGAGATACAGTTGAGAGATGTCTGTCGTTAGTGCCGTGGGTAACCTCATTAGGGTGTTGGGCTGCTGGAGCCTGACACACCTGCAGCCTCTGTGAAAGGTTATGTCAACCACTGGGCCCCAGGTGGTTTTTTTTTTTGTTTGTGATTTTACCCCATTTTTCTCCCCAATTTCGTGGTATCCAATTGGTAGTTATAGTCTTGTCCCATTGCTGCAACTCCCGTACGGACTCGGGAGAGGCGAAGGTCGAGAGCCGTGCGTCCTCCGAAACACAACCCAACCGAGCCGCACTGCTTCTTGACACACTGCTCACTTAACCTGGAAGCCAGCCGCACCAATGTGTCGGAGGAAACACCGTACACTTGGCAACAGTGTCAGCGTGCACTGCGCCTGGCCCGCCACAGGAGTCGCTAGTGCGCGATGGGACAAGAACATCCCTGCCGGCCAAACCCTCCCCTAACCTGGACGACGCTGGGCCAATTGTGCGCCGCCCATGGGGCTCCCGGTCGCGGGACTGACTGTGTTTTAAATGTGATTACTGGAGCTGCCACTCCGAGACAGAGAAAGAACAGAGGAGGAGTGATAGAAAGGGAGGAGGAGACAAAGCATTTGGATAGAGAGAAGGAGGAGAAACAGAGGGAGATGGAGGAGTGAGAGGCACCACACAAAGAGACCCCAGTGAAGGACAGAACGGTGTCAGCTCCTCCCACCTTCACATACAGCGTCTGTTTAAATGAACAGATAGTGAACTGATTTGAAGGAACTGATAGCAAGGGCCAGAAAACACAGACCTAGGCCACGTCCCATTGGTGCTAGCTAGCGAGCCTCCTTTCCCCAATCACCACTGATCTGACACAAGTCGATAGCCAATGAAGGTCGGACACAGACAGAAACAGAGACCTAGGCCACGTCCCAAGAATCTCAAACAGCCTCACGTCCCCCTCGACCACTAATCTGAAATAAGAGGATAAGACAAAGGGAAAGTAAAAGGAGACGAGGAAAGGCTGCCGTAGTAGAGTATTGGACCACAGCCAGCCAGCCGAGAAAGCCCAGTCAGGCCAGCATAAGTCACATCTGGAGCAGCCATGATCCCTCCCAGACAGACAGTCCATTCAGTTCCCACTTCATCTTCTGCGTGCAGTGTGACCCACATCACATCCCTGCACCCAGGCTGGCTGCTTCATAGATAACCACAATAGCATAGCAGCTAATGAAGCGTGATATAGTGCTAGAGACTTGCCAGGGCCCCCATTAGCCCCTTTTCTTTCTCTTGCTCTCTGTGTCTGCAGCATGCCTCTCTTGGTTTCCCTCTCTTTCTCTTTGTGTCTGGCCAGTCGCCATCTCCCTGTTTCCATTCTCTTTCCATTTCCCTCTCTATCTAGCTTTATGTATCCATTTCTTTCTCTATATTCAATTTCTCTCTCTTTTGTCTCGTTCTCTCTCTGTGTCAGAAGGGTCAGTGGCAGACCAGACATGGCCCAAATGGCCTCTGTCTGTAGAATCAGAAGAAGTGACTGTTCTTGTCTGTCAGCTAGTGGCAGTCTGTTTCCTCAAAGGGCTTGGTTAATTAGAAGGGCCATAAAATTACAATGGGATTTTCTTCTCTATGTATTATAATTCTAAATGTGTCTAACCTGGGAACATGTCAAACAGGGCCTTGAGCAGAATGAACAAGACACACCGCACGACACCCCCGAGGCGTGGTCATGTCATCCCGCAGTAGTCAGAATCCATCTGGTTCAGGTGTCACACGCAGGTCGCTAGGGTTCAAGGAAGTCCAGGGTTAAAGTTTATTGTTGAGGGACAGATGAGTTCTTCCATAGCCTGACTGACAGTCTGTTTGTGCTATCATGCTATCACTGACAATATGAGGCTGTAGGTCTGCCATACACTGAACAGTCAACTATTCAACCTCTGTTTAATCACCTATAGATGTTTTCTCAATGGCTTATGTTTCCATGTCATGGTCATATCATGAAGGATTACTTCCACAAATACTGTAGAAGCCATAAAAAATATATTTTGGCATCTGTCTGAGTAACAACACTTTACTATCATTATACAGGTCTGGTATCACGATCATCTAAACTATTCCCCCCCCCCCCCCCCCCTTCTGCTGCACTTGAATAAAATGGCTTGTGTGTCTTTAGGTCTGATAGCACACTGTGACCCTGTTGACTCAGTATGTTTACATGCAATGGTTTCCTCTGGGACCAACCATTTACTCTCTCTCTCTCTCTCTCTCTCTCTCTCTCTCTCTCTCTCTCTCTCTCTCTCTCTCTCTCTCTCTCTCTCTCTCTCTCTCCTCTCTCTCTCTCTCCTCTCTCCTCTCTCTCTCACTCTCCTCTCCTCTCACTCTCACTCTCTCTCTCTCTCTCTCTCTCTCTCTCTCTCTCTCTCACTCTCCTCTCCTCTCTCTCTCTCTCCTCCTCTCTCACTCTCCATCTCTCCTCTCTTCTCTTCTCTCTCTCTCTCTCCTCCTCCACTCTCACTCTCTAATCCTCACCCCACTACTCACTCTTCTCTCATCTCTCTCAATTCATATCTTCATCTCTTCTCTAGTTCAGGGATGTCTTTACTCAAATTGTCTTCGTTTTCGAATTCTTTTGTCGCTGTATCTGATGGGAAATGTGTTCAGTGGTCACTTGGCGAGTGTTCTTCAATTATTCTTTAGGGCTTTATCTGGCATGGGACTGTGTGTCCTGATTCATGTGTCAGCATCATCGCAGTTTAACGCCTAGATCCTGGTTCGAATTCCAGCTCTTCGTCCGCCGGCCGTGACCGGAGACTCATGGGCGGCGCACAATTGGCCCAGCGTCGTCCAGGGTAGGGGAGGGAATGCCGCGGGTTTCTCAGTTGATAAGCATGCTGTTTGCAACGCCAGGGTTGTGGGTTTGATTCCCACGGGGGGCCAGTATAATGTATTCACTAACTGTAAGTCGCTCTGGATAAGAGCGTCTGCTAAATGACTAAAATGTAAATGTAAAATGTGTTAACATTGCCAAAGCAAGCTACTCTCTCTCTGTCTCTCTCTCTGTCTCTCTCTCTCTCTCTCTCTCTCTCTCTCAGTGTTTGTTTCCAACTGAGTGGGTTTCTGTTACTTCCAGTGGAACCTGATCTGGTCCAGTAACCCCAGTCAGACAGTCAGTCCTAATGATAGGCTGGTTTGGAGGAGGAGGTCCATCATGACTTAACTAGCTGACTCACTGACTGACACCTGATTGTCTGGTCATTACAGTATATTCAACTGCTGTGTCATTTTCAATATATACAGAAATATTAGTAGTAGTAGGAGTACCACATCTAACAATCAGCTAGAATATTACTGATATGTATGGTTGGTAACATACTGTACTTTTTACCTCCAAGCTAACATACCTTTGTAAATGAACTTTGCAGAGGAAGGGAAGTGGAGGGAGAGAGGGACAGAACGATCCAGAGAGTGACTCAGGAAATGTGGATTTAGGAGGAGAGGAGAGGAGGAATGTGGCACAATGATCGCCTTGGAACAGAGATGTCCTGATGGAGGGCTTAAAAGAGAGATGGAGAGCTGAAAAGAGAGAGAGACAGATAGTGGAACAGAGAGAGAGAGAGAGAAAAAGAAAGGAACAGAGACAGAGGGACAGCATAAGAGAGAGATGGAGAGAGATAGACAAAGAGAGGGAAACAGAGAAGAGAGAGAGAGAGAGAGAGACCGAGAGAGAGAGACCGAGAGAGATAGAAAGATAGTTATAGAGAGAGAGCCCTCTGAAGATTAGGAGTGTAGGGGTAAACTCTCGGTCACCAGAGGCCTAATATCTGTGCTGATATAGCTGCTGTATTAAAGCACTGGAATGATAATGGTATTTTTGTTTGTTTACGTGTGTGTGTGTCGGCTTGCGGGTCTGTGTTTGTCTGCGTGTGTGTATGTGAGTGCTTTTGTGTGTGTGTGCATTTGTGTGTGTGTGTACCGTCCCAGGTGGCGTGGCTGTAAGTGCCCAGCATGAAGGCCTACTATAAATCTCTTAGTTCCTGCTGCCCCCTGCCACACACACACATACTCCCGTCCCTCCCACCCTGCCAGAGCCACAGCCCCAGAGCCCCACAGGCTGGCCAGAGACACACAGAGAGTAGATACAGAGCCCCTATATGCCTCTGTGCGTGCATTCGCGCGTGTGTGCGCATGCGTGCGTGTGCGTGCGTGCGTGTGCATGGCTACGTGAGGTCCAATGCATGATAGGCAGGGCCATTAGCAGCTAGGTGAGAGAGCACCATGTGACTGGGCTTGGAATTCTGGGCCTGGCCCTCTCTGCTTGGCGAACACAGTGTGTGTGGCACACACACAGCGTCTTCTCCTCAGCTCGACCACATCTTAGAGGACTGCCCCGTCTGACGGTCCGTGTGTGTCAGTCTGTCCGTCCACCTTTTCACCCATCCGTCCATCCATCTCTCCATCCTTCTCTATGGATCGTAGTCCATCTAGGCCCAAGTCTTGGGGCCTGGCTATGAGCGTGCTGAGGCTACGACACAGAGCCTTCAAAAACAGGTAGATGAACAGGGAGGGAGGGAGGGGGCAAGATTAGATGATTGGTAGGTCTCTGTGGGAGAGAGGTCTGACTATCTGTACTGAATGTGTTGGGGGTTAGAGGTAAAATGGTAGTAGGATGGGGGTTTGAAATAATTTCACTATTCAAATAGTATCATTAATTTTTGTCGGATATCCGGATATTCGAAATTCATGTGTTTTTTAAAACTTAAGTTTTTAACATGAGCACTGCTGCGCGAGGGAGCGAGGCTGGCACTCTTATTGCTGCAGCTGTGGAGGGGGTGGTGTGTGAGATGGGAGCGAGCCGAGCAGACAGAGGGAGAGAGAGAGATGGAGTAATGACAGCCAAGGCAGCTCGGCTAAAGCCAAGACTAGCTAACTTGTAGCAGCCACAATGTTATTTACCATCCCATATAACAGTGCCTGTCTTGACTGGAGTAGCCTAGAGAAGCTAGCCAGCTAGCTAAGTTAGCCAGCTATAGCTAGCTAGGCTAATTGAGGCCACATGCTGCGCTTTCTCCCCAACCCCATTCAGATAAAACAACAGCCTACCTGTTGGTTGTTCGTTGTAGCCTACTCCTTCTCATTTCACTAACTTTAAATTTCGTAATGTTAATCCATCTTGCATTGCATTAATGAACGCTCACTCAACTTGCTACACATTGAGCTACCAGCCTTTTTATGTGCACATCATAAAAACTAAATTGAAAAGTTTGTTGTTTTATTTAATTAATCATTTTAAATGTCATGGTATATCCTTGTAGTATGTAACAATGTCATATGGATATCTTAATTACATTTAGAAAGAGCCTTTTCAGTGTTAAAATATGCCTCAAATTTTAGTTTCTCACAAAAATGAATACTCACACAAGTATTCGAATACTAACGTCCGTTCAAATATTTCAGTAACCTTGCACATCCCTAGAGGGTAGTGAAGGCATTTTGTGTGTGCGAGTGTGCGCTTGTGTGCATACGTGCGTCCCACCGTGCGTGCCTGCACTTTTTTGTGGAGGATGCTGAGCAACCATGTGACAGTCCAAATGAAAAAACACATTCACAATGGGATAACATCTAAACAACGTTGTATTTAGATATCAGGTGGTGATGTTGCCTCAACATTGTTACTATGAAGTCCTGAAAACATTCAGCCTAAACCCTCACGCAACACTTTAACAACATTCATTGGTCAGATGTTTACTTTTGTACAACCGTAATGCAAACTGTAAACACCTAGGGAAGGTAATTGTGTTGTGTATAGAATTCCATCAGATGCACTAAGAGCAGCCCAGGCTGTGTGTTTCTATAGAGTGTGTTTCTCTTTCAGAGCTAGCATGCAGCAGTCTTCCTCCTCTTATCAGCTTGGAAGTAATTGACCTCCATAATGGCCATGGCTCCCTTTGACATCACTGGATGAATATGGATGTGAATACACTGTATGAGTGGTTGAATGATACAGTACTTAGTGGTATTCTGTAGCTAGATACTGTTTGGGAATGTGTCTTGATATGTGGAAGAATGTAGCTATTATACTGTAACTCTTCAGGGTTGTTTGTGGTCACATCACGGCCTAGGCGAATGGCTGGATGTTCAGCAATGCATACACACACGCACATGAACATATAACTTAAATCCTTTCTACCTCATTTCTACCAGCATGTTAAATGTGCAACCAGAGGAAAAAAAACTCTAGACCACCTTTACTCCATTTAACATTTAAATTTTTTGTCATTTAGCAGATGCTCTTATCCAGAGCGACTTACTCCACACACAGAGACGCATACAAAGCTCTCCCTCGCCCTCCATTTGGCAAATCTGACCATAACCCTATCCTCCTGATTCCTGCTTATAAGCAAAAACTAAAGCAGGAAGCACCAGTGACTCGGTTAATAGAAAAGTGGTCAGATGACGCAGATGCTAAGCTACAGGACTGTTTTGCTAGCACAGACAGGAACATGTTCCGGGATTCTTCAGATAGCATTGAGGAGTACAGCACATCAGTCACTGGCTTCATCAATAAGTGTATCGATGACGTCATCCCCACAGTGACCATACGTACATACCCCAACCAGAAGCCATGGATTACAGGCAACATCCGCACTGAGCTAAAGGGTAGAGCTGCCGCTTTCAAGGAGCGGGACTCTAACCCGGACGCTTATAAGAAATCCCGCTATGCCCTCCGACGAACCATCAAACAGGCAAAGAGTCAATACAGGACTAAGAATCGTACTACACCGGCTCTGACGCTCGTCGGATGTGGCAGGGCTTGAAAACTATTACAGACTACGAAGGGAAGCGCAGCAGCGAGCTGCCCAGTGACACAAGCCTACCAGACGAGCTAAACCACTTCTATGCTCGCTTCGAGGCAAGCAACACTGAAGCATGCATGAGAGCACCAGCTGTTCCGGATGACTATATGATCACGCTCTCCGTAGCCGATGTGAGTAAGACTTTTAAGCAGGTCAACATTCACAAGGCCGTAGGGCCAGACGGATTACCAGGACATATACTCCGAGCATGTGCTGACCAACTGGCAAGTGTCTTCACTGACATGTCCCTGACTGAGTCTGTAATACCAACATGTTTCACCATAGTCCCCGTTGCCCAAGGGCACTAAGATAACCTGCCTAAATGACTACCAACCCGTAGCACTGACGTTTGTAGCCATGAAGTGCTTTGAAAGGCTGGTCATGGCTCACATCAACACCATTATCCCTCAGTTTCCTGTAGTCTACGATCAGCTCCTTTGTCTTGCTGACATTGAGGGAGAGGTTGTTGTCCTGGCACCACACTGCCAGGTCTCTGACCTCCTCCCTATAGGCTGTCTCATCGTCGTTGGTGATCAGGCCTACCACCGTCGTGTCGTCTGCAATCTTAGTGATGGTGTTGGAGTCGTGCGCGGCCACGCGGTCGTGAGTGAACAGGGAGTACAGGAGGGGACAAAGCACACACACCTGAGTGGCACCCGTGTTGACGGTCAGCATGGCAGACGTGTTGTTACCTACCCTTACCACCTGGGGGCGGCTCGTCAGGAAGTCCAGGATCCAGTTGAGGGAGGTGTTCAGTCCCAGGGTCCTTAGCTTATTGATGAGCTTGGAGGGCACTATGATGTTGAACGCTGAGCTGTAGTCAATGGACAGCATTCTGACATAGGTGTTCCTCTTGTCCAGATGGGAAAGGGCAGTGTGGAGTGCAATGGAGATTACATCATCTGTGGATCTGTTGGGATAGTATGCGAATTGGAGTGGGTCCACGGTGTCTGGGATGATGGTGTTGATGTGAGCCATGACCAGCCTTTCAAAGCATTTCATGTCTACAGATGTGAGTGCTACAGGGCGATAGTCATTTAGACATGTTTCCTTGGCATTCTTGGGCACAGGGATTATGGTGGTCTGCTTGAAACATATAGGTATTAGAGTCTGGGTCAATTGCCAGCTGGTCAGTGCATGCTTTGAGTACGTGTCCTGGTAATCTGTCTGGCCCTGCGACCTTGTGTTTAAAGGTCTTACTCACATCGGCTTCGGAGAGCGTGATCACACAGTTGTCCAGAACAGCTGGTGCTCTCATCCATGGTTCAGTGTTGAATTAAACAGAGGTTACTGTAATAGCGAGGTTGGTGTGTTTAGTTGGTTAGTGGAACGGTAGTATAAAGATTCTGCACAGTATATGTTACAGCGCTAATGGCCGGACTGAATTTTTCTTAATATATTGTACACAGAGAGAACCAAAATGGTGAGCTAGGTGTGTGGACAGTAATGTATTGCACTGCAGATCCGTAATTGCCAATATATGGTAATTTTTTAGTACAGATACCTGTAGACTCAGATCTATAATCGTGTGGTAGGTGAGTGGTAATGCACAGATTCATCATGGCAGGTATGGATAGTGTGGGGGCAGTGCTGCGTGACGTCAGGCAGGCAGGCTATAGCCTGAAATAGCAGTGAGATCTCACTTCCCTGTCCTGTGCAGAGCAGCAGACATACCGGAGGAGAGGAGCGAATGAGTCAGCTTGCCTAACCTGCTGCTGGAAGAGACTGATAGGGATGGAGAGATATGGACGGAGAGGGAGAGAGAGAATTAAAAAAGGTCTTCATTCAACTACAGTAGCCTATACTGTATATGTCTGTCTTACTTAATAGTTCTCAGTTTTTCTCAATTTGTCACTGAGGTGACAGCGACATTCCATAACTGATGCTAAGTTGACTGACAGTTGTGGTCAGGCTTCAAAGTGTTACCCATAGAGATCCTATAATTTACTGAATTATAGGATCTGTGTTACCGATAGAATCCATATTCCTTATTTCTATGGTATTACGTACTAGATGACAACAGTGTGTTCAGTAACCACTAGGTCTATGTTTCCCATTTGAAATGGTTTAACCCCTAGGTGACATCTGCCTAGAGGTACCAGGATGTTCAGGTCAGACATGATGATAACAGGCCTAATCAATAGGTTACCTAGGTGACAGTGGTGTTCCATCGCTATTAAATGTGTTTGCTTGTTGACAGTCATGCTCAGTATTCAGTACGTTACTTTGGTGCGAGGTAATCAATATGTGAAGATGGTTTTAAGGATAGACGTTACTGAGTGAACAGGGGTATACTGAGATTGTTGTATCTGAAATGAAGAGGCACACTGCTGCCTGCATGATGATATTTAGGCTGTTGACAAGTCTTCAGCTCTCATATATCAACTACTATTAAACCTTAAAGATCTTCATTGCGCACATACTGAATATACAAAACATTAAAAACATGACATAGACCGACCAGGTAAATCCAGGTGAAGCTATGATCCCTTATTGATGTCACTTGTTGAATCCACTTCAATCAGTGTATATGAAGGGGAGGAGATAGGTTAAAGAAAGATTTTTAAGCCTTGAGACAATTGAGACATGGATTTTGTATGTGTGCCATTCAGAGGGTGAATGTAAGTGCCTTTGAACGGGGTATGGTAGTAGGTGCCAGGCGCACCTGTTTGTGTCAATAACTGCAACGCTGCTGGGTTTTTCATGCTCAATAGTTTCCCGTGTGTATCAAGAATGGTCCACCACCCAAAGGACATCCAGCCAACTTGACACAACTGTTGGAAGCATTGGAGTCAACATGGGCCAGCATCCCTGTGGAACGCTTTCGACACCTTGTAGAGTCCATGTCCTGACGAATTGAGGCTGTTCTGAGGGCAAAAAGGGGGGTGCAACTCAATATTAGGAAGGTGTTCCTAATGTTTGGTAGATACTCAGTGTATTTGGAAGGAACCCATGGTGTATACAGTATGACCATATATCCAAAGAACTGCATAGGTTTTCACAGACACAGAATTAGGGATTTCGAGCTGACAGACAAAGACAGCTTCTTAGCTTTTCTCATGTCTTTCTCTCCCATTTAGCAGGGGAATGAATGATTAACAATGTTGAATAATTTTATAAGTATCACTGTGCTCTGCTCTGACACGCTCACACTGAGAAGTGATTTGCTTAAACAACTACTGGTACATTTCAGTGTGCCTTTCCTCTAGCTTTATTCCATTTTTTTCCCTGGATACTCTGTTCTACTCTCTCTCCAACCTCCATGTCTCTCAACTCCTATTCCTTTCCCTGTTTTTATTGATGTCTTTTTATTTAACCCTCATTTTACCAGGTAAATTGACTGAGAACACATTCTCATTTACAGCAACGACCTGTGGAATAGTTACAGGGGAGAGGAGGGGGAATGAATGAGCCAATTGGAAGCTGGGGATGATTAGGCAGCCATGATGGTATGAGGGCCAGATTGGGAATTTTGTATAAGTGTATAAGTGAACATGCTATCTTTTCTCTAAAGGTCAAAAAAGGCTTTTACAGTGGGGGAAAAAGTATTTAGTCAGCCACCAATTGTGCAAGTTCTCCCACTTAAAAAGATGAGAGAGGCCTGTAATTTTCATCATAGGTACACGTCAACTATGACAGACAAAATGAGATTTTATTTCTCCAGAAAATCACATTGTAGGATTTTTAATGAATTTATTTGCAAATTATGGTGGAAAATAAGTATTTGGTCAATAACAAAAGTTTCTCAATACTTTGTTATATACCCTTTGTTGGCAATGACACAGGCAGGGACGGCTTGTTCAATAGGGCGATATGGGCGACGCACTGCCAAACGGGAAAAGGAAGGGATTTTTTTTCTAATCAATTATATCACGGCAACAGTAGTTATCAGTGTTGTAATCTGATCTGACTGCCACTAAATGTCAAATCAGGCTAAAGTCGTGCTTCAAATGGCCCCGCCCGTTTTTGGGGCGATTTCAGTCAGGTTGAAAATCGCCCAGAAGTCTCTCATAGCCTGTCATGTAAAATCTATTTTTTTTCAAATTTCAAAGCTCTCAATGCATTCTCTATGGGTGTCTGTGGGCTTGCACTTACGCGCTTTCGTCATACGTGACTTAACCATGAACGTAACTAAGACAATAGCGGCTAGCAGCGTCTCTGTTGCGACCTGCAGTGTGGCGTTATTTTATGTTTTTAATTTGTAGACTTAGTTTACAAACATTCTGCCAACCATGGATTTCCAGTGGTTGGTTTTGGACTGATCTTGTTGATCGTGTACATACCCGCTACGAACGGACTAAATAATGAAAACGCTGCTGGCAGCGGAATCCCAATACAGCTGGGAGACTTGGCTGGATGACAGAGTCCCGGACAGAGAAGTGGAGCCGGCCGGCTTCACCCTGGTCAGAGCGGACCGCGATCCTGGTAAGAGAGCGACTCTGTACCCCGACATTGAACTGCTTTCTGTTGAACTTGTGTCATCCGTGAGTTCCCCCAATTGTTTGTTACCGTTGTGTACTGTTGATAATCACAAGTTTACTGGAGAACTGAGACCAAGTAGAGACTTTGGACAGGGTGGATATGGTATAATAAAGGCAGTTTATTCAGAGGTAAAGATATCTGGAATCGCGTGCACGGACTCGTTCGTCAAACTCTTAGGGAGAAGAGAGCCCCGAAAACATTGTGTGCAGACATTTTATACAATAAATGATGTAGGTTGAATCTAGTAGTTCTGATCTTCTGATTGGTCCTGATGAGTTGGGCGAGGTCCCCTCCACTGTTGCATTGGCTCTGAGTCGGGTTCTCTGTCTTCAAATGTTCAGCCTAAAGAGAGGGGATTTGTGTGTGTGTGTGTGTGTGTGTGTTTAACAGTGATGATGTGTGTGTGTGTGTGTGTGTTATCAGTGATGATGTGTGTGTGTGTGTGTGTGTGTGTGTGTGTCCTCAGAGCAAGAACTCGTGAGTTGGAAGAACTGAGAGACCTATGGCGTGGGTGTTGTCCTTGGCCACCTGCTGACAAGGCTGACAAGATAGGACTCTTTTGTCCATTGTTATAGGATAGGAACAGCATTGATTGAAAACAAACGCCCAACACAAAATGGGTCATGCACAAGATTTTAGTCAGACCAAGCTATAACATTATATATTTACTACGACAGTACATTCAACCAAAAGCTAATATAACAAAGGCATCAGAGATTATTTATAATCTGTCACAGAAACTGGAATCCATCTCTCCAGATCAGTCAATAAATGCTTCTGGTATTGACTTATATGCTGCCCCTGTCTTCATGTTGTTGCTGGACATATCTTTTTTAAAATGTGTGTAGGTCACCTAAATCATCAGAAAAATTGCCCCTCCTGAGAATTTTTTCAGGAGCCGCCACTGGACACAGGTCAAACGTTTTCTGTAAGTCTTCACAAGGTTTTCACACACTGTTGCTGGTATTTTGGCCCATTCCTCCATGCAGATCTCCTCTAGAGCAGTGATGTTTTGGGGCTGTCGCTGGGCAACACGGACTTTCAACTCCCTCCAAAGATTTTCTATGGGGTTGAGATCTGGAGACTGGCTAGGCCACTCCAGGACCTTGAAATGCTTCTTACGAAGCCACTCCTTCGTTGCCCGGGCGGTGTGTTTGGGATCATTGTCATGCTGAAAGACCCAGCCACGTTTCATCTTCAATGCCCTTGCTGATGGAAGGAGGTTTTCACTCAAAATGTCACGATACATGGCCCCATTCATTCTTTCCTTTACACGGATCAGTCGTCCTGGTCCCTTTGCAGAAAAACAGCCCCAAAGCATGATGTTTCCACCCCCATGCTTCACAGTAGGTATGGTGTTCTTTGAATGTAACTCAGCATTTTTTGTCCTCCAAACACGACGAGTTGAGTTTTTACCAAAAAGTTCTATTTTGGTTTCATCTGACCATATGACATTCTCCCAATCCTCTTCTGGATCATCCAAATGCACTCTAGCAAACTTCAGACGGGCCTGGACATGTACTGGCTTAAGCAGGGGGACACGTCTGGCACTGCAGGATTTGAGTCCCTGGCGGCGTAGTGTGTTACTGATGGTAGGCTTTGTTACTTTGGTCCCAGCTCTCTGCAGGTCATTCACTAGGTCCCCCCGTGTGGTTCTGGGATTTTTGCTCACCGTTCTTGTGATCATTTTGACCCCACGGGGTGAGATCTTGCGTGGAGCCCCAGATCGAGGGAGATTATCAGTGGTCTTGTATGTCTTCCATTTCCTAATAATTGCTCCCACAGTTGATTTCTTCAAACCAAGCTGCTTACCTATTGCAGATTCAGTCTTCCCAGCCTGGTGCAGGTCTACAATTTTGTTTCTGGTGTCCTTTGACAGCTCTTTGGTCTTGGCCATAGTGGAGTTTGGAGTGTGACTGTTTGAGGTTGTGGACAGGTGTCTTTTATACTGATAACAAGTTCAAACAGGTGCCATTAATACAGGTAACGAGTGGAGGACAGAGGAGCCTCTTAAAGAAGAAGTTACAGGTCTGTGAGAGCCAGAAATCTTGCTTGTTTGTAGGTGACCAAATACTTATTTTCCACCATAATTTGCAAATAAATTCATTAAAAATCCTACAATGTGATTTTCTGGATTTTTTTCTCTCAATTTGTCTGTCATAGTTGACGTGTACCTATGATGAAAATTACAGGCCTCTCTCATCTTTGTAAGTGGGAGAACTTGCACAATTGGTGGCTGACTAAATACTTTTTTCCCCCACTGTATATGTGAATGTGTGAGACGGTTACCTCCCCATAATTAAGGCTGGCCACAAGACATGCTTTGATAGGGATGGGCTTTGGAAATGTAATGCAGGGACTCTAAATGCCTTTGCTGGGTGTGACAGTGGAAGTGTGTGTGTGTTCGTGGAGAGTTAGAGAGAACAGGCTCTTCAGTACTGTATGTGTTTTGTCTTCCGCACACTACTCTGGCCTTTATTAGTGGTGTGCAGTTCACGAACGATTCATTCTTTTTGAACAACTCTTTTTACTGACTCTAGAGTCATGATTCGTTTTTCTGAGTGACTCGTTCATTTTAGTCATTTCTTTGACCTGCTGACTGGCCGCGATGAATTCTACAGCAGGATTTATACGCGCTCATCCGGCTCTGTGGCTCCGGAGACGTGCTCTGATCACAAACTGTCTATCATGTGCGCACAGAAAAATAGATCATGCATAGAGAAGAAAAATACAGATTTAGAACTGATAATTGATCGCATGGTGCAAGAATGAATGCAATTAATTGATTATTCAATGTTATCGGTGGACACCTTTGTAGAACCATAACAAACACATGCCTCTGCTCAATACTTGAGAACTAATCGTTTGGGGGGCAGCTGCAGTTCGCAAACGATATTGTGCTAATCTCTCTCGCGGCAGTCAAGCAGAGAGCATTCCGCCAAGAGTCGTTCACAATCTAGTTTGGTTGCAGCCGCAACTAGGCTAGAGCTCGTTTCAAAGCTATCAATTAATCATCTTATTTGTATGCCTCTCTCTCTTGTTTGAAGCACACTTTTATAAGTCTCAGTCACAAATGACAATGACAATAAGCCCCTTACGGTGAATCATGATTCTTTCTAGTTTTTAGTTCATCATTCGCCAAGTATTGGGTCATGCGTGCTCTGGGCATTACTGAATCAAATGAACGAAATTAGTCGAAAGATTAGTTATTTTGACTGAACGAGTTGAAAACATCGGAGTCAGTAAAAAAAAACTTCCCATCACTAGCCTTAAGTGAGTTGAGTTCTGGGCATGTCCACACACACAGAAAGGTGTTACAGGGTGGAAAATGCTTCCCACTCTAATTTACATGTCTGAGAGAGAGTCCTGTCTGGACCCGCTCAACACACACACACACAGGACATTCCACAGAGCACCAGGCAGGTCTCTTGCACCCACGCTACCCTGAGGTGGGGCAGTGCTTACACACACATGGTCACACACACACATGGTCACACACACACATGTGAACTCTCTGTTACCATGTACAGTGCATTCGGAAAGTATTCAGACCCCTTGACTGAAATATTACATTTACATAAGTATTCAGACCCTTTAATCAGTACTTTGTTGAAGCACCTTTGGCAGCGATTACAGCCTTGAGTCTTCTTGGGTATGACGCTACAAGCTTGGCAGACCTGTATTTGGGGAGTTTCTTCCATTCTTCTCTGCAGATCCTCTCAAGTTCTGTCAGGTTGGATGGGGAGCGTCGCTGCACAGCTATTTTCAGGTCTCTCCAGAGATGTTCAATCGGGTTCAAGTCCGGGCTCTGGCTGGGCCACTCAAGGACATTCAGAGGCTTGTCCCGAAGCCACTCCTGCGTTGTCTTGGCTGTGTGCTTAGCGTCGTTGTCCTTTTGGAAGGTGAACCTTCGCCCCAGTCTGAGGTCCTGAGCGCTCTGGAGCAGGTTTTCATCAAGGATCTCTCTGTATTTTGCTCCGTTCATCTTTCCCTCGATCCTGACTAGTCTCCCAGTCCCTGCTGCTGAAAACTACCCCACAGGATGATGATGCCACCCCCATGCTTCATCGTAGGGATGGTGTAAGGTTTCCTCCAGATGTGACGCTTGGCATTCAGGCCAAAGAGTTCAATCTTGGTTTCATCAGAACAGAGAATCTTGTTTCTCATGGTCTGAGAGTTGTTTAGGTGCTTTTTGGCAAACTCCAAGCAGGCTGTCATTTGCCTTTTACTGAGGAGTGGCTTCCGTCTATCATAAAGGCCTGATTGGTGGAGTGCTGCAGAGATGGTTGTCCTTCTGGAAGGTTCTTCCATCTCCATAGAGGAACTCTGGAGCTCTATCAGAGTGACCATCGGGTTCTTGGTCACCTCCCTGACCGAGGCCCTTCTCCCCCGATTGCTCAGATGGCCGGGCGGCCAGCTCTAGGAAGAGTCTTGGTGGTTTCAAACTTCTTCCATTTAAGAATGATGGAGGCCACTGTGTTCTTGGAGACCTTCAATGCTGCAGACATTTTTTGGTACCCTTCCCCAGATCGGTGCCTCAACACAATCCGGTCTCGGAGCTCTACGGACAATTCCTTTGACCTCATGGCTTGGTTTTTGCTCTGACATGCACTGTCAACTCTGGGACCTTATGTAGACAGGTGTTTGCCTTTCCAAATCATGTCCAATCAATTTAATTTACCACAGGTGGACTCCAATCAAGTTGTAGAAACATCTCAAGGATGATCAATGGAAACAGGATGCACCTGAGCTCAATTTCAAGTCTCATAGCAAAGGGTCTGAATACTTATGTAAATATGATATTTCAGGTTTTTGTTTTTAATACATTTGCAAACATTTCTAAAAACCTGTTTTTGCTTTGTCATTGTAGGGTATTTACGGTGTGTAGATTGATGAGGAGAAAAAACGATTTAATCAATTTTAGAATAAGTCTGTAACGTAACAAAATGTGGAAAAAGGGAAGGGGTCTGAATACTTTCGAATGCACTGTATGTAATAATAATAATAATAATAATATGCCATTCAGCAGATGCTTTTATCCAAAGCGACTTACAGTCATGTGTGCATACATTTTTACGAATGGGTGGTCCCGGGGATCGAACCCACTACCCTGGCGTTACAAGCGCCATGCTCTACCAATTGAGCTACAGAGGACCACTCTATGTACACACTATACACACTCCAGTTGTAACCTATTGTAACCTATTGTAACCAGTTGTAACCACACTATGTACACACTATACAAACTCCAGTTGTAACCTGCAACCTCAATACCTCTCTCTCACCCTGTGGGTTCTTGTGCTGTAATTACACTGCTTATACCAATGTGACAGTCAACCATCTAGAAAACCAACAGCCACAAAATAAACCGTTAATGCATTTGTCCTGAGGAGAAAGTAGCTAGCTGTATTCTCCTACTGCTGTGTCAGCTGGCTTCAGCCTGGTCTGGTATGTCTGCAATGAGGAGAATGGCAGACAGTGATTAGCTTTGTTAGCTGCTGTGGCTACATCCAAAATGGCACCCTATTCCCTACATAGTGCACTGCTGTTGGTGGGCCCTGGTCAAAGGCGCTATTGGGACATAACCTAAGGTTTAGTTGTGAAGGCGCTGTTGTTGGTAATCACCGGGGCTTTCCATGCACTCAGAAACACTCTGGTTCTGTTGTTGCTGTTATGTGTATGAGGGCATGGTGACAGTGGTGGATGGTGACAGTGATAAACACACACCCACACGCGTGTGTGCTAGGATGTGAATTGTTCCCTGCAGCCTCTGGTATGTATATTTTCAGTGCATGTACAATATGACTAAACACACACACACACACACATATACACACACATTTTCATGCACTAATATACACATGCACGTACACCGACACTGGAGTGGGCTGATTTCTGCTGTAGTGGGCTCAGAGTTATTGTGGCTAAGTGTGTGTATGGCAGGCTCAAGCATAAAAGCACTAAGCTTGTGGAAGTGATCTATGATACAGTACGTGACTGGTTTGGTTAAGGAGCATCTTGCTGCAAGGGCACAGATCAAAGCACGGAGTGTGTGTGTATGTGTGAGTGTGTGTGTATGTGTATGTGTGTGTGTATGTGTGAGTGTGTGTGCGTACATAGCCTGTGTGTGTGTGTGTGTGTGTGTGTGTGTGTGTGTGTGTGTGTGTGTGTGTGTGTGTGGACGTGTTTAACTAGAAGTCCCCACAAGAATAGTAAACAAACAAAAATTTGACCAGCTGGGGACATTTTGTTAGTCCCCATGAGGTCAAATGCTTTTTCTAGGGGGTTTAGGGTTAAGGTTACAATTAGTGTTTGGGTTAGAATTACGTTAAGGGTTAGGGTTAGGAGCTAGGGTTAGGTTTAGGGTTAGGGGTTAGGGAAAATAAGATTTTGAATGGGACTGAATTGTGTGTCCTCACAAGGTTAGCTGTACAAGACTGTGTGTGTGTGTGTGTGTGTGTGTGTGTGTGTGTGTGTGTGTGTGTGTGTGTGTGTGTGTGTGTGTGTGTGTCTCTGTCTCTGTCTCTGTCTCTGTCTCTGTGCGTGCATGTGTGTGTGCAAGTATGGAGGAATCTCAATGCTAAGTGTCTGTGTTGTCCTTCTCAGACGGCTGTGCTTTATTAGACGTTAGAGGAACCTTGTGTTGTCCTAGCTAGTTGCCACGTTAACTCTTCATGGCGTCGATTCTTCCTGCTCCACAGTTTCTATGGCAACGCACCGACCGTGAGGCTCCATCATGTGTCTGTGCCTGTGAACAGGATTTATCACAGTGTGTGTGTGTGCGTTTGTTTGTGTTCGTTTTTACTCAAGCGTTTGATTGTATTTCCGATATTTTGAGCTGAATCTATTAGCCGGGCACTGACACAGTTCACACTATTTATTTAGCATTCATAACTCACACCCTTACAGCTATTACTGAGGATGCCACTGAAATAGCAATGTTCAGAGATAGTAGAACAACATATTGTGCTTCTGACTCATCTGATTCAGATATTGAACAATGCTTTTTATATTAATGTTAAGTCATCTAATCATGTACGCTTATGTTTCTGGTGGTGTCCTCATTGATGCTCAGGAACTGGTAGCCAAACACTAAACATACAGGAGCTAATATTGAATACTATATTGAATAGAAAGCAGCACATCCACTCAGGCTGGAAAGAGAATCCACACACTGTCTTATTGATGAGAGACTAAGCTCTTAAAAATACAGCATACTTTTTTTAGTTCCAGTTCCAGTCCTTTCAGATTTGAGAACACCAAAGGGCTAGGGGCTAGGGGAAGGGAGGGTTAGGAGAGGATAGGGGCTAGGGGAACGGGATAGGGGCTAGGGAAGGGATAGGAGGCTAGGGGGGAAGGGTAGGGGATAGGGGAAGAGCTAGGGGGAGGGGAAGGGATAGGGGTTAGGAGAGGGGGATAGGGGCTAGGGGAAGGGACTAAGGCTATGGGGAAGGGATAGGGGCTAGGGGAAGGGATAGCGGGCTAGGGAAGGGATAGGGCTAGGGGAAGGGATAGGGGCTAGGGGCAGGGATAGGGTTCAGGCCGGAGGGAAGGGGGTAGGAGAAGGGATAGGGGATAGGGGAAGGGGATAGGGCTAGGGGAGGGGTTAGGGGAAGGATAGGGGTAGGGGAAGGGATAGGGGTAGGGAAGGATAGGGGCTAGGGGAAGGGATAGGGGCTAGGGGAAGGGATCGGGGTAGGAGAAGGGATAGGGGCTAGGGGAAGGGATAGGGGTTAGGGGAAGGGATAGGGGCTAGGGGAAGGGATAGGGGCTAGGGGAAGGGATAGGGGCTAGGGGAAGGGATAGGGGTTAGGGGAAGTGATAGGGGCTAGGGGAAGGGATAGGGGTTAGGGAAATGGATAGGGGATAGGGGCTAGGGGAAGGGATAGGGGTTAGGGGAAGGGATAAGGGTTAGGGGAAGGGATAGGGGTTAGGGGAAGGGATAGGGGTTAGGGGAAGGGATACGGGCTAGGGGGAGGGATAGGGGTTAGGGGAAGGGATAGGGGCTAGGGGGAGGGATAGGGGTTAGGGGAATGGATAAGGGATAGGGGTTAGGGGAAGGGATAGGGGTTAGTGGAAGGGATAGGGTTTAGGGGAAGGGATAGGGGTTAGAGGAAGGGATAGGGGCTAGGGGAAGGGATAGGGGTTAGGGGAAGGGCTCCAAGATGGAATCTGGTCTTAAAGCGAAATGACATCCAGCTATGAACATCTGTTCGACCGCAGTGATGATTAATGTGTAATTGTTGTGAGTGCACAAACCAATTCAGGTTGTAACAGTATTTATCTCTCTCTTTCTCTCTCTCTCTCTCTCTCTCTTTCTATCTCTTCCTCTCTCTCTCTCTCTCTCCATCAGGCCTGAGACCCAGCAAAAAGCCCCGGTGTCTGCCCACCCTCCCCCGCCTCCCCCTCCACCCCCTCCTGAGCCTGCCGTCCCCCCAGAGCCAGAGGAGGAGATCCTAGGCTCTGACGATGAGGAGCAGGAGGACCCCGCAGACTACTGCAAAGGTGGGGGGAGACAACACACATACACTGTACACACACACCTATGACAATCACACATATCACTCATCTCCTTCCCCTTTCTCTCTACCTTTTGGACACATACTCTCTCTCTCTCTCTCTCACTCACTCACTCACTCACTCACTCACTCACTCACTCACTCACTCACTCACACACACACACACACACACACACACACACACACACACACACACACACACCATAAACACACAGGCATGCACACATGCCCTCTTACAGCACCCCCTCCCCAGACACGCAGCCCTTACCCATACCCCAATACACTTAAGCCCATATCTCGTTCTCCTCTTTCTCTCTCTCTCTCTCTCTCTCTATCTCTCTCTCTCTCTCTCTCTCTCCTCTCTCTCTCTCTCTATCTCTCTCTCTCTCATCTCTCTCTCTCCTCTCTCTCTTCTGCCTCTCTCTCTCTCTCCTTTATCTTCCCTGGGTTCTAATGTAATTTGCAGCAGTGTGACTCTAGCCAGCAGCTCTGTAGGCTTGGCACCAGCACCGAGGCTCAAGGTTGTTGTCTGTGCCAAGAGGGAGTGGCCTCTTCACTGAGGAGACACATAGCTCTAAGGAACTAGTGAGACTCTTCTCCCGTAGGGTTTACGTCTGTCTTTCTCCCCATCGCTCTACCGCTCTTTCTCTCATTCGTCCTCTATATCCCTCTCCCATAGGGTTTCACAGGACTGGCTGAAGACTGAAGATGCTGTCTCTATGTCTCTCTTCCTCTATCGTCCTCTTATTTATCTTTCTTAATCCTCTTTCACACCCCCTTCCTCCCACTAATGGAATCGTTTCAGATTGGCTCTAAGTATCAGTACCTTGATTGTCTAGGTCCACTGGTCTCTCTTTCTTCAACAGTATCTCTCGCCCTCTCTTCCTCCCTCTCTCTCTTGCTCTCTCCCCCCTCCCTCTCCCTCTCCCTCTCTCTCTCTCTCTCAGGTGGATACCATCCGGTGAAGATAGGGGACTTGTTCAACGGGAGGTACCACGTGATCCGCAAGCTAGGCTGGGGTCACTTCTCCACCGTATGGCTGTGCTGGGACATCCAGTGAGTCACACACACAAACACACATACACACACGTGCATATATCTTATCTTATCTTACACACATGCATACACATACACCTGAGTCAGATGGGTTACCGCGGTTACCAACTCATCGCCATGACAACGGCTGCACTCCTATACCGTGACACAGTAGACAGTAGCAGCAGCTGCAGTGTGATGACACATAGTGCCAAAGTGTTAACCACACTGATGTATAACAGTATCAGTGTCAGAATATCACCTTTCACTAGGTTCCATCACACAGCTGGCCCATATACTGACTTAGCCCTAATTCAGTCACTTACACAGTAAAAGAAAACCCCCGCTGCGTGTTCAGTCATAATGTTTTTGCTATAACGGAGGTGTTAACCATGTTAAAATCAACATACACTATACGCTGATCCTCACATGGACATTGTCATTGGAGATGAAACCATTACCAGTAAGCATCACTCCCGCAGTGCGTTTTGCTTTTATCTGGGATTGATTCGTTCAAGTCCAGTGTTGAATGACTAGCTCTGTTGTAGTCCATAATGTTGTGATATGGATGACACTGTATGTGACACTGTTTGTTGTTTCAGGGTGAAGAACTTCGTGGCGATGAAGGTGGTGAAGAGTGCTCAGCACTACACGGAGACAGCCCTGGATGAGATCAAACTGCTAAGATGTGTGAGGAGGGGACTCTGGGTCATCAACATTTGTGGGAGATGAGTGTGTGTGTGTTTCCCCATGCCTCTCACACCTCTCTCACACACCCTCCTTCCTCATCTCTCTGTGTTTTGTCATTCCTCTCCAGGTGAGAGAGAGTGACCCCTCTGACCAAAACAAAGAAATGGTGGTTCAGCTGATAGACGACTTCAAGATCTCTGGAATCAATGGAATACGTATCCTTGTCAGAAGAGGGTGTGTGTGTGCGTGTGTGCGTGCGTGTGTGTGCGTACGTGTGTGTCAGGGTTTCTGTTAGCCGGTAAAAAACGGCTTTTGGGAAAATCCGATAAATAAAATTGCCGCCTGCCAATTGTCTGGTAAAAGAAGTCAAAATCCCATTGCGAATTAATGCTTTTTAGCCTATTCATTGATAAAAATACCAGTCGATGTAAATACATTTGACTGGTCATGCTTATCGGTCTATAGGGCAATTTGCATATTTTTGTGGAATTAAATTGTCATGTGTGTACAGTATATTTGTTAGGTACCTTATTTATCACACACATACAGCATACAGATAGAGAGCCTTTGAGCGGAACAGGAAATGCATAGAAAGTCAGGCTTCATCAGCACGTCACACACCACTTTGCAATGAGCTGGATGCAGTATGCATTTTGAAAACATGTACTTAACTGTTTGAAACCTGAATGTTTTACTACATATTATGAGGCATGTCTTACCTTGCTTCAAAGTAGTCTAGCCAAAATCAGACCATATCCGTGGAGGCAATTCTTTTATATAAACTTTCTTTCATTGTCCAGTAGCGAAAGGCACAATCCTAGTCATATTAGCAACCCATGCTAATTGTTGCATATTAGATCTCCCCTCTTTCTAAATTTCGAACTTATATTTTCATCTCTGTCCATGAAACCGTTCGCATGTGCGGTTCACTTTGACGATGGTGTTTTCCCGCTAGTTGCATTATGGAACGAACATTCGCGCGTATCCTACTGCCTTATGCGCATTACTGCGCTTATAATGTGAAGAAATAATAGTTTAACATTTTAAGCTAAACGTTCTGATCTGTTGCGTCAGACTCATTGCTTTTGAACATATTTATTTTATGTAGCCTAGGCCTACTGGTTGTGTGAATTTGGGAACTATCGTCTCTCAACTGTCCCAGAGTCTGTTTGGAATAGTCTTTTTCGACAAGCTGACCAATAGAATAGGTAAACCTTTCTGCTATGAGGGATAGTAGATTGACATAGGCTAGTGATTTTGCTGTTCGTTACTCGTCTTATTGGCTGAGGAAAAGTATATGTGGACAGTTATTCTAACATCTTCAAAGTGCGCATCTGAATTCGGTAAGAAGGACCGCACATCGTTGCATCCTCCACATGCATGATCTGTAATATGAATTACCATAATATAAATGTGATTTCTGTCATTCTGAGCACCATGGGTGGACGCCTTAATCAGGTATGCACCCAATGCATATGGGTCCGGTACATTTCTCAGATGTCCGGTTAATTAAAATGCTGCGAGTTAAATGTCCAGCGCTGCATTTTCCTAACAGAAACCCTGGTGTGTGGGTGTATTCATCAGTGTAGTAACAGGGTGCATGCATCTCTTTCTGTTTGTTACCTATGACTTCCTCTATGTGTATTATAAAGCTGTGATCCTCCTTGACCAGCTGTCCCAGATGTGTGTATGGTGTTTGAGGTTCTGGGGCACCACCTTCTGAAATGGATAATCAAGTCCAACTACCAGGGCCTTCCTCTACCCTGTGTCAAGAGTATTATCAAACAGGTATGCCACACATACATACACACACACACACACACACACACACACACACACACACACACACACACACACACACATCCTCATCAATATCCTTTCACACACACATATTCACATACACACCTCACATTCACTTCCATAAACACTCTTATTTAGCACCAACAGAGAGGAACACTAGTGATTTTCCCAGCCAAAGGCAGTACCTCAGGCCAGGCCAGGTTAGTACGTTGTTGACTTCTCAAGGCCTTCACAGGCATTTCCCCTTCCCCTTAAGAGCAGAGCAGCATGTGAACTAAACGTATCCCCTCGTCTCTGCTGCTGCTCATGCAAGTAAGCCGCTGCTCTTCCTACTTGAAAGGCCCACTGAAGATGAATAGAAACTGTTCTCAACTTCAATGCAAAGCCCCTGAAAACAAACACTGGCGAACGTGCACCCACACGCACACACACACACACACGCACACACACACAAGCGCGTACACACAACAAACAAAAAAACAACAGCAGCCGTGTCCCAAATGGAAGATGACTAAGATGAAAGGAATGGTTAAATGAGCGTTGTGAGAACATCGGTGCGTGTTTAATCTGTGATGGGTGTGTTTTTGTGTGTGTGTGTGTTTGGGATGCTTGTGTTCCTGTGTGTGTAGGTGTTGCAGGGCCTGGACTACCTCCACAGCAAGTGTAAGATCGTCCACACGGACATCAAGCCGGAGAACATCCTGATGTGTGTGGACGATGCGTTTGTCCGCCGTATGGCCGTGGAGGCCACAGAGTGGCAGAAGGCTGGGGCACCCCCGCCCTCTGGATCTGCAGGTAGGGTACAGACCAGTGGGCACTGCCCACCTCCCCTCACTCACTCTCTGTAGAATATCTGAATAATTATAACCCCAAATCACAGTTTTTCATAAACCATCTGGCAAACTTTGAAGTTGAACTATCCCTCTAAGCTACTGTATATACAAATAGCAGTGGTGGAAAAAGAACTCAGTTGTCATACTTTAGTAAAAGTAAAGATACCTTAATAGAAAATGACTCAAGTAAAAGTGAAAGTCACCCAGTAAAATACTACTTGAGTAAAAGTATTTGGTTTTTAAATATACTTAAGTATCAAAAGTAAATGTCATTGCTAAAATATATTTAAATATCTAAAGTAAAAGTATAAATCATTTCAAATTCCTTATATTAAGCAAACCAGAAGGCACCATTTTCTTGTATTTTTAATTTACGGATAGCCAGGGGCACACTCCAACACTCAGACATAATTTACAAACGAAGCATTTGTGTTCAGTGAGTCTACCAGATCAGAGGCAGTAGGGATGACCAGGGATGTTCTCTTGATAAGTGTGTGAATTGGACAATTTACCTGTCCTGCTAAGTGTTCAAAATGTAACGAGTACTTTTGGGTGTCAGGGAAAATGTATGGAGTAAAAAGTACATTATTTTCTTTAGGAATGTAGTGAAATAAAAGTAAAAGTTGTCAAAAATATGAGTAGTAAAGTACATATACCCAAAACAGATACCCACTTAAGTAGTACTATAAAGTGTTTTTACCTAAGTACTTTACACCACTGCCAAATAGTTAGTTATAGTGTAGCCTTGTCCTCATTTCAGACTGAAGTGTTTTGGGAGTTAAACAGTGAATAGTGAATTTAAAAATAAGTACTTGTGACTGTTCTTCCCTAATCCCGTGTAGAGATCTGTACTTGACCTCAGGTTCAGTCTTTGTTGAATCATTACAGTGCACTCTTTGTAGAGGAGTCGTGAGAGTCAAATCCATTATAGACCATTTGATTCTTCTTGCTTAAAGACAAGTTATATTGCTGGTATAGGGAAGTCGCTGTCTCACAATTTCAATAGTGTGCAGTATAGTAGTAAGTATTGGTTCTGATCAGCATTGCCCTGATGTGTATCAGTATATCTGTCACAGCGTTAATGAATCTATTCATCAAACCGATGAATCAATCAGATGAATCAATCAGTTGGGCAGTCTCTTAGTTTGTTGCTTGAGCTTGCCAACCAATTGGCTAGAGCTCTTTCCTAGTTTGATTTGATTGGCAGAGAGATTGCTTGAGAGCTCGCGGCTCCACTAAAAGCTAGCTGATAGTGATTACGGAAACGTGCCTTTAGCAAGGAGAGAGAGGAGGAAAGGGTGGAAGCAGAGTTGTTAAGCATTCTTATCTGGCCAGCGCACTGTTTGCTTCCACTCACATTCCCCTATTGTATTAGGCCTAATGTTCTTTCAACTTCCCCTTGAAACTTTACTGTTTGTTTGTCCTGTCACGTGTGTGCCACTAGCAGAGTCAGGGGTCAAGTAGTGTCGACATCACACGGCTGGACACTCAGCTCAACCAATAGTATCCCTCTAAATTTGACAGCTCGTAAGTAGCCATAATTCCATGCCAGAAATCACTAGGTCTTGTTCCATACACCGGTAGACACCACAGAAGGTTGGTGGCACCTTAATTGGGAAGGACGGGCTCGTGGTAATGGCTGAAGAGACGTAAGTGGAATGGTATCAAATACATCAAACACATGGTTTCCAGGTGTTTGATGCCATTCCATTTGCTCCGTTCCAGACATTATTATGAGCCGTCCTCCCCTCAGCAGTCTCCTGTGATTGACACATCTTCAGACTCCACTCAGGCTGGAATGATGGGGGCTGTATGTGGGCATTGCGTAACACATGGAGAAAAGGTTGATTACTATGGATCTAGGACAAGGGAATAGAGCTGTCTGGAATCACTTTGATGACATCCTCCTTTCAACTCACAGAGTTCCCCCAAAGATTCTGTATGAAGTCTTTAAGAGGGTATAAAAGATATGAGGTCTTATTCAGGGGTATATATTATACAAGAGTGAACGGGATGATATGTTTGAAGTTTAACTTTCTCCAGACTGACTTGTATGACTCTGTTTCATCCCAACAGTCAGCACAGCACCACAGGCCAAACCAGTGAGTAGTACAATGTTTTGTATTCACCTCATAACAGAGAAAAACCTGATTATACTGTCCAATGTTTTCTAACTAATTGCAGTCACTCAACAAATGGGTCAGTGTACCACTGACCCTAATAGACCCCTCCTCTCATCCTCTTCCTCTCTCCTCTCCTCTAGGTGGGGAAGATCTCTAAGAACAAGAAGAAGAAGCTGAAGAAGAAGCAGAAGCGTCAGACCGAGCTGTTGGAGAGACGCATGCTGGAGATAGAGGCCCTGGAGAGAGAGGCTGAGAAACTGAGGGCCACAGAGGGCCCCGATGGTGAGGGGTTGACCCACCCTCCGAAACACACACCCCGCAACGCGGCACTGGGGCCCGCCGTCGCACTGGGCGAGAGCGATGACGACGATGATGACGATGAAGAGGATGGAGACGAGGAGGAGGAAGTAGAGACGGAGAGGGAGAGGCCCACCAGGCTAACCAATCACACCTGTGAGTTGACATGGTTTGATTGTCAATCAGTGTGGTAGTGGTGGTGGTGATGGATTTATATTCATTCACTCAATGTGTTGGTTATTCACACATTCAGTAGTGTGTGTGAGTCAGAGCTGTGTGGAATGGGAGTGAATGAGAACTGGAGGAGGATGGGCCAGTCTCCAACCTTTCACACTAGGCCTACTGAGGGGAGCAATGCCAGGCTGATTCATAAACAACTACAGTCTAACCAAAGCTCCATCTCTCTCTCTCTCTTTCTCCCTCTCTTTCTCCCTCTTTCTTTCTCCTCTCTCCCTCTCTCCCTTCTCTCTTTTTCACTCCTCCACTCTCTCTCCCCCTCTGTCTTTCAGGTGCTGCCCCACCCCAGGAGCAGTCAGAGGTTCCCCCTACGCCAGAGGCAGCAGCAGAGCCAGAGGGGGAGCCCACCCCCAGCCCTACTCCAGAGACAGAGACACAGACCCCCACACCCACCGCCACCACACCTGGGGATGGCAAGACAGCCAATCCAGAGGGAGAGGCAGAGGAGGAGGAGGAGGAGGAGGACGAGAAGGAGGATTGGAAAGAGGCCGTAAAGGAAGAGAAGGAGGAAGAGGAGGAGGATGGGGAAGACGATGAAGAGGATGAAGAGGACTTGGTTACAGCTCCGGCCGAGCCGCCGCCGGCGGTGGAGTTAGAAGAGAAAGAGGAACCAAAGAAGGAGAGGAGAACAGAGGAGGAGAGGAGAACAGAGGAGGAGAGGAGAACAGAGGAGGAGAGGAGAACAGAGGAGGAGAGGAGAACAGAGGAGGAGGTGAAGGGTGAGGAGACCAAGGAGCAGGAAACGGACAAAGAGGAAGAGGAGGACGACGATGACGAGGACGACGAGGACGACGACGATGACGACGACGATGATGACGATGATGCCGATGTAACAGAGACGGGCGCTGACGACCTCAGCAACTCCATCTCCACCGCCATGGGCCAGAACAACAACACCACCAAAACCAACGGCCACGTCCTACTGGGGGGTGAGGAGAGGGAGAGGGAGAGAGGTCCCAGAGCCAGCCATCCAGCCCCAACCTCCTCCCCCATCCCTCTGCACTGCCCCCTGGTGGAGTCAGAGTTCAGCTGCACGGACAGGGACCAAAGCTCCCTCAGCTCCTCCTATGAGCTCTTCAACGGCGAGGTGGTCACGCCAGGCCTGACCAACGGGGCACAGCGCCACAGGGGCACGGCGCCACGCTTCCCCGAGCTGCCCCTGGACCCGGGAAGCCCCGTCACAGTGGGCGGAGCTGGTCACCCAGGGGCCGGGACCTCCCCTCACAGCCCCACTGCAGACCGCAGCCGTACTGTGTCATTGTCTAGCACCGGGGACACGCCTAAAGGTGAGACATTTCTCCCTTTCACTCTCTCTCTTTCTCTCTTATATGCACAACACAGATGTGCATATACAGTACATGGAGTCACAGAGACACACATTTTCTGTACATAATCTGCATGTCCTTCTCGACAACATTAACCCGTTTATCTAAACTAGATGATGTGGTTCTAGCCAAGGCCAAAGCAGCAGACCTGCTGGTTAACCCTCTGGACCCCCGCAACGCTGACACACTCCGAGTCAAGATAGCTGACCTGGGCAACGCCTGCTGGGTGGTAAGACGTGTGTGTGTATGTATGTGCGTGTGGTGTTTTACAATAAAAACATTTGCATAATAAACAATAGTAGTTAAACTTAAAGCCTTTAGCCGTATCCTTATTCTAGTCCTCCTCTGTTCCTCTGGTGATGTAGAGGCTAACCCAGGCCCTGCAGCCCTCAGTATCACTCCTACTCCCCAGGCGCTATCATTTGTTGACTTCTGTAATCGCAAAAGCCTTGGTTTCTTGCATGTTAATATCAGAAGTCTCCTTCCTAAGTTTGAGTTATTCACTGCGTTAGCACACTCCGCCAACCCTGATGTTCTAGCAGTGTCTGAATCCTGGCTTAGGAAGGCCACCAAAAATTCTGAGATTTCCATCCCCAACTATAACATTTTCCGTCTAGATAGAACTGCCAAAGGGGGTGGAGTTGCAATCTACTGTAGAGATAGCCTGCAGAGCTCTATCATACTATCCAGGTCTGTGCCCAAACAGTTTGAGCTTCTACTTCTAAAAATCCAACTTTCCAGAAATAAGTCTCTCACTGTTACCGCTTGCTACGACCCCCCTCAGCCCCCAGCTGTGCCCTGGACACCATATGTGAATTGATTGTGCCCCCTGGTTGGGACTCTATTTTATCCAGAGTGTGCAGTCATGGTTTGTGTTCTATGTTGGTTCTTTTTTGTTACTGTGTTTCAATGACCCCAATCAGGTAACGAGTGTCACGTTCGCTCGTTATCTCTGATTGGAGCCCTATTTATTTCTGCTTTTCCCTCCATGCTGGTGCCTTTTGTTTCCGTACGTGATGCACCGTGAACTCATGATCGGGTTATGTTTGTCGTGCTTAACTAAAATCACTGTTACTCAACACGCTGCCTTGTCTATTCACACGACACACAGAAAAACCACCTACCAAGACCAAGCAGCGTGTCCAGGAGCCGAGGGTCTGGACCTGGGAAGAGCTTTTGGACGGTAAAGGGTCCTGGACGTGGGAGGAGATCCTTGACGGCATGGATCACCGTCCATGGAGCGAGACAGAGGAGAGGCGACGGCAAGAGGAGCAACGGCGTCAAAAGGGCCATCGTCGGATGAAGGAGAGGCAACCCCAAAAAGTTTTTGGGGGGGGGCACATGGCTTGGGCGACGGAGCAGCAGGAGGCTGCCACAAGGGAGAGTCAGAAGGCGGCCAGGTTAAGGGGGCTGACGGAGGCAGAGAAGGGTAGGATTCAGTGGGCTACCAGGTCAAGGGGGCTACTGGGTAAAGCAGAGAGGGAAGGTGTTGAGGCACGGCGTGAGGTACTGGGGTGTGTAACCAGTTCGGTCCGGCCCGTTCCTGATCCTCGGTTGAGGCCAGTGGTGTGTGTTCCCGGTATGGACCGGCCTGTTCCTACTCCACGCACCTGGGATACGGTGCGCTTCGCCAGCCCGGCCCGGCCTGTTCCGGCCACTCGCACCAGGGATACGGTGCGCGTCGCCAGCCCAGCCCGGCCTGTTCCTGCTCTCCGCACTAGGCGTGAGGTGAGTCCCCAGGGTCCAGCATGCCCTGTTCCGGCTCCCCGCACTAGGCGTTATGGGAGTCCCCAGGGTCCAGCATGCCCTGTTCCGACTCCCCGCACTAGCCCTGAGATGCGTGTCCTCAGCCCGGTACCTCCAGTTCCGGCACCACGCAACAGGCCTACGGTGCGCCTCAGACGGCCAGAGTCTGCCGTCTGTCCAACGGGGCCTGAACTGTCCGTCTGCCCAACGGGGTCTGAACTGCCCGTCTGCCCAACGCCGTCTGAACTGCCCGTCTGCCCAACGGCGCCTGAACTGCCCGTCTGCCCAACGGGGCCTGAACTGTCCGTCTGCCCAACGGGGTCTGAACTGCCCGTCTGCCCAACGCCGTCTGAACTGCCCGTCTGCCCAACGCCGTCTGAACTGCCCGTCTGCCCAACGGCGCCTGAACTGCCTGTCGGCCCAACGCCGTCTGAACTGTCCGTCTGCCCAACGCCGTCTGAACTACCCGTCTGTACAGAGCCTACAAAGCCGCCCGTCTGCCATGAGCCTTCAGAGCCGTCCGCCAGATCGGAGCCGCTAGAGCTCTCCGCCAGACAGGATCAGCCAGAGCCTTCCGCCAGACAGGATCAGCCAGAGCCTTCCGCCAGACAGGATAAGCCAGAGCCTTCCGCCAGACAGGATCAGCCAGAGCCTTCTGTCAGACAGGAGCAGCCAGAGCCTTCCGCCAGACAGGAGCAGCCAGAGCCTTCCGTCAGACCGGATCAGCCAGAGCCTTCCGCCAGACGGGATCAGCCAGAGCCTTCCGCCTGCCATGAGCAGCCAGATCCGTCAGCCAGCCATGAGCAGCAGGATCCGCCAGAGCCAGCCAGCCAGGATCGGCCATTCAGTCCGGAGCTGCCCCTCAGTCCGGTGCTGCCACTTAGTCAGGTACTGTTCCTTAGCCTGGTGCTGGTCCTTAGTCCGGTGCTGGTCCTTAGCCCGGTGCTGCCCCTTAGCCCGGTGCTGCCCCTTAGCCCGGTGCTGCCCCTTATCCCGGTGCTGGTCCTTAGTCCGGTGCTGCCCCTTAGTCCGGTGCCGCCCCTTAACCCAGTGGGGTGTAGTTGGGGGGTGGTAATGTGTAGGAGGCTAAGTAAGTGGGTAATGACTATGGTGGGGTGGGGACCACGACCTGGGCCAGAGCCGCCACCTGGACAGACGCCCACCCAGACCCTCCCCTAGACGGTATGCTGGTGCGCCCGGAGTGCGCGCCTTTAGGGGGGGGTACTGTCACACCCTGGTGTTGGGACTCATTATTGTTTATCCAGGGTGTGTGCAGTCTATGTGTTTGTGTTCTATGTTGGGTGTCTAGGTTGTTGTTTTTCTAGGTTTGTTCAATGACTCCCAATCGGAGGTAACGAGTGTCAGCTGTTCGGCTCGTTATCTCTGATTGGGAGCCATATTTATTTCTGTATGTTTTCCTGTGGGGTTGTGGGTTTTTGTTTCCGTGTTGCATTCAGCATTGAACTTCACTTTCGTCTATTTTGGTTTATTGTTTTCGATCGTGGTTTCTTTAATAAATAAAAGTCTACGATGTTCGCTCAACACGCTGCGCTTTGGTCTCATCCTTCAGACGATCGTGACAGATTGCCCCCCATTTATCCTCAGAGGTCGTACTGCTTGGTGACCTAAATTGGGATATGCTTAACACCCCGGCCATCCTACAATCCAAACTAGATGCCCTCAATCTCACACAAATTATCAACGAACCTACCAGGTACAACCCTAAATCCGTAAACATGGGTACCCTCATAGATATCATCCTGACTAACTTACCCTCTAAATACACCTCCGCTGTCTTCAACCAGGATCTCAGCGATCACTGCCTTATTGCCTGCGTCCGTAACGGGTCCGCGGTCAAACGACCACCCCTCATCACTGTCAAACGCTCCCTAAAACACTTTAGCAAGCAGGCCTTCCTAATTGACCTGGCCCAGGTATCCTGGATGGATATAGATCTCATTCCGTCAGTAGAGGATGCCTGGTTGTTCTTTAAAACTAATTTCCTCTCAATCTTAAATAAACATGCCCCATTCAAAAAATACAGAACTAAGAACAGATATAGCCCCTGGTTCTCCTCAGACTTGACTGCCCTTGACCAGCACAAAAACATCCTGTGGCGTACTGCATTAGCATCAAATAGCCCCCGCGATATGCAACTTTTCAGGGAAGTTAGGAACCAATATACACAAGCAGTCAGGAAAGCAAAGGCTAACTTTTTCAAACAGAAATTTGCATCCTGTAGCACTAACTCCAAAAAGTTTTGGGACACTGTAAAGTCCATGGAGAATAAGAGCACTTCCTCCCAGCTGCCCACTGCACTGAGGCTAGGAAACACTATCACCACCGATAAATCTACAATAATCGAGAATTTCAACAAGCATTTTGCTACGGCTGGCCATGCTTTCCACCTGGCTACCACTACCCCGGCCACCAACTCTGCACCCTCCGCTGCAACTTGCCCATGCCCCCCCCCCCCCCCCCCGCTTCTCCTTCACACAAATTCAGACAGCTGATGTTCTGAAAGAGCTGCAAAATCTGGACCCCTACAAATCAGCTGGGCTAGACAATCTGGACCCTTTCTTTCTAAAACTAGCCGCCGAAATTGTCGCAACCCCTATTACTAGCCTGTTCAACCTCTCTTTCGTAACGTCTGAGATCCCCAGAGATTGGAAAGCTGCCGCGGTCATCCCCCTCTTCAAAGGGGGTGACACTCTAGATCCAAACTGTTACAGACCTATATCCATCCTGCCCTGCCTTTCGAAAGTATTTGAAAGCCAAGTTAACAAACAGATCACCGACCATTTCGAATCCCACCGTACCTTCTCCGCTATGCAATCCGGTTTCCGAGCTGGTCATGGGTGCACTTCAGCCACGCTCAAGGTCCTAAACGATATTATAACCGCGATCGATAATAGACAGTACTGTGCAGCCGTCTTCATCGACCTGGCCAAGGCTTTCGACTCTGTCAACCACCGCATTCTTATTGGCAGACTAAATAGCCTTGGTTTCTCAAATGACTGCCTCACCTGGTTCACCAACTACATCTCAGATAGAGTTCAATGTGTCAAATCGGAGGGCCTGTTGTCTGGACCTATGGCATTCTCTATGGGGGTACCACAGGGTTCAATTCTTGGGCCGACTCTTTTCTCCGTGTATATCAATGATGTCGCTCTTGCTGCTGGTGACTCTCAGATCCACCTCTACGCAGACGACACCATTTTGTATATATCTGGCCCTTCATTGGACACTGTGATAACAAACCTCCAAACGAGCTTCAATGCCATACAACACTCCTTCAGTAGCCTCCAACTGCTCTTAAACACTAGTAAAACGAAATGCATGCTCTTCAATCGAACGCTGCTGGCACCCGCCCACCCGACTAGAATCACTACTCTCGACGGGTCTGACCTAGAGTATGTGGACAACTACAAATACCTAGGTGTCTGGTTAGACTGTAAACTCTCCTTCCAGACTCACATTAAGAATCTCCAATCCAAAGTTAAATCTATAATCGGCTTCCTATTTCGCAACAAAGCCTCCTTCACTCATGCTGCCAAACATGCCCTCGTAAAACTGACTATCCTACCAATCCTTGACTTCGGCAATGTCATTTACAAAATAGCCTCCAACACTCTACTCAGCAAATTGGATGTAGTCTATCACAGTGCCATCTGTTTTGTCTCCAAAGCCCCATACACTACCCACCACTGTGACCTGTATGCTCTTGTTGGCTGGTCCTCACTACATGTTCGTCTTCAAACCCACTGGCTCCAGGCCATCTATAAATCACTGCTAGGCAAATCCCCGCCTTATCTTAGCTCATTGGTCACCATAGCAGCACCCACCCGTAGTCTGCGCTCCAGCAGGTATATCTCACTGGTCATCCCCAAAGCCAACACCTCCTTTGGCCGCCATTCCTTCCAGTTCTCTGCTGCCAATGACTGGAACGAATTGCAAAAATCTCTGACGCTGGAGACTCTTATCTCCCTCACTAACTTTAAGCATCAGTTGTCAGAGCACCTTACCGATCACTGCACCTGTACACAGCCCATCTGAAATTAGCCCACCCAACTACCTCATCCCTATATTGTTATTTATTTTGCTCATTTGCACCCCAGTATCTCTATTTGCACATCATATCTTGCACATCTATCATTCCAGTGTTAATACTAACTGTAATTATTTTGCACTATAGCCTATTTATTGCCTTACCTCCATAACTTGCTACATTTGCACACACTGTATCTATATTTTCTGTTGTATTTTTTGACTTTATGTTTTTTTACCCCATATGTAACTCTGTGTTGTTGTTTTTATCGCACTGCTTTGCTTTATCTTGGCCAGGTCGCAGTTGTAAATGAGAACTTGTTCTCAACTGGCTTACCTGGTTAAATAAAGGTGAAAAAAAAAAAAAAAAAAATAAATCCATCTCCTCTCTCTCCTTTCTCTCTCCCAGCACAAGCACTTCACAGAGGACATTCAGACCAGACAGTACCGCTCCATAGAGGTCCTGATAGGAGCTGGCTACAGCACTCCTGCTGACATCTGGAGCACCGCCTGCATGGTGAGCACACACACATACACACACACACTCACTCAGACACACACGGACTATGTCAGTACTGATGGATGATCCTGTCCTGTGTGGGTCCTGCAGGCGTTTGAGCTGGCTACAGGAGATTACCTGTTTGAACCCCACTCTGGAGAGGACTACTCCAGGGATGAGGGTGAGTCTCTACATATTTGCTTGTCCTAATGGATCAGCCTCATACTAAACATAACACGACATAATACTACACTTTATTGAGCTACGTATGATTATAGTGATATAGGATTCAGCTGTTGTAATATTTGTTGTTGTTAACGTTGGTATTGAAGGTGTTTAGACTGAGTAATTGTGTAGTTACAACTGTTGTTGTACTGTCGTTTGAAATTTGCTCAACTGAATTAAATGATGGCACTTAGTAAGATGGTAATACATTGTAGTGCTAGTAGATTGTAGATAGTATGAAGGCTTGATTGTAAATAGTTTGTATTGCAATGTGCCCAAAACTCTCCTTTGAAATAGAACAACTGCATTCTTGAATGGGTTAAAGATGTCCAGCAGATTTGAGTATAGTCCCCTCTAGTATTCCTATCCACTATTGTCTATTTATCTATCCCCACATTCTACATCTTTACCCTCACTCAACCTATCCCCAAATCTATACCTGACCTAACTCATCCAATCCCACATTCAAAACCTTGTCACGCCCTATCCCCATATTTACATCCACGCCTTCTCGCTCCCTACACTTCCCCTATCCCTTCCATCCTCTATACTGACTCACTCCTGGTCCCCACTCCCCACCCGCCCCATAACTACTCCATGCTGTCCATCCCTGAACCCTAGTCCAGTTGACCTCCTGCACATTGTCACCTCAACCCTCTGGTTGAGCTCATGTTCAGCCATCCACATTTGACTCCATACATATCATGTTAACAATATTACACCACCATACTTCACCAAAAATTGATTTGAACGATAATTCGCCATACTATCGACATAAATGGCATGTAGTCAATATGTATGGACAGATACTGCCATTATATCTTCACTGACAACAATGAGAGCCACTAAATTGTATTCAGTTAGAATCAGACCATATTTGGTGATGAGTCTCTCAGATTCAAAGATAATAGATGCATGTCTCTCTACTCCAAACCCACTGCACTCTCTACTCCATCTCACCACCTCTGGTGTGGGGTCACTAACACTGAGCTCTCTGTCTCTCCCTCTTTCACTCTTCCCTCCTCCTCCTCTTCCTACCTCTGCCTTCCTTACTTGTCCTACTTTCTCGTTCTCATTTTTCCCTCCTTCCTTCCTTCCTTCCTTCCTTCCTTCCTTCCTTCCTTCCTTCCTTCCTTCCTTCCTTCCTTCCTTCCTTCCTTCCTTCCTTCCTTCCTTCCTTCCTTCCTTCCTTCCTTCCTTCCTTCCTTCCTTCCTCTCCTTATCTCAATCCCCCGGTTCCTTGTCGTCCTTTTCCTCTCTCCTTTATCTTTTCACCCTATTCTCCTTCTGTTCCTCTTCCTCCTTTCTTCCTCTCTCCTCTTCCTCTTCCTCCCCCTCCTTCTCCTTTCCCTGTTCCTCTTCCTCCTTTCTTCCTCTCTCCTCTGTAGACCATATAGCCCACATCATTGAGCTGCTGGGCGTTATTCCACGGCACTTTGCGCTCTCTGGAAAATATTCCCGGGAGTTCTTCAACCGAAGAGGTAGCACCAGGGAAAGTTCTGGTGGGACGGAGACACACGGACGCCCGAGCACACACAGTGACTCAGACAGACAGGCGGACAGACATGAATACAGACACAGTGGAATGGGAATTATATGAGCAGTCCAAAAGCAATAAGGGGTTTTGCAGCAAGTTGCCTGGCTGCCAAGACACCATTGGTGTGCACCAGAGGAGGCTGGTGGGAGGAGCTATAGGAGGATGGGCTCATTGTAATGGATGGAATGGGAATGGAATAAATGGAACGGAGTCAAACATGTGGTTTCCATGTGTTTGATGTTTTTGGTACCATTCCAATATTCCATTCCAGCAATTACAATGAGCCCGTCCTCCTATAGCTCCCCCCACCAGCCTCCTCTGAAGTGCACAGCTATTAAAGGCAGCACATTAAGCGGGAATAATATGCCTGTTTGCTTTATTTCACAAAACCAGTTTAGTCATAGCCCTCTCCACTACCTTCTGGAGGGACTGACTGTCCCGTCAGTCAGTCTGTCTGTCAGTGTGGTGTCTCCAGGCAGCAGTGTGTCCATCCGTCCCTCCAGCGTGTGTGTGTGTGTGTGTGTGTATGCTGTAATGCCGTGCCTGTTCTCTTGTGGTGTGGCCTGTGGTGGCCGGGGTTCAGATCACATCGCTCTGATCATGGAGCTTCTGGGGAAGGTTCCACGCAAAGTGGTCGCCGCCGGGAAGTACAGCCGAGAGTTTTTCTCCAAGAAAGGTAACGTCATGATGAGGTACTACCCCAACGAGGCAGACAGGAATACACAACAGTATTTATCTCTAAATATTAGTACATGTAACAAAGCTAGCAGTAGTGTGCAGTAGTATTTGTGTAGTGTGTCCACCTAGAAATACAAACAGTACATCCATTAGAAAATGTGCGTTTTCAAGCTTTAGTTATAAATATCTTGCTAGTTACACCGGTAATAGCCAAGTCACTTTACCTCTACCTATATGTACATATTTACCTCAATTACCTCATACTCCTGCACATCCACTCAGTACTGGTACCCTGTGTATAAAGCCAAGTTATCGTTACTCATTGTGTATTTATTCCTCGTGTTATTATCTTTCTATAATTTTTCTCTCTGCATTGTTGGGAAGTAAGCATTTCACTGTTAGTCTACACCTGTTGTTTACGAAGCATGTGACAAACAAGATTTGATTTGTGCCACTTGACTGAGTTCTGAGTACTATCCTCCCTGAGCCTACGGCCTGTCTACCAGTCTATGTGTGTTACCTCTGTGTCTCTCTTTGGTAAGTGTCTGTGTCTTTAAAAACAGTATGCTACCCTGCTGCTAGCCTGCTTCTCTCATGTTCCAGTCATGAGGCTCTAATATTCTGATTACAGCTCCTTTTCTTTGATGTTCTCGGTCTCTCTCTCTCTTCCTCTCTCTATCATAGGTCTCGTCTGGTGTAAATGATGTCTTAATTCATTCTCCTTTTATCTCTCTATGGTCTTAATGTGTTCTGACTGACTCAGTCGCCGCTCGCTACTCCAGGCTCTTGAGTTGGTGTTCTTGGGCCATGTCTCAATAGTCTTAAGCTTGTGTCCTTTCCTTAATCTATGGTACGCTGTAAATAATTTTAAATAATGAAGGTGAAAGCAATGTGAGATACCCTTGCTTCCATCAATTCAGTGTAGATGAAAGCAAAGAGACATGGAAAGGATGCCACTATGGAATATTGAGATGCAGCCCGAGTTCTACTCTCTCTTCTCTGTCTCTCTCAATCTCTGTCTCTCTCTTAATCTCTCTCTCTTGCTCTCTCGCTCTCTCTATTGCTCTCTCACTCTCTCTCTCATGGTAAGGCTTTACAAATCATAGCACTGTAACTAATTACTCTTCCTTTCTCTCTCTCTATTTCTCTCTCTCTTTACCTCCCCCTGTAGGTGAGCTGAGGCACATCACCAAGCTGAAGCCCTGGTCCCTGTTTGATGTGTTGGTGGAGAAGTACGGCTGGGCCCCAGAAGACGCTGGCCACTTCACCCACTTCCTGCTGCCCATGCTGGAGATGGTCCCTGAGAAGAGGGCCTCGGCTGGGGACTGCCTCAGCCACCCCTGGCTCAACTCGTAGTGACACCAGCCCACCCCCCCCCCCCTCCCCCTAGTGGCAGCCTCCACACACTGCTCAAAGCTAGGCACTCAAGACTGGAGAGAGAGGGAGAGGGGGGAGGAGGGGAGGGAAAGGGGAGACAGGGGGTGCCCCTTTCTTGGTCCTGCCCTGCCTCACCTCGCCCTGAGCCCTCCACACACACGCACATAGGTATGCACACATGCAAAACAGATGCCCACAGAGCCTCAGCAGGTAGCCTGAGAGAGACTGCTCCTCTGCTGTCCTCCCCATAGGTCCCATACAACCCCTCACAGGAGCAATAGAGCGCCCCAGGAATAGAGTTGGATGGAGTCAAACTTCCACGATTCTAGACAGGCAGGATGAGATCCCTACACAACATGAGGAGCAGCCATGGTCAGGACTGTGTCTTCCAAGACATCTCCTACTTAGAACGACCATGCAGTCTGAACAGAAACTAACCCGCTCATATGAATAGGTTCTCTGCAATGTCCTGGCCAGTCTTATTCTGAGCCTAAACCTGTCCTCCACCCTAGGTTTCCTATTAGAAGTCAATGAGCACCTATATCAGAATGCTGACTGTGTGATAGCTCCATTTGCCTGACCTTACAACAGCACGGCCTAAACATGCTGAGGCAGAAGTGTGTGTATGTGTGTGTGTGTGTGTGTATACATGTGAGTGTGTGTTATTAGTCTGGGTCTGCACATTCTGTAGGTGTAACAGGCAAGTGTGTGTACGTCCCTCTCCTACAAAGGCGCAACAAGACTTCCAGATTAGGAGTCGGCCGTTCACCCTACTCTTCCTCTCCTCCCTCTCCAGCCCCTGCCCCCCTCCTTTACTCTGTAGGAGTACTGTGCCCCCCCCCCCTCCCCCCCAGGACTGAAGCAGTGTTGCTGAACAACAACACAGCTCCAGTCCCATCCCCGGCCACCAGGGTGCCCCAGAACTGAACTGCTGCCGCACAGACAGACACACAGACAGACAGGGCACGGAACGAACAAAGATCCTAAAGACTGATGCTCGATAAGCCGGACTGCTTGATCTGTAAAGAGTTTACCTGTCGTGAAAAAGAGTGAAGCGTATGGAGAGGCTGATTGACAGGAAGTGATGATGATGGTCCTGATGGACGGGTGTTACTTAGACTTGTACATTTCATTGGTTTGTTTGTTTTTGTTTTCTTCCTGTCTTTTTATTTCGAAAGCGAAAGGAGCCACTTGCGTTTACCTTTTTGGTGCCCCGTGTGAGGTTATCCAAGTTCCCTTGTTTACTTTTTCGAATCTTTCCTCCCTTTGACATTCCTGATTCAGTCACACCATTCCTGACCTCTCTTCCTCTATATCCCAAAAACAAGAACAATCCTTATGAGTCCCTGTGGCGTGGCACGTTTACCAGATATGATTATTCCCCCTTATAATCTACAGAGGAAACCCTCGATCTTGATCCTGAGCTTCTCCAGAAGGGGTTAGTCAAATGGAGGTTGCACTTGTTTTTGTAGATGTTGTTCAGGGATCTATCTTTGTACATAACTCTGAGATCCGGCTCTGGAGATAAGACCGACGGACAGATTTGAAAAAAACACATCATTCCTAAAAGAAGCTGTCACATGGACATGGATCTGTCCACCAGAGCAGACAGTGGCGAGAGGCTGAGCCATTCTGGAGGCCACCAGAATATCGAGCTGCGCCACTCTGTGGCTGATGAGGGTACTGCATTCCTGCACACTGCAGCGCCTCTCAGTGCCAATGCTCCTATGTTCCACTCCACTTCTCTCTCTCACGCTCATCACAATTAGTCCAGTTGCCTATTTTTCGCAATAATATAAAAATGAGTATAAGTAAATGGTGAGATATTTTTAAAAATATTTAATTAATTTAAAGAACGAAAAAAAAGAAAAAAAATGATCTGGTTGTTGTGAAAGTGACCGAATCTCGTCCTATTGAGGTGATTGTGTTTGTCTGTTTAGAGATGTTATTTCTTTTGTAATTATTATTGTTATATTATTATTACTGTAATTTATCTGATTAGTTATTTTTTACTCAGTTGTCACCTCTTCCTCCCCTCTTACATGAACAGTGCTGCTCTGTTTGGACTTGTGACGATGATGAAACTGATTACATTTTTTTGCAATAATAGTAAATTATGATTTTTTTGCACCAAAAGCTCCTGATCTCACTCTCAGCCATGCTGACTGTTCTTCCTGACATCGACAGAATCGCGTCTCTTGTCTGTGTTTTTCATTGACAGATTTAATAAAATTGTAAATTAATGGAGTCTTGATGTGGTCTTTGACAGTTTACAGCAGTTTTCACTAAATACTACTAATATTGTAACTTGTGTCTTGAGGATAAGAGAGAAAAGCTGAGATTTTGATTCATTTTCAAACCAGTAGTGAGACATGCATATCAAATATATTTCACTAGTGAGTGTAAAAAGACACACAAACAAACCTTCAAAATGGCAATATAGTGTTATCATACAGAATGCGGAGGTCATTTGACTTGACATAACTTATTATATTCTAATACACAATAGCCATCAGACAACATTATTCTAACCGCACTCTAAAACATTATCCTAACAATACCCTGAGATTACAAGAATAGTATAAAACAATATACTAAGGATTGTCACTAATTCAGATATTTGTTCAAACTCACTTCTATTTTAATAAAGGGAAAATACTTTGCTAGCACAACTGTCAGTCAGTTTTAAAACACAGGGAAATCACATGGACCTTCAAGTATAAATGCTGTTTGTCTGACCAGCATGTAAGGTAAGGGAAATAGTTTTCGAGGCATAACACTTACATACTGTAGGACAGTTTACCACAGTAGTTATTGAAATATTTGGACACCTTAACCATGCAATGATTCACATTTCACATTACAACAAGGTATATATTTAGTCAGTCACTAATGTAACATGCGGAAGGCCAGGAGTTTTTACCAACCACCTGACCAGGATATACTCTGAAATACTATATTTTAGTCATTTAGCAGACGCTCTTATCCAGAGCGACTTACAGTTAGTGAGTGCATATATTATTTTAATTATTTTTTTCATACCCCCGGTGGGAAACGAACCCACAACCCTGGCGTTGCAAACGCCATGCTCTACCAACTGAGCTACATCCCTGCCGGCCATTCCCTCCCCTACCCTGGGCCAATTGCGCGCCGCCCCATGGGTCTCCCGGTCGCGGCCGGCTACGACAGAGCCTGGATTCGAACCAGGATCTCTAGTAGCACTGCGATGACCACTCGGGAGGTATCTATGGTAGTGTTTGAGAGCATCAACTCTTCTGACTGTTTTACAAATCACCTTGCACCTTAAATAATTATGATTTGTAGATAAGTCAGTCGGGTCAGTCAGGTGATATCTATCAAACACAGCCTATGTCAGATTTAGTTGTGTGAGGGGAGTAAGGGTCAGAGGGAGGCAGCGTTCTTGAGCAGCAGGGGCTTGGCCAGCTTCAGAATGTCTAGGTTTGGGTCCAGAGACCTCCCCAGCCCCTCCAGCACCATGATGGCAAACACAATGGACGTAAAGTTACTCTCCAACTTCACCTGTAGAGAGGCAAACAAACCACAACGTCAACAGCAGTCTTGGTAGCAAACTCACATACTGTACATCAGTGGAGGCTGCTGAGGGGAGGATGGCTCATAATAATGGCTGGAACGGAGCGAATGGAATTCCACTTATTCTGCTCCAGCCATTACCATGAGCCCGTCCTCCCCAATTAAGGTGCCACCAACCTCCTGTGCTGTACATTCAGTAAATGAAGTCCATGTGCAAAATATCTAGATATGACTATTGTTGATATTACAGAAAATGTTGGTGGTTTTGAAACTAGACTTTCTCAATCCAGGACCGGTCAAATTTACCATGTGGGTGACCAATCCGAAGACTCTGGATAGCAACTCAGCCACTTGGACCTTCCCCAGTGAGAAACTGTTGCTGAGGGCATGGTCCACCAGCTCTGCCATCTCCTTCTAAACACAACAGCTATGGGTGTTAGAAGCTCATTGGATACCCCACATCCTCCATCACAATACTCAGGCAAATGAGAAGCCTCATAAACCCTCTTTGGCCTCTAGAACTTCTAGAAGAAGTTTGAAATTCATGTTTGTTTATGTGTGTGTGTGTGTGTCTCTTTCACTTGTCATAGCACCATAGCGGTAAACACGGCTCTGAGGTTTCTCAGGTCTCTGTCGCTGAGCTGGGCCACGATGCCAGCATCCAGCAGCACCAGCTGTAGAGGGGCCGGGGCCGGCCTCATGCTCACCAATACAGTGCCCCACCGGTCTGTCAGGGTGGCCCTGCCCTCGGGGTCGTCGTCACCCCCGCTACTGCTACGCTGGACCAGAATGTTACCCGGGTGCAGGTCCCCATGCACAAAGTTATCCACCAACACCTAGGGTACCCAGAGACAGACAAACGCATACAGGGGATAAGGAGCTGGTAAGCTTGATTCAATGTTAAGAAATAAGAAGGTAAACTCCCCTCCACATTTTTTGGGACAGTAAAGCTAAAACTTTTCATTTGGCTCTATACTCCAGCATTTTTTATATGAAGCGACACTACAGAATGTCACCTTTTATTTGAGGGTATTTTCTTACATATCTGTTTTACCGTTTAGAAAAGGAAAGCATTTTATGTATCTAGTCCCCCCCCATCATAAGTATTAGCCAACTTCACTTATAGTGTATTACATTTAGTCAAAAGTTTAGTATTGGGTCCCATTTCCTAGCAGGAAATTACTACATCAAGCTTGTGACTCCACAAACTGGGAGTCACACCTTTCTCACTCATTATTCACGATTCATTCATGATTATCCGTAATAATTTCTAAACAGTAAAAAATCAAATCAAATTTTATTTGTCACATGCGCCGAAAACAACTGTGAAATGCTTGCTTACGAGCCCTTCCCAACAATGCAGAGTTTAAAAATAAAATAGTAACACAAGAGGAGTAAAATAAAATACACAATGGAGCTATACATACACATGCACACACACACACACTGTATATAAAAACAGATGCGTATGAAAATACCCTCAAACAAAAGGTGACATTCTGTCCTGTCGCCTCATATAAAACATTTGATCTCGAATCCAAAATGCTGGAGTACAGAGCCAAATGTAAAGTTTAAGCTTCACTGTCCCAAAAAAATATGTAGGGGAGTGTATGCAGTACCTTCGGAAAGTATTCAGACCCCTTTACTTTTTCCACATTTTGATATGTTACAGCCTTATTCTAAAATGGATTAAATAAATACAAATCCTCATCAATCTACACACAATACCCCATAATGACAAAGCGAAAACAGGTTTTCTGAAATTGTTGCTAACGTATTAAAATAAAAAACAGAAATACCTTATTTACATAAGTATCAGACCCTTTGCTATCAGACTCGAAATTGAGCTCAGGTGCATCCTGTTTCCATTGATTATCCTTGAGATGTTTCTACAACTTGATTGGAGTCCACCTGTGGTAGATTCAATTGATTGGACATGATTTGGAAAGGCACACACTTGTCTATACAAGGTCCCACAATTGTCCATAGAGCTCAGAGACAGGATTGTGTCGAGGCACAGATCTGGGGAATGGTACCCAAAAATGTCTGCAGCATTGAAGGTCCCCAAGAACACAGTCGCCTCCATCATTTGTAAATGGAAGAAGTTTGGAACCACCAAGACTCTTCCTAGAGCTGGCCGCCTGGCCAAGCTGAGCAATCGGGGGAGAAGGGCCTTGGTCAGGGAGGTGACCAAGAATCCGATGGTCACTCTGACAGAGCTCCAGAGTTCCTCTGTGGAGATGGGAGAACCTTCCAGAAGGTCAACCATCTCTCCAGCACTCCACCAATCAGGCCTTTATGGTAGAGTGGCCAGACGGAAGCCACTCCTCAGTATAAGGCACATGATAGGCCAGTTGGAGTTTGCCAAAAGGCACCTAAAGACTCTCAGACCATGAGAAACAAGATTCTCTAGTCTGATGAAACCAAAATTGAACTCTTTGGCCTGAAAGCCAAGCGTCACGTCTGGAGGAAACCTGGCACCATCCCTACGGTGAAGCATGGTGGTGGCAGCATCATGCTGTGGGGATGGCTTTCAGCGGCAGGGACTGGGAGACTAGTCAGGATCGAGACAAAGATGAACGGAGCAAAGTACAGAGAGATCCTTGATGAAAACCTGCTCTAGAGCGCTCAGGACCTCAGACTGGGGCGAAGGTTCACCTTCCAACAGGACAACGACCCTAAGCACACAGCCAAGACAATGCAGGAGTGGCTTCAGGACAAGTCTCTGAATGTCCTTGAGTGGCCCAGCCAGAGCCTGGACTTGAACCCGGTCTAACATTTCTGGAGAGACCTGAAAATAGCTGTGCAGCAACGCTCCCCATCCAACCTGACAGAGCTTGAGAGGATCTGCAGAGAAGAATGGGAGAAACTCCCCAAATACAGGTGTACCAAGCTTGTAGCATCATAAACAAGAAAACTCAAGGCTGTAATCGCGCCAAAGGTGCTTCAACAAAGTACTGAGTAAAGGGTCTGAATTCTTATGTAAATGTGATATTTCCGGGGTTTTTTTTTTATACATTTGCAAACATTTCTAAAAATCTGTTTTTGCTTTGTCATTATGGGGTATTGTGTGTAGATTGATGAGGGGAAAAAACGATTTAATCAATTTTAGAATAAGGCTGTAACGTAACAAAATGTGAAAAAAGTCAAGGGGCATTTTCAGGTGGGTGTAGAGGTCACAAGACTGGACATGATTAGGCGATCTCACCATCTTGAGAAGAGTGCCTATTCCATCCTGGCAATTCTCTGCTTCACCTTTAGAGGGACCTCAGGGCTCAGGTAGTTGGATATGGGCTCACTCTCCTGAAACAGCAAAGATGTCACTTCTTCAACCTCTCCCATTGTGTTTCAATTGGTGTTGTGTCATATTTTCACCCGTTATTCATATTAGGCATCTTGGTGAAGTGGCCATCTCAACTCACCTCAAATGTTTCCACTAAAAGGGATCTGGTGAATGGTCGAAGAGGAGTTGGGAACTTGACAAAATCAACATCCTTGAAATTCTCCCGGAACCTTTCGATGTTCTTGGCTTCAAACAGAAGGTCAATTTGCAATAGAAGAGGATATTCAATTCATAACAACTAAAAACGGCACTTGAAATAGTTAAAACCTACAGCTATTCTATTGGCACTCTATAAGTACAAATACGGTGTGTACAGGAGTCGGCTACCTGGTGTGCTTGGTATGGCCCCAGGAGTGGAGATGCACATCCACATGCAGCCTGGAGAGACGCTCGCAGAAGTCCTGGAAGAGGATGTCACTGCGCATGCTGGCCCACTGGCCCAGCTTGATGAAGGTAGGACCAGAGGGCTCAGTGACCCACAGCTGGGCGTCCAGCCAGCGAGATGCCCAGTGAGAGGAGATGACAGTCAAGGGATAGAGCAACAGCAGGGGAAAGGACTTCAGGAGTAACACCAGGGCACGCAGTGCGAGGTGCACAAAGAAGACCAGCTTGTGCACCTGGACTTTGGCTACAGACTTCCTGTCTTAGATACATTATTTAATTGTACATGTTGTCATTGATTTTTTTTAAATGGAGAGAGTATCGTTCCTAGTCACACTGTGTGTCTCTGGACAGAGGTCCTCTCCACCTCCCAGATGTAGAGTGAAGGGGACAGAGGAAGCCACACAAAAGGTAGGAGAAACGCCAAACAGATGTTACTGTCCCCACCCTGTCCCCCCAGCCATTGATGGGGCAAGACAAGCTTTTCAAATGTCTCCCACATTTCAAAGGGAGAGGTCAGAGCTTGGTCCTGCAGGTTACAGAGGTTGTTCCTCTGGTTACATTTTACATTGAACTTTTAGTCATTTAGCAGAAACTCTTATCCAGAGCGACTTACAGTTAGTAGTAGTAAGTACATATTTCCTTAAAGAAGTTATCAGAAAAGTCAGTGCTAGTATGAAAATACTTTACTAGAATTCCCGTAGCCAGACTGTACCAACAACAACACTTACTGGAATAAAAATATACTTAGGCTTCTCTTGCAGAGATTAGTTCACAGGCTATAGATGAGCACTGGTTCAAGACATGTTGAAGTCACAGATATTTATGAAGGGTAGCATAGTGGGTTAAGGTAGTCTAGTTCAACTCATTAAACTCTCTCAGTGTGAACCCAGAGAAACTATAACCATACAAGTATTTATGTTTTACTGATACAATAACAATACACTCCTTTGCCTTTGTTAGCCTTAGTTGTCATCAAGATGTCAGACTCATATCTAACTTGTATTTGTATTTGTACAAATGCTAATATCGGTCCCATGACTTGAATGGGATTTGTGCCACAAATGCTAAAACGTTAGCATGTGGAAACAGTGCCAGGGAAACTAAACCAAAGCATGGATTGCTGTCATACCTTTTCCATAGACTGTTTACAGGGTAAGGAAACCCATATGTAATTTGAGTGAACTATCCCCTTAAGTCACCTGTAATTAGTGAATAACTGGAAATCAACCAAAACATTGTCATGCCATGTAAGGGCCAATGTACAAGGAGCCTTCTGTAGCTACCAAAACACAATGCTGCTGGTTCTTTTGGGTGGTTTGTGGACTGGTCAGTAAATAAAAGCTCCTTTCAGAGATAAAGTCAGTGGAGGGCAGGAAAGCCAAGAGAGGAAGAGAGGCCCTTCAGAATTTTTAATTGGCTCCCGGAGGAGGCCTTCATTTAAGTATTCAGTTACGCTCAGCTTTGCCCCTTCCTGCTCCATTCCTCTTCTGAGCAGGACACTCCGTTTCCACGGCAACTGGGGCTCCAATCACCCAGCCAGCTGCAGATTAGTTCAGCGGGTGGGGGTGGATGCCAACTGCCGTTAACCCTCATCGAAGAAGAAGAAGAAGAAGAAGGGGGTGGGGGCTGAGCTGATGATGGAAAAGGAGGGAGGTACTAGAGTAAGGGAGAGAGGCAGAAAAGGGGATCATGAGAGAAGGAGGGGTGGGAAAAGTTTGAGAAAGAGAGAGAGGCAACTTCATTGAAAGAGAATATAGATAGACAGACAGACAGAGAGTGAGTGAGTGTGTGTTTGAGTGAGAGAGAGAGAAGGCAAAAGGACAGAATAACTGAAAACATTTAAGCCTGAAGGCTGAAAGGGGAGGGACTGCCTTGACTTGTTCTTTTTCAAACAAGTTTGTAGAGAATCTTGGAGAAGCTCTTTTTCTGCTTGGGAAGAAGGGGAAGGGTCTATGTTAAGTGAGAGAGCAGTTCAGGGGCAGGGGTGTAAAACTGGAGGAGAACGGGGAAAAGGCAATTTTGCTCTGTAGGAAATCATGCCAGTGGATGCTGCCAGTGTCCGATTTCACAAAATGACAAACCACTGCAAGAGCACTTCTACAGGGCTTGTCCAACTGAGAAAGGTATGGCAAAATAAGACTTTAACTTGTGTGTGTGTGTATAATGTGTTTTGGTTTGAGAGAGATTTTGTTTTGTACTATCTGTGAATCTCAGTTTTGAACCTTTCTTTACTATGGGACTGAAACAGTAACATATTTAAAAGTGTGTTAATGTGGGTAGTGGGTATTTATTGTGTGTTTGACTGACTAAGTATTTCATGTACATTTTGGACTACAGGTAACTTATAGTGTCTCTGTGTCCGTTTGTTAGCTTGCGTGTGTGTGCGTGCGTGCGTTTGCTTGTGCCCACGTGCATTTGTATATGTGTGCGGCTGCGTGCAATGCATGCACATGTGAGCGTGTGTGTGTGTGTGTTTGCATATGTTTGCACTTTGATAGCACATCTGAAGATACTGCAGACCTCTTTTTATTTGAGTAATATTCAATTACGGTCTGTTCAGGCTCCGGCTAAAGTGTGTTTGAATGTTGTTCAAGTAGGGGGGGTGGGGGGGGGGGGCGAGAGAGAGGAGCAGAGTGGATAAGTAGATAAGTGAGGTGAGACATTCTTCAGCTCTAGGAACAATGGCAGCTCTTCATCCAGCCAGAGTAGAGCCCCTGTCCCTGTATTGTTGGGAGTCGGAGGCAGAAAGAAACATCCCCAAGGGACAGGCTGTGCGTCTCACTCACTCTCTGGGGGAGGTGGCTCTTTGTTGGCTTTTCATTAGAGCTGTGAAGGTCAAATCAAATTGTATTTGTCACATGCGCCGAATACAACAGGTGTAGACCTTACAGTGAAATGCTTACTTGCAAGCCCTTAACCAACAATGCAGTTTTAAGAAAGAATAACCCCCCAAAATCACTAAAAAATACAATATAAAATAATACAAAATAAAAGTAACAAATAATTAAAGCGCAGCAGTACAAATAACAATACCGAGGCTATATATGGGGGTACCGGTACCGAGTCAATGTGCGGGGGCACCGGTTAGTTGAGGTAATTGAGGTAATATGTACATGTAGGTAGAGTAATTAAAGTGACTCTGCATAGATAATAAACAGAGAGTAGCAGCAGCGTAAAAGGGGGTGGGGGGGGGGGGGGGCAATGCAAATAGTCTGGGTAGCCGTTTGATTAGATGTTTAGGAGTCTTATGGCTGGGGGGTAGAAGCTGTTTAGAAGCCTCTTGGACCTAGACTTGGCGCTCCGGTACCACTTGCCGTGCGGTAGCAGAGAGAACAGTCTATGACTAGGGTGGCTGGAGTCTTTGACAATGTTTAGGGCCTTCCTCTGACACCGCCTGATATAGAGGTCCTGGATGGCAGGAAGCTTGGCCCCAGTGATGTACTGGGCCGTACGCACTACCCTATGTAGTGCCTTGCGGTCAAAGGCCGAGCAGTTGCCATACCAGGCAGTGATGCAACCAGTCAGGATGCTCTCGATGGTGCAGCTGTAGAACCTTTTGAGGATCTGAGGACCCATGCCAAATATTTTCAGGCTCCTTAGGGGGAATAGGTTTTGTTGTGCCATCTTCACGACTGTCTTGGTGTGCTTGGACCATGTTAGTTTGTTGGTGATGTAGACACCAAGGAACTTGAAGCTCTCAACCTGCTCCACTACTGTCCTGTTAATGAAAATGGGGGCGTGCTCAGTCCTCTTCTTTTTCCTGTAGTCCACAATCATCTCCTTTGTCTTGATCACGTTGAGGGAGAGGTTGTTGTCCTGGCACCACACGGCCAGGTCTCTGACCTCCTCCATATAGGCTGTCTCGTCGTTGTCGTTGATCAGGCCTACCACTTTTGTGTCATCTGCAAACTTAATGATGGTGTTGGAGTCGTGCCTGGCCATGCAGAAGGTAATCTATACTCTTAGAAAAAATTGTTATTCGGCTGTCCCCATAGGAGAACCCTTTTTGGTTCCAGGCATAACCCTTTTTGATTCCAAGTAGAACCCTTTCGGGTTCCATGTAGAACCCTCTGTGGAAAGGGTTCTACATTGAACCCAAAAGAGTTCTACCTGGAACCAAAAGGGGTTCTTCAAAGGGTTCTCCTATGGGGACAGCTGAAGAACCCTTTTAGGTTTTAGATAACACCTTTTTTTCTAAGAGTGTAGGTGTGAAACAGCAGTTTGTTGTGAAATAGGAGTTTGTTGTGATATAAATGTGATGGTGGAAATTGTATGGTGGATAGAGGAGTCGAGTGCACACAAATCAAGTTAACAATATTGATACTGTTGCATATTAAAATCACAGTCAAAACCAACATTTTGGATCGGCCCTTCCTCAAGGAAAGCTGAACTCAATGGAAACCTAATGTTAGTTGGGGTTACGGGAGGGGGCATTTGGGGGGAGTTGGGGTGACAGTAAGAGACAAAGGAAGCTCTGTGTGATGTCATGCCATACAGTTTACCAGGAACCTCTGCAGAGTTCTTACAGGACTGACTATCAGTCATCCTCTTTAATTCAATTAGGTTCTGACCTCCTCCTGATCCTGACTGTCTCCTGTTGTGAAATGTTCTATTAGCTTTCTACCTAAAAAAAAAAGAAAAAATCTTCCATTCTTTACTGCGGGGCTCTGTTGTACTATATTGAGTATCTTTAGTTCTGTGATGAAGTACTGTGGATCAGTAGTGAGAGAAGGTCTGTTTTGGTTTGTGACATGGTACTAAAGCCTATAATCCTGTACTAAATCCGCATGACTGGTGGAGAGCCAGAACCCCTTGTTTTCTGTTATCAGACGCCAACAACGGCCTGTTTGATTGGATGAGCTGTTTACATTCTCTGGAGTGGCGAGAGAGACTAACAGAATGATGACAGCTGTGTGATGCTCTGCTTTGTAGATTTGGGTTTTCCCAGCCACTTACTTACTCAGTCATTCACACACACTCACACATAGATACACGGACACACAGACACAAAACCAAAAGGCAAATGAAAGTGCTTACAGTCTTAAATCTTAGTAGATGTTTGGAGAATGTTTTCCCAATATGCAGCGACACTGTAAACCTATTTTTCAGGGAACTCAGAAGCCAGATGTTTAGTATTGTGACAACTGTGTCATTTCATTTTCATTTGTCACAATTAAATCTCAGCTGGTTTGTGAAACCTTCTTGTATTGGATAAATGGATCTCAGGGAATCAGATGTGTTGACTCAAAACAGTGCTGGGCCAACCGGAGAAGTCATAAATTGCGCACTGTGCGCGCTGGGACTTAGTCAATGACAGAGCAAGCTGTCTACTCGCACGCTGTAGGGTTATGAGATGCATTTATAGTGTGTGTGACATCTGTCCCCTCTCCCCAGAGGTCCATTGTCCTGAATTTAGAACAGTGACAGCAGGTCTTTGAGGAGGACACAGCCATTTCTCTGCCCTATTACAGGAACCAGCCTTATACAGGCACTCTGCAGGGCACCCCCTGTGACCAAGGACCCTACTAGGGTCTTCAGACTGCTACCATGGACAAGCTGCTGTGGTTACCAAGGTGAAGCAGCCAGAATGTGTCCTGCGGTGCTAGTGAAGGAATTCCTGATGTCCAGGATTTCTGGGGGCTCTGGTGTATTGTCTGAGTCATTATCAAAGCCACCCCCCACCGTTTCTGCCGTAGCCCACACTCCCAATACACACCCACACATACACACACACACCAACCAAAACCTGTGCTTGTAAGCTGTTTCTCATATTAAACTACTGTCAGGCCAGTGTAGACTGTTACGTTCCTCAGTGCCTCATTCCTTTATTAAAACATTCAGCTAGTGGAACACTGGCTGTGGGGAAACGGTTGGTGCTGTGATTTCAATTAGATCATTTAACAAGACAGGACAGCAATATCCCTTCCCTTCTGTTTTGTTTACATAGAGCAACTACAGTACAGTATAGGGAGCTGAAGTGTAGCGTAGCGTACCAGGGGAAATGAGGCATAGTCATCTAAGCCTGTACGGCGCCCTGTTAGGTGTGGGTTAGAAGAGCTAACCAGCCATGATGTGACCCATCCAAACCCCAATGTTGTTGGCTCTCCCTGAGCAACTCCACACACTGGGCTTCAGTTCCTTCCGCCACAATCATCGTAGAGGGAGAGTTAGCGTATTGGGCACGTTCTCGCTTGGAAGGAATGTGTGTGTTTGGAAGCGAAGCTGGCAACTCTATCCAGAGGGTCGCTCTCGTGTGGCTACACCGAGGACACAGCTCATTGACTTTGGCTGCTGTGGCCATGCTCTGCTCTGGGATTACAGTGAAGGTGTATAAAATGGCTACGGGGTCTGACAACAGAAACCCCCAAAGACAACCCAATAACCCCCAAAACTTGTAGCCTACTGTAGGCTCTCCTCAGATGTTCCAAATACTGCAATTAATGGAATGTACCATCTTGTTTGGCAATTAGGGGGGCATTTTAATAGCACCATTCTCAAACATTCGTATCTTAGAGTTAAAAAGATTGAATCCTCCCAGTCCAATTAAAATGTAAAGTTGCTATTTTAAAACTAAACCTTATAAAAGAGAAATGGAGAAAAGAATGCTGCTGACAATTACAGAGTCACTTTCTGATGAGAATTCAAAGAATGCCTGGAGATTCACCGAGGTGTAACAACTATATGAGTATGGCTCTAGAGAGTGATCCTGGCATCTTTGGTCATGCAGAAACACTTTATTTTGTCCCTTGCAGTGTCTATCTGTCTCCAACAAGATCACACTGACTGCTGCATAACTTTTTGTTTCAGTTGGGTTTTCTCTTGAGTTCTCTCTTGGCTTAGGCTCACAGTTTGGGTGTGTGGGGGTCAAAAGTGTCTGCTCCGCTGCGCTGTGGAGTTTTGTCTCTGGAAGACCATTTTCCCAAGCTCTCGCCTCGCACCAATCCTCTAGGAGCAGCGAGGGAATTATAAAAATCTGTTCTTGCACAGGCGTGCGGAGCGGGGTTGGGATCGGGAGCTCTGCAGGGAATTCTCAGACGGAACCCCAGAAATGTGGGTGAAAACAGGAAGAGAAGGAGAATTTGGCAGCGAGCTCATCTAGGAGAGACTATGGCTAGGAGGACAAATCTGATCCAGAGAATAAGTGAATATGAGTGCATTACAATGGGTCCAATTGGGTCCATATACACTGAGGCCTATTCAAGACTAGCCATGTCAGTTGCAGTGAGAGGAACCGACAAGAAGGGGTTTATGTCAGTAGTGTTCAAGTCATAAAGTAACGCTAAACTTATTTAATGGGACAGTTCCTTGTGAATAAAACGTGTTTTTCCATCAGCTGTTTGATCTTGGGTTAAAGTATTGAATTGCACATTTCCTTTGTGGAGCCGGCAGGTTTGGGTGTTCCAATAACAGATACAAGCATTATCTGAAATATAAGGCGTGTTCTCACCCCCTATCATTGTGGTTGAGGACAAGGTGAAACCACATCTAGCTTCATCAGATGTGATGTGGTTGGTGTACTATTGCGCAAGCGTGTGTTTGTATGTTTTGCATATTTTCTGTTGCTACATAGTGTATTCCTCACCCTGTGAAACCTGTAGCCAATGCTTCAGCTCCACACAGGAGACTCACAGCAGGGGCACTTTCATAACTTCCAAAGCTGCTTTTATTTGGCAAGCCTAATAGTTAATGGCCTGACTTAATCTGTCACTGGATGATTTATTGCAGCCATATGCACGTTGTACTTTCACTTATAGTATGGCTCGATCTATGTTGTGCAAGACTTTCTGATTGATGTTGTGCATCTAGAGAAGACCACTCTGAAGAGGGTCTGATGAAGTGAACACAAGAGCAGGCTTGGATCAGCTATGAAGATTGGAGTTTATGGTATTCATCAGGCTTGGATGAACTAATGCAGAGACAGACCAAAGTTGTAGCTTTATTCAGAAAGCACTGCCGGTTTGGATCAGCTAATGTATGCCACTTGATTTACATTTTTGTCATTTTGCATACGCGATTATCCAGAGCGATTAGGGTTAAGTGCCTTGCTCAAGGGCACATTTTTCACCTAGTCGGCTCAGGGATTTGAACCAGCGACCTTTTGGTTACTAGCTCAACGCTCTTAATCACTAGGCTACCTGCCGCTCCTAAAGAAAGCTTGGATCCACTAAGGAATGCTAGAATTGCAGACGTAGCCTATTCAGTAGAGCAAGCTTGGATCATTTAATAACAAGTTGTAGCTAGCTAGCTGTACTCAGTAGAGCAGGCTTCGGGATTAGCTGGCATAGGCAGTGGTCAGTGGAGCCAGCAGGGTAATTGGTAGCAGATTGGGTTGAGTGAGGGGAAGCACATGTAGGAGTCTCTTCCTGCAAGGAGAAGGGGAAGACAGGTCTGTAGAGGAGGGGATGAAGGGAGTATGGAGGAGTAGTATGCTGTTGAAATGTGATCCAGCGTTCCAGATGGGTTGAATGGCGATCGTTTACTTCTCTGCCTCCTTCACTGCTCACTGATTTGTCTTCTCCTTATCTTGTCTTATTCTTTTGCTCTTCTCTATTCTGCTGTCTTCTCCCTTGTTCTATTGCCTTCTCACCTCACTTCTCTTCCAGTCTGCTCTCAAGGTTGCTCTTTCCATACTTACGGGGTAGAGTTGAGTACAGTCCAACAACTGTCAACCCCCCTTAAAAGTAACCACACCAGTTTCTTAGTGGGATATTCTTTTTTTCTGATTTTCAGACTGTGGTGTCAGTAGCTTAAACCTCTGGTTCTGGAGCCTGGTCGTTTCACTGCTAGGCCTTAAGCACATCATTAACCTGCTAGCCGCACCATTTGCAGCATCAGTGGGATGTGGAATGGGTTGCACTAGGAAGAGAAGGAAAGCCCTTACTATTAAAAGCTTGCTGCGGTTACCGGTCGGAGAGCTGTGGGGTTTTCAGCCCATTTACAACCTCCGCTCTGACAGGTGGGTAGGAGTAAGGTCGTTTTCATAAAGACTGTGGTGCCTCCTTCTGTTTCCGCCCTAGAGTAGAACAGCAGACTTACTGTGGTGAAAGTCAGAGCAGAGCAGAGGAACTGTCAACAGAGGTCTCTGGGTTTTTACAATGGGACCGACAGAGTATCTGCCTACACCACAGTGAGGTGGGATGGAGAGGGCACAGGAAGTAGTACCCTTAACCCACATCCTGCCATTCACACTTTCTCTCTGTCTGTATGTATATAAAAAAAACACAAGGGCAAACAAGACAATAAATGTTTCTGTCATGGTGTTTGCCCAGAACAGTAGCTGCTTCTGAAATGGCAGAGTGGTTAGCCCTATGGTTATGGCATGCACCATAATTACTGTATATCCTGTGAGGTTTGCAATTGGGGACCCATTGTGGTCATATTTAATTCATTCCTACAGTCCTTTGTGGGGTAGACAGTAGAATCCCTTGTCTTGGAAGCAACTACTTACAGTTGTATACAAACCATACAATAACAAGAAATGTTATACTTGGGCGTGAAAAAGACATGACAATACATGTCAAGGTTATTTTTAGATTGGATTGATACAATAATTGTTTCGGGTATCCCCTTGAGTTCCTGTCTCATTCTGTGGCTAACCCAGTTTTGTTTCTGTCTGCTGTCCATCCTTTCCCAACGGCTAACAATGGAGGAAGAGGGGCAGGGCGACGGGGCTGAGCAGAGGCACGCCATGCTAGGGGGAGTCCCGCTGGGCCTGGACAGGACATGGACAGCCCCTGTGTGTGTGTGTGTGTGTGTGTGTGTGTGTGTGTGTGTGTGTGTGTGTGTGTGTGTGTGTGTGTGTGTGTGTGTGTGTATCCTCTGGGTTCCCATGGGTCGCCTGATAGGGGTGTTTACTACAATCCAGTGAAGAAATGCAGGGACAGTTGGAGCTAGGGGGGTGAGAGAGAGAGAGAATTGCATTGTTAATTTGCCCACCCCCTCCATACAGCCATCACGTCCACCAGCCTTTCTTCTCCCTCTCCCCCCATCCCCTCCTCTTTCTCATGAATCTCTGTCAGACTGAAGCACGTCAAGTCAGCAGGTGAAATCCCCAGCACATAATTTGAACCAGCACATTGTTTCATATCTGGGTTCCTACAAGATCCTGCAGCAGGGCTGACAACAAATTGGCTTCGCATTACCTCTGGCATACTCTGGAACACTAGTAGAAGGTCCTTCAGAGTAAAAATAAATTCCTCCATCCCCCCCCCCCCCCATCATATTGCTCTCCAACAGCGAGGGAGAGAGAAAAAAATTCTGCACAGTTCGCTGTTCCGCAGAGAGCTTGCTAAATGTGAAGTGGTGCATTAAATTGATTGCAGACGAGGCTTTAGCATTTGTTAAAACAAACCACACTGTGTGGGGATAGACACGGCTCTATACTTAGCCATACAAAAAGTAAAATATATATAATCGTAGCCTCTTGCACTTCACTTCTCTGCCACAGTTTTGAGCAGCTCTCTCCATCTGCTGCTTTGCTACCTTTCTGAAGGACTGTGGTCCTTCTTTCTCCTTGGGCATGAAGTAGTAATTAGAGTCTAACCACTTATGGTGAATTATCATCCTGGACAGTCACTCTTTGGTGTAGCGTCCATTCTTGCTAGCTGTGATATCTGGGGCCGCCGTGGGCGATTTATCCTTTTTAGGTATGTGGAAATGACTGAGCGCTCCCCCATTCTGGAGGCTCCCTGAGAAGAGAGGTGATGTCATGGTGTAGGTTGTTCCTGCGGGGCTGGACGTTCAGGAGGATGAAATCTTTATGAGAAGCAGCTGTGAGGAGCAGCTTGCAGGCCTCCAGAGCTCAGAGAGACTAGACCTGCAACACTACTGACAACAGCAAGACTTATCACTGACAGTACTACTGACAACTTCAAGACAGTACTACTGACAACAGAACTGACTCTGATAATACCAGGTCTAAAGCAGAGGAGGCTGGTGGCAGGAGCTATAGGAAATCAGGCTCATTGTAATGGCTGGAATGGAATTCATGGAATGGAGTCAAACATATGGGGGTTTGATACTGTTCCATTTATTCCATTCCAGTCTTTACAATGAGCCCGTCCTCCTATAGCTCCTGCCACCAGCTTCCTCTGGTCTAAACACTGACAACACCAATGACTACACAGGACCTCAGCACTGACGTCCATTCAGGTACCATAGATCATTGTCATCACCAGGCCTCATCACATCAAGTCATAAATGCTGATTCCACACCAATAAACACATCACTTATACTGGTACTGATTAAATCAATGACAATGACAAGCCCATGTCTAACTCACCGTGAGGCTAGGAATGCAGACTCTTATTTAGTCACAGATTCCATGAAATGCTGGAATCTGAAGTTGACAGTGGATTGTTTGTAGCTGCCCTATTGTTGTGGAATGTCATGATGCCTCCTCTGGGCTAGCTAGTCTGTTAACTTGACCTGTAGCTAGGTTGTGAATCCTGCTTTGTTAGTGTCCTATGTAAAGCAGACCAGAGTCCTGTGGGCTCTGTAAAAGGCTTCCAGGGCTGTCAGTGTGTTAGCCAGTCAGGGTGGGGCTGCTATTGTCCACAGTATCAGGCTCAGTGGAGTGTTTGTGTGGATGACAGCAGTTTGTCTACAGGTCTTTGTGGAACAGAGATTTGTAGCATCAACGCAGATGGTCATAGTCCCCCATCTCCTCCTTTAACACATCGTGTTCTCCTCTTTGGTTCCCTCTCTTTTTTACACACATGCACCAGTGAATATATCACACACTCATACAACGCTCAAACACCTTATTTCTTCCACACACACTTGAATACATCTTGCACAAGCACACATACATGGTAACTGCGAACTCACATCCCTATAGTTACATTCACATCCCATCTTCCCTGTCTTACCATGACACCGTCCCCTTTGCAGTTTCCTACTAGGCTCACTCCTGTGTTGTTTATGGAACTGTAGCTGTGTCCAGACACCCAGTGACCAGCTATCTGCTGATAGGAATCTCCTGCTGTCCTGTTGGGTTTGTTATGCAACTGATGGGCCCTGCTGCTGACCCTCTGGCTAGAGCTCGCTCGCTCTCACTCATTCATTCACTCATACACACACACACACACACACACACACACACACACACACACGTTATTCTTTGGCCTTCTTGCAGGGCCAGGGGTTTACTGGTGTGTTTTGTTGACAAGGTCTGGGTATTATCAGTCAGTCCTATCTATCCTCTCTCACACACATATCAACAGTCCCAGCCCCTTCTGAACAATGCTCCTTCCCATAGTTCCTCTGCCACGGCGTGCATCGGCTGTCACACCAATCAGATGTCAGAGAGCGAAGGTCAGGGGGCTGGGTAGGTAGGGGTCAGCGGGGTCACATTTCCCGTGATGTTTTTATTGGCCGGAGCAGATGGCTTCCCTCGGCCACATCATTGTGGAGGTCGTCATCTCTCCCTTCCTGGGTCAGGGTTAACAATGGCTGCCAGGGACAAAGAGGTGGCCAAGGCCCTGTATGTCTTTCTCTCACTCTCTCTAATGGAGTTAGTTACCCCAGTAACGGGCTTGGTCCCAATAAAACTGCCCGGCAGTGCTGTCAGATTTACAGCTTTACTAGATACGGATTCACTGGCTGTCACATTCAGAGTGAAGGGGGGGTTCATATGGAGCTGCCTGCTACTGTAGTGCCAGGCTTGGTGACTCATTCAGAAACCTGGAGCCTGTAATGGTCAAAGTCAGTTACACTCAACTCAACAAAGTGTTCCTCAGTTAGAGTTGTGTGACTGAGTCCACGGAACACGTTCAACTGTAGAGAATGCAGTGTTGCAGTGGGGCAGTTAGCATTCCATCACAGAACTCATAGAACAGCACTTTGTGTTTTCACCCTGGGGCTCCAAGAAATTAAGGAGAGCTGAAAGCCACAACTATTTTCACGGTGTAATGTTATACTTGTATAATTCTTCACAATATCCACTTTCCTTCCCTCTTTCTTCTCTCTTTCTCTCCATTTGCTCTCTCCTTTCCTTCCACCCCCTCTGTGATGCGCACCCCCCTCTTGCTGACCCAGAAAATAAATTAAATGTAAAACAACACTTTTTCTGAGGCTACATACATTTTTCTTATGTTCCATCCCCCAGCCCTCGTTCACTGGATTTCTGTTAAACTTTTGTCCTGTTTGGTTTTAGTAGAGAAAGAAGAGGCAGAGAGCAAAGAGAAGGCAGGGGGGAGGTTGATGTTTCCCCTCAGACATGTGAACAGTGCTCAACTCACAGCTGAAAGTCATTTGGGCCTGCAGGCCGGCAGGCGAGGGCCTGATGCGAACCCCTCCTCTCTCTCTGGGGGGATAGCCCAGTATTTCTCCAACAGACACCAGAGAGAGGGAGAGAAGGAGGAGAAAGGGATGGAGGAGTAGAGCGAGAGAGAAAAAGATAGACAGATTAACCTCTTACCGTAACCAAGTGCATTTTATCAGCCAAAAGCATAATTTCTCCACAGTGTCAAGTTATACTTAAACACTTAAGTGGAAAAAACAACAACCCCTGAGCTGTGCAGTTTCAAAACGCCGGACGAACCCACTGGGCCAATTACACAGTTGACTCTGCCAAGGAAGAGTTCAGCTAGTCAACGACTTTTATGTAATTCAGCCAAATTGGGACATATTTTCCTCAATGACTTGTTCAGCTGCTCTGGGGACAGCAATGTGTAGAATATTGCCCGACTGGGCAGGCATTCCCTGCGTCCTGAGGGCTGGGGTGAGGGGTTGCAGCAAGGTTAACTAATGCGTGCTTATTGGGGGTTGAGGGGGCGTTTGTTGGAGTGGGCAATGCTCAGGAAATGTTTAATGGCCCATGGATGCCCTGAAGCCCTCTAGCACATCTGGTTGAGGTCACACACGGACATTCCCCCATCTGCTGGTTCTGGCAACTGCTTTGTCTAGCTATGTATATGTGTGTGACATGTGAGCGTGTCTGTCCAGCAGTCTGTCTGTCCTTCTATCTGTCTGGATGAGTAAACACTAACTGCTAACAGGCATTTGCCCAGATGCGTCCCCTGCCATGTTAACACCTGTGCCAAATCATGCCAGGACGCTTGACCAGCGTTTATGGGCCTGGTCGTTGAGCGCTTGTCTAGGCTGTGTCCCAAATGGCACCCTATTCCCTATGTAGTGCACTACTTTTGATAATGTTTTTTAGCGTAATAAAGTACAGAGGAAAATATCAGCTGTGTGCTGGGGAATGGGAGGGGAGCCACGATTGATGGAGGGGTAACACGCTAAACAAAATGCTTCAGTAGTGCTCTTGAACACGTTCCAGGTCTTTTTGGAGAGGTAGTTAGTCAGTGAAGAGGATAGATTGTGTGATAGGTTGTCAAGTGAAAAACGCTCCTCTCAAGTTGAACTGAATGCCGCTTCTTCTTTTGTGTTGGAATGTTGCTGACGTTTTCCTAATAGGCCTTAATTGCATTACGATAGGCTACATGGGGGAATTTGCAGTATTTTCCAAAGGTTTCCATCCATGTGCCACACGGACTCAGAGTCCTCTTTTGTGTTTACTTCTGCGGTTCAACATAATTTAAAGCTTCATTTTCAAATGTATCCTCCAATTACTAATCAGGTAGGGATCTACAGTTTGGGGAGAATCCTCACAACCCGTGAGGTCTGATCCTCTCTCTGCAGTTTTGGTTTACAGGAGTTTCATGGCTCACAGAACTCAGATGGAGGCTTAAAACCACCGGTATATAGCATACCCATTAGCCTGTCCGACTCTCTCTTAGTATTTACGTATGTCTCTGTGTGACAGTCAAACTCTTTGTGTCCGACTCATTTTACTCCATGAGGAGAGTAAGTCACCCAGAAATGATCTCCTCTATCTGACAGACCAATAGCAGTCTAATTCCCCTACCTGGATACTTTAGTGTCTGTCTGACTGACTGTCTTTATCTGTCTTTCTCTCTTTCTATCCAGGATGCCAGCTGCTAGCACAATGACTGGTGGGAGGGCCCTGCTGCTCTGTACCAACACTGACAACCAATCAGTCAACGGGTATGTATTGCATTACTACTACTACTACTACCTGTATATATTTTACAGTCCACTCCATGGAACCCCTTAGAAACAGGCAGAGGGCAACAGTGGCAGTCAAACTGTCCCATGTGGTGCTCCAACAATGGAGGGCCAGCAGGGTAGAGGTTGCCACATGGCAGCTGGATACTGTTACTGGGTACCCTGCTGTCACTAGTGGCGAGTGAAGGCCTATAAGCTCCCCAATGGCCATACTATGTGGTCTTCTGCTTTGGACTGTATCTGTGGTAACATTTTAACCAACAGACCTTCCTGACATGGCAGTGCATTCAAATTCATGCCTGTGCCGTTGTAGACCCAACTACTGTTCATGATCTCTTGTTAGTGTCATGTCATTTCTTTCCTTGTCTTGAATCCCCACCCTTCTTTTTTGGCATATAAAGCTATAGATTTCACAACTTGAAGAAACATACCTGAAAAAGTCCAAGCAACAGAGATCTATTTTCCCCCCTCATTAGACTCCTCTTCACCCACTTCAACTCGTTCCCCTTATCTCCGCCTCTGTCTCCTCATGCTCTGTTAGCTCAGCTGGCCAGAGATGGTTGTTGTAACCCCCTTCCGGCCCAAACCGCCCCCCTCCACCCCCACCGTCCTACTCCCCACCCCTCCTTGTCTGTGGGTGAGATAGAGCTTTCCCATAGTTTCCTGCTTTTAGCCAAGCTCTCTTTATGAAACAGGCCTTTCCCTGCCAAGAAGAAGAGAACACTATTGATCCCCTGCTGCCTCCCCTCACTCCCCCTGTCTGTTCCTCCTCCACCCCCCTCCACTCTTTCCCTCCCAATCTCTTTATCTTTCTCTTTTTCTTGGCTTTGCAGTTAGACCTAGATAGTTGTTTTTCCCCTCTGTTGCTCCATGCTTCATAAACTACAGCCTCAACTGAAGGCAGAGGCATTTTGTAAACTACTATTAAAAGCAAGATAATTTGCATGTTTTTCTCCAATTACTCTTCTATCTTGCTCATTGTAAAATTGTCTAAGGAAGTCGAAGGGAAGTTGTACTGGCCGTTTCTATTAGGTTTCCCTTGAGATTGCATGACTTTTCATTTTCGTATATACAATATAGCGATGTCATCAGAGGTCGGGTTTCCTGCATTTGTTTTAAAACCAAATCATTTGATGAACTGGCCTTGATCCAACATGGAGTCAGTTAGTGGGTCAGCTTTAGTTTAGAAAAGATGCATGTTAGCCCTCTGCCACCTCTCCCCCAGCCTCTCCCCCAGCTGTGTACACTTTCATCCCCCCAGAAATAGTTGTGTTGCTTGTAAACTTTGACCTCGAGTTCAAACAGTCACGACCCAGTCATCGTGCAGAAACACATATTTAGTTCTACTAGGGGTTGTTGTTTTACGAGAATTCCTACTTATTTACTCCATAAAATCAAGAGGCAGTTATTTTGTATCTGAAGTGCCTAGACAATTTTAGCATTTTTTAACATACGTACGCAGAGATATTATGTGGATATCCAGAATTATGAGCTCGATGATTACAGTGCTTTGTCTACACCTGTTGTTTTTTCTGGGATGGGTTTGGCACTGCTATCTCTAATCTGTGTGTGTGTGTGTGTGTGTGTGTATGTGCAGGCTCCAGTGCTGCGGCTTGAAGGTTGGGGAGGCTCCGTCTGCGGTCCCCCAGCGGCCAGACGTGGTGTGTGTGGACAGGGACACCTCCAAGCGGCCCCTCTCCCCCCTGTTCTCCCCTCTGGATGGGCCAGGTACCACTGACACCATGCTGGCTTACAAGAGTGCCACCTCGGACCCCCAGACCACCGTGGAGAATGGACTGGTCAGCTGTAGCAAACTCAACAAGACCCCAGCGGGTCTAAAGACCAGCGCCAGCATCCGGGACAAGATCTCCCAATGGGAGGGGAAAAAGGAGACCCTCCCTACCTCCCCAGTGGTTGGAAGTGGTCCATGCCTGCTGACCACAGTGCACAAGGAACCAGAGACTGTGAGAAAGAAGGAGATCTCGGAGGTCAACAGGACGGACAGTAAGAGGTTGGTCAGCTGGGAGAGGCAGGACTCTGGGAAGGAGAATGTAGGAAAGCTGGGGGATTTACGGCCAAAGTCACCTGAGGGCCTCACTACCAGGGACAGAGAGGTGATACTGGATAGAGGATCCCTCAGAGGCAGTAGTAAACCCACAGAGACAGCCAAGGAAAATAAGTCAGTTTTGACTCACATTAAGAAACTGGAGCAGGCCATGAAAGAGGGTCCCACCAATCCCTCCTTGGTGTTGCCTGGGAACTATTTCTGCCCCCCTTCCAAGGAGGAGCAGGAGGAAGCAGAGAGGAGGGGGAACGAGCCCATATTTGGGACACTGGACGTTATGGGGTCAAGGCCTGTGGGGTCATCGCGGCAGCAGAGGTCAGGTGACCCTGAGAATGTGTACACTGAGCCTGGTGCTGCAAGTCCCTCCATCAACCCCTTACCCAAACCCCAGCGCACCTTCCAGCACCACACCCCTCCCAGCGCCTCAGGACTTGGCCTGGGCAAGGGGAGACGTAACCTGCCTCCTCTGCCCTCCATCCCCCCGCCTCCCCTACCCACCTGCCCCCCGCCAGGAGTCTGCAGGAGACCCTGGTCAGACAGAACACGAGACAGCAGCAACAGGTAAGAGACGGAGATCAGACAGAGATGAAATGAGACAATATGGGAGGAAATACAGCACCCTCCGATTCAGATTCATTCATTGCCACACCAATGATTGGCAGTATTGTCTTTCGGTACAGCAAGTTCTTAGTGATGTTTTACCCTAACTGCATACTTCATCCAGTCATCCAGTCATCCAGTGTAGCTTCTCATTCTGCACATCTGCACTGAATCAGAGGAGGGGGCGATGATGTCATCCTCCTTCTGCTCATCACAGCGTTCTAGAGGGTGAGGTCATTGGTTGGAGCTGTGGAATGTACACATGGACCAACAACCTTGCCAAGAGACTCCTGGCAGGAAACAATAACATGTTGCATTGTGTGTTTGTGGTTGATTGGCCCTTGGAATATCAAGGGTTTATGGTTGAGTAGTTTTATAGCCCTTACATAGCATTGATTTACTTTCATTTTCACGGAGGTTATAAAGAGACACAACGTTCATCCAAGGCTTCAAAAAGCACAATACATGTTTTCAAGTATACAACAAAAGAACTTAAGAAACACTCAAGTGTTTGCGTGTTTCTATTTTGATTTCTTTAGTAGACTGCATTCTCGTTAGACCAAGTCTGGCTGTGTAACATTCCATACCAAATGTGGAGGTTTCACACAGCTGAGGTCTGTGTTTCCAATCTCTTTGTGAAGTCAGCCTAACTCTCAGCCCAGCTTGCACTCAACCCTTTGACACGTACCAACAAACGTATGTGATCATTCTACAGTGGTCCCTGCAGGGTACGGTCAAACTGGTGTGATTAGAACGCTTATTTAGAATGTCCAGTTTCGATTGACGCAACAGTCAGCGTTTGAGCTGTCTACACTGTTCCTTCACAGAAAATGTTTGCATAAACACAGTCCTTACAAAGTTATGCCCTGAATGTGACCAGTGTATTTTTGGATGCAATGTTCAGACATTCACAGAAGTAGCGACAGCATAACACAATCATCCAAACTGGAAAATGTAGGCTACATTAATCGTAGCGCTAACTGAGGAAAGATTGACATAACACAAGCTGTCATATTTAGCTAACTCTCTGCTGACAGAAACCACAATCTGAATTAGCTAATAGCAATTACTATTTACAATTCATCACATCACGGGTGAGTTCAAAATAATTGAGTAAAACACTTTCTAAAAATCAAAAGTTATCAGACGATGGGTAGTTTGTGCACGCCGCCATGTTTATTTTTTCCTGTCAACCAAAGATAAGAAGAAGATGAGTTTGGTCTGTTTGCAGTATGCATGTTGAAGGGGGTGTGTCTACAATCATTCACTTCCGGAAGTTTACTCGAAAGATGAGTGAACCATTACTTCACTTCATTTTGTTATAACATCTTTGGTCTGACAGACGTTTACGTGACACTCAGAATGCATTGTATAATGTCAACAAACATGGCGCCACACATAGCTGGTAAAGAGCTTAGCATTATAATCAGAACGATCTTCAAAAAAGTATTTTACACACATAATAGGTGTCCATTACAATCTATGCAATCATTGGAATGCATGTTTGTCACCAGTACTTGAAGATGTGAATAAAACTGTAAATACATTATGCTCCATACAGTGGCTTACGAAAGTATTCACCCCCCTTGGCATATTTCCTATTTTGTTGCCTTACAACCTGAAATTAAAATTGTTTTTTTTTTTTTGGGGGGGGGGGTTGTATCATTTGATTTACACAACATGCCGACCACTTTGAAGATGCAAAATATATGAAAAACAAAAAGAGAACTTGAGCATGCATAAAAAAGAGAACTTGAGCCACCTTTTGCAGCAATTACAGCTGCAAGTCTCTTGGGGTATGTCTCTATAAGCTTGGCACATCTAGCCACTGGGATTTTTGACCATTCTTCAAGGCAAACTTCTCCAGCTCCTTCAAGTTGGATGGGTTCTGCTGGTGTACAGCAATCTTTAAATCAAACCACATATTCTCAATTGGATTGAGGTCTGGGCTTTGACTAGGCCATTCCAAGACATTTAAATGTTTCCCCTTAAGCCACTCAAGTGTTGCTTTAGCAGTATGCTTAGGGTCATTGTCCTGCTGGAAGGTGAACCTCCGTCCCAGTCTCAAATGTCTGGAAGACTGAAACAGGTTTCCCTCAGGAATTTCCCTGTATTTAGCGCCATCCATCATTCCTTCAATTCTGACCAGTTTCCCAGTCCCTGACGATTAAAAACATCCCCACAGCATGATGCTGCCACCACCATGCTTGGATGGTGTTCTCGGGGTGATGAGAGGTGTTGGGTTTGCGCCAGACATAGCGTTTTCCTTGATGGCCAAAAAGCTCAATTTTAGTCTCATCTGACCAGAGTACCTACCATATCTATGGGGAGTCTCCCACATGCCTTTTGGCGAACACCAAACGTGTTTGCTTATTTTTTTCTTTAGGCAATGGCTTTTTGCTGGCCACTCTTCCGTGAAGCCCAGCTCTGTGGAATGTACGGCTTAAAGTGGTCCTATGGACAGATACTCCAATCTCCGCTGTGGAGCTTTGCAGCTCCTTCAGGGTTATCTTTGGTCTCTTTGTTGCCTCTCTGATGAATGCCCTCCTTGCCTGGTCCATGAGTTTTGGTGGGCGGCCCTTTCTTGGCAGGTTTGTTGTGGTGCCATATTCTTTCCACTTTTTAATAATGGATTTAATGGTGCTCCGTGGGATGTTCAAAGTTTCAGATATTTTTTTATAACCCAACCCTGATATGTACTTCTCCACAACTTTGTCCCTGACCTGTTTGGAGAGCTCCTTGGTCTTTATGGTGCCGCTTGCTTGGTGGTGCCCCTTGCTTAGTGGTGTTGCAGACTTTGGGGCCTTTCAGAACAGGTGTGTATATATACTGAGATCATGTGACAGATCATGTGACACTTAGATTGCACACAGGTGGACTTTATTTAACTAATTATGTGACTTCTGAAGGTAATTTGTTGCACCAGATCTTATTTAAAGGCTTCATAGCAAAGGTGGTGAATACATATGCACGCACCACTTTTCCGTTATTTATTTTTTAGAGTTATTTTTTTCATTTCACTTCACCAATTTGGACTATTTTGTGTATGTCCATTACATGAAATCCAAATAAAAATCCATTTAAATTACAGGTTGTAATGCAACCAAATAGGAAAAACATCAAGAGGGATGAATTATTTTGCAAGGCACTGTACATACATACATACATACATACTGTATGCTACAGTAGAAACAACATAGGAATGCACACATGTCCAAAGTTATTATTTGTAAGGAATACAACAATGAAGGCAATGCGAGCGCCAGCCAGAAAATGTGCCAGGGGGAAAAAGTTTGTGCAAGACTGCGACTGACGCCGTGCCACAATAGAAAAGAAACGTGTTTGCATGACTAATGCCTAAGCAAATTAATTTATATGTTTTCTATCTGTGCTTGGAGTTCAAAACAGTGAAACTAAGCTATCAGCGTTATTAAAAGTCTTATTGAAACATTCAATGAAAGTTTTAAGGAAGTTATTCAAAAACCTCCTTAATTTATTTCTTTTAAATTTATTTCAAAACATTTACAACATTTTAGAGCCTGTTCTCAGAAAGTGTATTTTATTACCTTCAAATAACCTATAATTTATGTTCTCAGAACCTTAATAAAACCTCCCCAGGAAAACTTTCAGGGAACCATAGTAAAACGTTATCAGAACCTCCCTGCAGGCTAAATGTTCTCAGAATGTTTCAAAAACCTTCAGTTTTACCGGTCAGGAAACGTATGGCTTCGTTCCCAGAACTAATCGGAAACCAAAAACATATGTTTCCACAACTTCCAAAGAAGCAAATGTGCTAGCTGGGAGGCTGTGCCCCACATGGCACCCTATTCCCTATATAGTGCACTCCTTTTGACCAGAGCCTATGGGGCACTGGTAAAAAATAGTGCACTATATAGGGAAAAGGGTGCCATTTTGGACGTAGTCTCAGTCTTTTTTATATGAGTTTTACAGAACAATAGCTCTATTGGAAGAGATGCTGTCTGTTTCCCACTGGGCCAGACTGTTTGGCAGCAGTGGCGCACACACAGAGCTGGGCATTCAGAGCTGGCCAAGAGGAGTATCTGTCTGTCAGTCTGTCTGCCTACACGCGCGCGCACACACACACACACACACACAGGCACGCATGCACACACACATTCACACACACCTTTACCATCTGGAGGGCTATAGAGATAGGTGGTTGTTCTAGACTGAAATATATGTATTTCTCTGCTTCCTTTACCCAGGTCCCAGAAGTAGAGAGAGAGCATATGCAAACAGTTCATCTTGAATCTTCACCACCAGCCAATACTGTCAAGCCAGATTATTTGTGTTCCTTACCTTAAATCCACTACTTCCACTACCAATATGTATCTCCCACCTGGCTGATCCGTGTGTCTGTCTGTCCTACAGGAAGTCCTATGAGTTTGAGGATCTGCTGCAGTCGTCGTCAGAGAGCAGCAGGGTGGACTGGTACGCTCAGTCCCGACTGGGCCTCACACGCACTTTATCAGAGGAAAATGTATATGAGGATATACTAGGTAACGCACCCTCTTCCTGGTCCTAAGTATATGTTCCTAACATGGGCTTGATGGCTCAGTTGGTTGGAGCTGTGTTGGTTGGTTTGCAACACCAGAATTTCTGCATGGACCACATATACAGAGTATGTTCTTATACTGTACATTCCTAACACTGTGGATAGTGGAAGTGTTCTGTAAGGGTTGACTGGTGTAGTGGGCCCTTCTGCTCAGGGACAACTCAATGCCACAGAGTTCAGGGGCATGTTCAGTAGGGTACACTGTAGCAAAACTCAGTGGAAAACAAAAAGCTGTTTTCTTATTGGCAAGTTCAGGTTCTGTTTCACTTCATTTAAGAAGCATTTGCTACCTATTGAACACAACCCATTTGTTACTAAGGTTATGTTTTCTTATGTGCTTTTTCCTCTAGCTTTTTAATTAAGAAGAGGCATGGTGCTTCAGAATTGTTATTAGTAACAATGTGGTGCTCTTACCTACGTTTCTACGTTATTTGTCTACTGTGTTGAACTAACCCCACCTCCAGCCTGTTTAATATCATGTCGGTTTTGTGCGGTCTTTAAAACATTTTTTGTGAGGTGGTCTGCGGTGGGTGGGGGGGCATGTTTGAGTGGCTTAGTCCCCTGGTGCATTTTTGGCAACATTGTCCATGTTTCTATGGTTTTCATCACTCACACTGTTGTGTTAATGAGTATTGGTCGTTACATGTAGGGTATATTCAGGTCAATGCTATAGAGCTTAACCATAACAATCAAATTGTGTGTTTTATTGCATTTGGGTGCTGCCTATACTTAGTCTGTATTTTCTTACAGTGTCTAAGTGTAGCACTTAGAGGGAATTCTCAGACATGGTCTACTGAACCCCTGGCCCCCCAGGGGTAAAGTAACTCATGGCTCACTGTAGGAGCAGCTATATGTGCCTATGGGAGGAATAGCTAGAGTTGGAGCTAAAGAGAGAGAGAGACAAAGGCAGGACAGCAGACTGTTATAACTGGGTCTGAGTGTCTTCTCATGGGGAGGTCTACAGTCTCCACCATACAAACTCCCCCCAATGCTAAACACAACCAACTTCAGCCTGCTCTTTCAGATAGACAAAGCAGCAACTATCACTAGAAAAATCTCAATAGCACAGACTTCGAGTAGCAGGCCTATAATGATATAGAGATGTTAGTCACTTGAAACAACCAGTAAAATGTGAAAACCAGTACTCTAGCTGATTCCATGTTTTTCCGAGGAGAGGAGAGGAGAGGAGAGGAGAGGAGAGGAGAGGAGAGGAGAGGAGAGGAGAGGAGAGGAGAGGAGAGGAGGGGAGAGGAGGGGAGGGTAGAGGAACTGGTTGTCCCAGTCCCTGTCTGACGTCCCCCTCCAACAGGTCCATCTGGTAGATTAATCGACGAGGGAGAAGAGACCAGCCCCGGCTCTGGAAAATGGGCCTCACTGTCCCTGCCTCTCTCTTATCTGCACACACAGCAATGGTTAGAGTTACTGGTGCTGTAGTGTAAGCTGCCTGCTCTAGCACAGATGCAGTTTATCTTGGTGAAATATGAGCTTGGTTGCAAGGAAGCACTGCTGCTGGCAGGTCTGTACATACACACATCTGGAGCAAAAATATTGGAAACCCAACCAAAACATACCGTCAATGAATTAGAGCACTCGTTTGGGAAGATTGCCGTCCAATTAGAAACGTAGGACATTGTTGCTGAGTGTAAAATGTAGAAGCCAGTTGCTGTGTGTTTATGTGGCGGTCTGTTTGTTTCCTCTGCAGACCCTCCGTCAAAGGAGAACCCTTACGAAGATATAGAGTTGGAGAGAAGTTGCCCTGGAAACAAGTGCTCTTTACCCATCTCCTCTCCCTCATCTCTTGTCCCCGACACACCGACCAAGGTACATTACAGTAGAATGAATTGTCCCTGCTAGTAATGTGCATTGTGCTTCAAGTGAATGTGGTTATAGTGATCAACCGCTTATAGTGACCAGATTTTGAACTAATTTAATCAAAGGCAATAGAGGCCTACTATACAATTTCAGGGAAAGTGGACTAACACACACATTGATACACGTCTCGGCCTTCCCCCCTCCCCATTTTCCTCCTCCTACTCTACTCTGTTTTCCTCCTCCTCCTCTACTCTCTACTCCCTCCAGCTCTCCTCAAAGCCGGGTTTCTTCAGGCAGAACTCAGAACGCCGCAGCTTCAAGCTCCTGGACCTGCGTAAGACCAACCGGGACACTGGCATCTCCTCGCCCTCCCGCATCAGCCCCCCCTCCACCCCCAGCAGCCCTGACGACACTCCCAGTCTCTCAGGAGACCCCTACAACCGCAGGCGCAGAAAGATCCCCAAGGTAAATGGGGGGCCTACCAGACTCCCACCCTCAGTGATTTATAGGCACAGCCTACTGCATACGTCCCAGTCTAGTGCCAAGGCATTGCCTGCCTCTCATGCAGTTGTCTGGGAATACCTTAGACAGGACAGAGACAGTTAAGAGGATGTACCTAGACAGGACAGTTAAGAAGATTTATTTTGACAATATATTTCCTGTAGAGAGAATGTCTCCCAATAAGTGTTGTGTCCAACAACTCTCAGAATAGTACTGTGTGGTTGCTGCCAGTCTGGCTGTCAGTCTGTTAATGCCTCTGCCAATAATACCGTCGTAATTGCCTTTTTTGGCAAGGTTATGACCAAGGAGCTGACTAATAAAGCAGAAATAGACTGGCACTCAGGTTAACTATGTAGTGAAAGGGTGGTTCTGGGAAGTTACGATGGAGGATTCTATTGTTGTGCTACTTCTCCTCCCTACAGATGGTGCTGAAGATCAACGGCATCTTCGAGGTGAGGAGAGGGAAGAAACGCATGAAGAGGGTGTCTCAGTCTACTGAGTCCAGCTCAGGGAGAGGTGAGGCTGGGGTAGACCTGCCCGGAACACCTGGGGGGGGCTCAAGCTGCTTAAAGACTTACCTCTACCCCCTTACTACCCGACCCCCCCACCCTATTCTCCAAGCCCCCTACTCTCTACCCCCTTACCCCCTAGGCACTAATTTCACAGCTGCTTTCACTACACAGTTTGGACTACGCTGCCTCATATCTCCATAAAAGGAACAACACTCCTCCATATGTATCCACTTAGCTTTATGGGCATGTTTACATTTTTGGGTCAGTTGCGTTTGACCCATTTTTTTAGACGAGGGTTTTGTTGTTGCTTTATCAAACACAAATGTGGAATGAGTTTGTTATTGTGTATGAGTACTATGCCATATGTGGAAATGTTCTGCCTCAAATGTTCTTTCACATTATTTACAATGTGTTGTTCACGTTCACTCATTTTTTGTTTCTTTGTTTCTCTTTCATGCAGTGACAGATGACAACAGTGAGTCAGAGAGTGACACAGAGGAGAAATTGAAAGGTGAGGACATCTCAAGACAATATCTGTGTGAGCGTGCATGCGTGTGTGTACAGAAATGTATAGTGCTCTCTCCTTTCTAGAGGGGGCATGATTGGATGAAGTCTGCCGTTCCTTTGGTTTAAGAGTATTTTGTTGATGTGTCAGCTCACAGCCAGCGTCTGTCGTCGGTGCAGTCCATGTTGAGGCAGACGGGGCGGTACCGGACCCTAGAAAGGGACCTGATGGACCTACACGAGAGAAAGCTGTTTGAATATTTCATAGTGGTGGCCCTTCAGAAGACCAAGGCTGGAGCTCCTTATCTACCAGAGGTCACTCAGCAGTTACCTCTCAAGGTAGGCAGAGCTGACACCTAGTCCTCAACCAACTGGAATGTTCACGTGTTCATCTTATAAGTGAAAAAAAGTTTTAAAATGAGTGCACCTACAGTATGTGTGTATGCACATGCATCTCTGTAGTGTGTGAAGTTCTGTGTGAGTGTGATGTAACATCAGACATAGCATTGAAGCTAACTTGTTATTCTCTCTGTGTCAGCTGGAGAGGAGCTTCAAGTTCATGAGGGAAACAGAAGACCAACTGAAGGTCATTCCTCAGTTCTGTTTTCCTGACGCTAAAGACTGGGCCCCCGTTGACAACTTCCCCAGGTCAGGCTGCTCACACACACTCACCCCATATAGGAGGTGTTGACAAATTATGAATGGGAGGGTAGTGAGCTGCTAATAGTGTGTTTTAGGTATTATTTACATTTTAGCAGACGCTCTTATTCAGAGCGACTTACAGTTTAGTGAGTGCATAAATTTTTCATACTGGCCCCCCGTGGGAATGAAACCCACAACCCTGGCGTTGTAAGCGCCATGCTCTACCAACTGAGCTACAGGAGGCCTATTATGAAACCACCCGTCACTTCTGCTTGACACACATTACCCAATAGTACCTAGACCCAGATCAACCTCACAAGCACTGCTTTGTTTCCAAAAGTGACAGTGTGTTTCTGGTGGGAGTTTTATGGGTACCGGTTATTGGAATGTTAGCTCAAGCAGACCGAATCTGCGTCCCAAATGGGATCCTAATTCCTATTTAGTGCACTACCTTTGACCAGGGGCGAAAGGGCTCTGGTCAAAAATAGTGCACTATATAGAGAATAGGGTGCCATTTGGGATGCAGTCAGAGCCCCATAACACACACCTGCAGGGCAGAGACATTGAGCTGGCTGACACAGTGCCTGTCAGAAAGCCAGGATTGGTCAATGCACACCTGTCAGACAGACTGGAGCTGTCTTTGTGTGGGTTATGCAGAGTAAGTCTGCCTTGAGGGGAGGACTGAAGAACAAAGTAGGGAATTATTGGTTTTACTGACATCAAGAAACGACCATGGTGGTTGGATTTTTCCTTAAACAGGATAAATGAGTTGGCAATGCAGCTAACTATCCTAGACATTCTTAAAGTTGATAAATAAGATTACTTTAAAAAGGTGATGCACAGACACACAGTGACCCATTTTAAACTTTCTTTCCAAATCAGGTAAATAAGAGGTACATTTTTCAAAGTTGGCTGGCTAATCTATTGAGGTTGTTTTGTGAAATACAGACAGGAGTTTGAGTGCTCTATTTTCAACACACAACTCACTCAATTTCTTAACTGTTTTATTGCTCCAACATATGAATAGTTTCCAACCTGTGTGAATTATATTATTTTCCAGTGAAACGTTCTCCTTCGTCCTGACTGGTGAGGACGGGAGCAGACGGTTCGGATACTGTCGCCGTTTACTGGTAGGCTACTAAAATGGCTACTTTGTTATTTTCACCTCATCCACTTTCATGTGTATCACCTACCTGAGTGATGATAGTGATTGGAAATACCTGTATTGATTTGAATTCAAAATGGAGGGCCCTATCATTCACTGCACTGTCCTGCTCTGTGTCTACAGCCCAGTGGTAAAAGCCGGCGGCTGCCAGAAGTCTACTGCATCGTCAGCCGGCTGGGCTGTTTCGACCTCTTCTCTAAGGTACAGTATACTATACACATAGTGCCTGGAGTTTTTCCTGGTCAGGTCACATGTTCAGGCCAAACTCCCGGCCTTCAGTTCAGTATAGCCACCCACAGTGAGAGGAACTGGAGCCCACATGTACCCACAGAGCCCCACCCTCCCTCTCCCTGTTTGCCACTTTCCCACCGCGGCTTGTTGAGCTGCAGCCCTGGCCCCAGTACACAGAGACACATGTGAACCCCAGCTGATATGGTTACAGCAGTGGAATACTGGCATAGGCTCCCTGTAATGAGCCACTGATCTATGTGTGTGAACATGCATGTGTCAACATATGTGCACGTAGGTTATGTGAGTGTGCAGTTGCCTGTTCTGCTTACTTATATTTGAGTTTATACTCTATATTATAAACTGGGTGGTTCGAGCCCTGGATGCTGATTGGCTGAAAGCCGTGGTATATCAGACCATATACCATGGGTATGACAAAACATTTATTTTTACTGCTCTAATTACGTTGGATAACTAGTTTATAATAGCAATAAGGCACCTCGGGGGTTTGTGATATATGGCCAATATTCCACGGCTACGGGTTGTGTCCTAGCACTCCGCGTTGAGTCGTGCATAAGAACAGCCCTTTGCCGTGGTATATTGGCCATATACCACACCCCCTCGGGCCTTATTGCTTAACCTCTTCATCACTAGGCACCTGGCTAAAGTACCTGCCTCGTAAATGCATGCCCAAATTGAATAGAGTATATCTCCAAAACGACAAGGGCTATAAACATAATCTTGGTAGCAAAAGAAAGGGAACACATGTGAGATGTATCTTTGAAGTGAAATCATTAATGTGGCTATTACTTTGTCAGAGTACATGAAGCTAGAACACAGCATAAATTGGGAGGTTTTGATTCCGCCTGAAAGTAACTTCAGGTTTTATAGGGAATGCTTTATTGGACTTATGCAGCTGCAGCCCCTAAACACTATGGGACCATAGCCCAATATCTGTTGAGTACTTATGTGAAGTTTGATGCCAATAAAGTAAAGTAAACCAAAGTTGTAGGGGTTTTAGTTGAAGTATGTTTAGCCGGATTACCAAATGGAGACATTTGGGTAGATTTGGGCATCATCAGTGCCATTTGACTTTTATCAGGTACCAGACAGCAAGTCATTTAATTTCACGTCATTTAGCAGACGCTCTTATCCAGAGTGACTTACATGAGCAATTAGGGTTAAGTGCCTTGCTCAAGGGCACATCGACAGATTTTTCACCTAGTTGGCTTGGGGATTAGAACCAGCGACCTTGCGGTTACTGGCACAACGCTCTTAACCACTAAGCTACCTGTATATCACTATACAGTTGAAGTCGGAAAGTTTACATACACTTAGGTTGGAGTCATTAAAACTCGTTTTTCAACCACTCCACAAATTTCTTGTTAACAAACTATAGTTTTGTCAAGTCGGTTAGGACATCTACTTTGTGCATGACACAAGTAATTTTTCCAACAATTGTTTACAGACAGATTATTCCACTTGTAATTCACTGTATCACAATTCCAGTGGGTCAGAAATTGACATACACTAAGTTGACTGTGCTTTTAAACAGCTTGGAAAATTCCAGAAAATGATGTCATGGCTTTAGAAGCTTCTGATAGGCTAATTGACATCATTTTAGTCAATTGGAGGTGTACCTGTGGATGTATTTCAAGGCCTACCTTCAAACTCAGTGCCTCTTTGCTTGACATAATTGGAAAATCTAAAGAAATCAGCCAAGACCTCAGAAAAAATGTTCCAAACGCCTGAAGGTACCACGTTCATCTGTACAAACAATAGTACGCAAGTATACACCATGGGACCACGCAGCCGTCATACCGCTCAGGAAGGAGACGCATTCTGTCTCCTAGAGATGAATGTACTTTGGTGCGAAAAGTGCAAATCAATCCCAGAACAACAGCAAAGGACCTTGTGAAGATGCTGGAGGAAACAGGTACAAACGTATCTATATCCACAGTGGAACAAGTCCTATATCGACATAACCTGAAAGGCTGCTCAGCAAGGAAGAAGCCACTGCTCCAAAACCGCCATAAAAAAGCCAGACTACGGTTTGCAACTGCACATGGGGACAAAGATCGTACTTTTTGGAGAAATGTCCTCTGGTCTGATGAAACAACAATAGAACTGTTTGGCCATAATGACCATCGTTATGTTTGGAGGAAAAAGGGGCTGCTTGCAAGCCGAAGAACACCATCCCAACCGTGAAGCACGGGGGTGGCAGCATCATGCTGTTAGGGTGCTTTGCTGCAGGAGGGACTGGTGCACTTCACAAAATAGATGGCATCATGAGGAAGGAAAATTATATGGATATATTGAAGCAACATCTCAAGACATCAGTCAGGAAGTTAAAGCTTGGTCGCAAATGGGTCTTCCAAATGGACAATGACCCCAAGCATACTTCCAAAGTTGTGGCAAAATGGCTTAAGGACAACAAAGTAAATGTATTGGAGTGGCCATCACAAAGCCCTGAACTCAATCCTATAGAAAATGTGTGGGCAGAACTGAAAAAGCGTGTGCGAGCAAGGAGGCCTACAAACCTGACTCAGTTACATCAATTGCTAACACCTCTGTAACTGTATATTTCTTACTAGAGCCTGCCATATTTTTATAAACTTTGCGTTTTCCCTCCGAAATTCAAGTGCTGTTGTGCGCTCTGCGTAACCGTGCGTAATGCAGCAAGTCAACTAATACGATACAATGAGGTGCGCACATGGATATTTCAACAACCGGTTGGTCAATTTTGACATGTGACCTCTCTATCGAAAGTTCTGGATCAGTAGAATTAGATTAGCACAATTACAAGCCACTGGGATTGCATTATATATCCAGAAGATGGTGACAAAACAGTGCCTGTTGTGATTGAAACAAACTACTGACCTCATCTTCAAATACATTCTTGGCCATGTAAAACGATGTAAACTCATTGAAATCGACTCGGAATGAGAGAGAGACACGAGTATCTTTTCAAGTGGTTTTATTCGATCAGACACTACTTTTGGTAACAAAAACAACAAAGGTAAGACGCAGTTTGTTGTTGTGATAAAAAAAAAAGGAAGTTTGTTATTGACGTTCTTTTGATTAATAGTTTAGTGAGTGTTGATCATAGAGGAACAAGGCTACTATTGTTGGAATCTGTGAGGTAGCAGCTTTCGAATGGTTTGTGTAGATAGGTTGAGAAAAATACGTTATCTGTCTACGAATATATGGGCATGCACGGTTTCAAAATACAGTACTGGTTTTGCTATATGCTTATATATTTGCTTGGAGTCTGAATATTTTTTCATTTGGGCAACAACAGTTTAGCTAGATTCACAGTTGAGACGCTTCTCGTTCCAGTAGTGTATAACATTCAGGTATTCACACATGTTTAAAAACTGTACTACGTCATTGTTTGAGATTGCGGGAGGATTACCCCGGATATGGGGAACCTCGGGATGAAGAGGTTAAATATGTAGTAGTGCATTTATATCTATAAGCTTCAGTTTAGTGTACTTTCTATACCATATTTAATTGTGTAAGTTAATGTGCTTTAGGTTACTGTATAGTGTACTTCCAACTCCATTTTGAATTGTGAATGTGCGTGCTGTCTTCCCCCTAGATTCTGGATGAGGTAGAAAAGAGGAGGGCCATCTCTCCAGCCCTGGTGCAGCCCTTCATGAGGGGCATCATGGAGGCTCCGTTCCCCGCCCCGGGGAGAACCATCACTGTGAAGAACTTCCTGCCTGGCTCAGGCACTGAGGTGAGGGGGAATAACGTTACAGAGTAGGGTGGCTAGAGTTGATTCCACCACTGGCCATAGGAGGCGGCCTTCACTTTACTGAAAACGTAATTGACTTGAGGTGTTTATCTAGTATGTTATAAACTTTGGATGTGTGTACATTGTGCTGTATGCAAGTGTGTTTTGTGACTTAGCCCTGTGTGTGATGTGTTGGTTTATGCGTTAGTAGCCTATGTGTGTTGTGTGTGTATCTGCGTCTATGTAAATAACTCTCTATTTCTCTCTCTTTTTCACTCTTCCTCTCTCTCTCTCGCTCTCCCTCTCTCTCCATCTCTCCCAGGTGATAGAGTTGTGTCGTCCGTCTGACTCTCGTCTGGAGCATGTGGACTTTGAATGCCTGTTCTCCTCTCTGTCGCTGCGTCTGCTCCTCAGAGTCTTCGCCTCTCTGCTGCTGGAGCGCAGGGTCATCTTCACCGCTGACAAACTCAGGTGGAACACTACTGTGTGCTCTGTGGCCACTAGTGATGGGGGAAACAATCTATACAGTTACTTTGACTCCAAGTATCGATTTGTAATTATAATTTTTTATTTTTTTGCTAGGTAGCGTTAGCTAGCGCAAGTCGGCTGTACCTGCGCCAAAACGCAGCTATTTTTCATCCTGTAGCTTGTTCTCCATCTTAAAAAAAAAAAAATTGTGAGCAAAGGTCTTTTCAGCACTTGTTTTCCATGACTGATCAAAACTAATTTCCTCTTGTTCTCTCTTGTCTCTCTTCTGCAGACATATACAGAGCAATATGTTTGGAACATCAAAACGCAATAAAATTGCAGTATCGAATCGCAATACATATAGAATTGTGAGAACCACAATACATATCATATCGGCACCTAAGTATCATGATAATATCGTATCGCGTGAGGTCCCTGGCAATTCCCAGCCCTAGTGGTCACGTCCCAAAACAAGCCCTAGCCTTTTTTCGGCCTAGTCTAGTAACTAGGGGCTAAGGCAAGAGGTTAGAGGTTGTTTATGGACTGGGTAATGGGTATGTGTGTCACTCAGTGTCCTCCTACCCAGCCTCAATTAAGCCTCACGCTTTCAGCCACCGTTGTCTTACCAGTACATACTGTCATCTATGGATCAGTACAACTTAGTACTTACTGTATCTAGCTACCTTTTTGTTATACTGTATGAGTAAACCGACTTTAGACCAGTGAGATCAAATCAGGTGAGAGGCAGAAGAGAGAGAACAGGACGTGACAAAGACACACCAGACAGACACAGACAGACGGCTCCTGGAATAGAGACAGAAAGAGAAGAGAGAGTGTTAAGGAAGGAATGCTGTTGTGTTATACAGTCGTCTAGGGAACAATAATTTCTCTCTGGAAATATGTCATGGAAGCCAGATACAGGGTTAGTGTAGAAGTGAAAGCGTTAAGACTGCCGTGTGTGCAACTGATTGAAGCACTAGCATCCACTAGTCACCTGCTATTGACGGGTGCCTTGAGATAGACCCTGGAAATGCTTTATAGTCTTTCTTGGATGTGCATTTCCCTGTGTGTCACTTAGACGGAGTTTACACAGGCAGCCCAATTCTGATATTTTGCCCAAATTACTGGCAAAAGAGTTGATCTGATTGGTTAAAAGCCTAATTAGGGGGGAAATATCAGAATTGGGCTACCTGTGTAAACGCAGCATTAAATGTTTCTGAAAATCTTGTGAATCGTTCCACTGACATTCTTCTACTGTTGCATTGAAATGAGTGGAAACTTGGCCTCACACTCACTGATTTGTTTTTGACTTAATTAAATGAAAACAGACACACACATTGGAGGCATTAAGTTAACAGTGTGGGGTTAGATCATTCGCTCCCGCAATATATTTATAGCGTTAAATCACGCCCCCTAAAAAGATTCACTAACAATTCCTCATACATTAAAGCCATGCTTTAAAAAGTGCAATGTTCAGTTTTATGTTCTAAAACAAGTATTGACAAAGGCTGGAGAAACCACTACTACCACCTTGTGGTAGAATATGGAACTGGATTGAATACAGTACAAAGCATACTGTGATTATATGACGTGGCTATGTGTAGGCTGCCACTACGGTCATATTTTTGCCCGTAGAAGGTTTTTAATGAATGAGATAACAACTTGTTCGGTTCTGGCAGTTGACATCCTATTCTCTCCCTCCCTCTCGCCCCTCTCTCTCTGCAGTACTCTGTCTCAGTGCTGCCATGCGGTGGTGGCTCTACTCTACCCGTTCACCTGGCAGCACACCTACATCCCCGTGCTGCCCCCTTCCATGCTGGACATAGTGTGTACCCCTACCCCCTTCATCGTGGGCCTGCTATCCAGCTCCCTGCCCAGCCTCAAAGAGCTGCCCATCGAGGAGGTGAGACCAGGCCCTTGAGCCCAGCCCACTGTGTGTGTGTGCGTGCGTGCGTGCGAACCTTGACCTCATCTCTTTCCTCAACAAACAATGGTCTCTGTGGGTCTACTCTGAGAAAGAGCTTAGGCTGCCACACTGTCCAGAAATGACATCCCCGCCCTCTGCTCTCTCCTCAGGTCCTGGTGGTTGACCTCGGCAACAGCCGCTTCCTCAGACAGGTATACATCCCTAACAATGGTACCCATAGCAACAGACAATCAACATACTGTATGTCTCTTACATAATTAGCTACACCCATAGATGCAGCTACAGCTCTCTGCTCATGGGACACAGTCGTCATTTCCTCTCACACCTCAATCTTTCCTCTCCAGCTGGATGACGAGGACTCCATCCTGCCTCACAAGTTGCAGGCTGCTCTGGAATATGTTCTGGACAAGAGGAAGGAACTGGCCAGTGAGATGCCCACCAGTGAGTCAGTGCTACTATATGAACACCTCTCGCAGCAGAGTCTTGTTGTGACTGATACAGGCTTGACGAAGGTCTATGATGACTATTGATATATGTTAATTACCGTATGCATACTCATGACCTCTATGTTGAAACTCTCTCTCTCTCCAGACTCAAGCTCCCTCAGCACTATGGTGTCGGAGACATTTGTACGTTTCTTCGTGGAGATGGTGGGCCACTACCCTCTCTTCATGGGCGGGGGGGATCGAGAGGACGAGTCTGGAGCCCCCTCCTCCCCCACCCCATCCTGCTTTCAGCGTGAGGCCTTCCGCAAGGCCGTCACTTCCAAGAGTCTGAAGAGGTTCCTGGAGGTCTTCATGGAGACCCAGATGTTCGCTGGGTTCGTGGCAGAGAGGGAGCAGCGCAGGCAGGGTCTAAGAGGTGTGGAGAGAGGTAGTAGAGGGTTTGAATTCTGTTAGTACCTGGTTGTGGGCACTCCCATAAGATACGTCTGCTTTTGGAGTCTGTATGCCTGTCTGAAATGCATAACTAATAGTTTTATGTGTGTGTTCTCATCATTCTACCTTGTTGTTGTCTGTCCAGGTTTGTTTGAGGTGAGGTCACAAGATTACCTGGACTCTCTCCCAGGTAGCGAACAACGTGGGGTCAACAAGTTCCTCAAGGGTCTAGGTAAGGCCCAGATCCTCTCCCATACAGTGCCTTGCAAAAGTATTCATCCCCCTTGGCGTTTTTCCTATTTGGTTGCATTACAACCTGTAATTTAAATTGATTTTTATTTGGATTTCATGTAATGGACATACACAAAATAGGCAAAATTGGGGAAGTAAAATTTTAAAAAATAACTTGTTTCAATTAATTCTAAAAAAATAAATAACGGAAAAGTGGTGCGTGCATATACAGTGAGGGGAAAAAAGTATTTGATCCCCTGCTGATTTTGTACGTTTGCCCACTGACAAAGACATGATCAGTCTATAATTTTAATAGGTAGGTTTATTTGAACAGTGAGAGACAGAATAACAACAAAAAAATCCAGAAAATGCATGTCAAAAATGTTATAAATTGAAAACGCTATGTCTGGCGCAAACCCAACACCTCTCATCACCCCGAGAACACCATCCCCACAGTGAAGCATGGTGGTGGCAGCATCATGCTGTGGGGATGTTTTTCATCGGCAGGGACTGGGAAACTGGTCAGAATTGAAGGAATGATGGATGGCGCTAAATACAGGGAAATTCTTGAGGGAAACATGTTTGTCTTCCAGAGATTTGAGACTGGGACGGAGGTTCACCTTCCAGCAGGACAATGACCCTAAGCATACTGCAAAAGCAACACTCTAGTGGCTTAAGGGGAACATTTAAATGTCTTGGAATGGTCTAGTCAAAGCCCAGACATCAATCCAATTGAGAATCTGTGGTATGACTTAAAGATTGCTGTACACCAGCGGAACCCATCCAACTTGAAGGAGCTGGAGTCGTTTTGTCTTGAAGAATGGGCAAAAATCCCAGTGGCTAGATGTGCCAAGCTTATAGAGACACATCCCAAGAGACTTGCAGCTATAATTGCTGCAAAAGGTGGCTCTACAAAGTATTGACTTTGGGGGGGTGAATAGTTATGCACGCTCAAGTTTTCAGTTTTTTTGTCTTATTTCTTGTTTTTTCACAATAAAAATATATTTTACATCTTCAAAGTGGTCGGCATGTTGTGTAAATCAAACTATACAAACCCCCATAAAATCCATTTTAATTCCAGGTTGTAAGGCAACAAAATAGGAAAAATGCCAAGGGGGTGAATACTTTCGCAAGCCACTGTACACCCTATCCACTCTAATACCTACATGCATCATATACCAAGTCACTGAATAATAGTTGTTACATTCGTGAAACTACATTCCTCTTCAATGTATGAAAAGGTTGTCACTCACGCCAAAGTTATTTTGATCTGGTTCTGTTGGCTGTTTTTATTTTCAGGAAATAAGATGAAATTCCTGTCCAAGAAATGATGCCTCGGGAGGGGACTCCATGAGCGAGAGTGTGTTCAAATGAGGCAGAGAAGAAAACACTTTGCCTAAAGACGTCTAAGGACCCAAACTCCCTGTTGATAGCATGAAGAAGGGGATTGTGTGGGTGTGTGTCCACAAGCTTATGGACACACATGCTGGGCAAGGACCGAACACTCCTGGCAATATTTGGACTGAACATGAAGGACTTTGGAGTGTGTTGGGGTTTACGAATCGGACCAAAAACATTCATATTGTCCCAGCCCCAAAGACACAGACCCATCAAGGAACGTCATTCTCCATTGAGGTCTTATCATTCCTGGGTGTCTCTCTGTTGCCTCTGTTGTTGAGAGCTTACTTTTGTAAAGCTGTCAGTCTTTATAGTGTACGTTGATGTACTGTATAGCACAGTCAATTTCCATTCCTAGAGTTGGGATAGAATGACTCCACCCACAAACCTGAAAGGCACCAATGAGAACTCCATCGAGGATGTTGCTGGGTGGACCAAAAGACCATTACATTTTGTACAGTACCTTTTAAACATTCCACATATTTCTATTGAGTACAACTTCTTTGTTAACAGGAGGCTTATAAGTTAATTTATACTGTATACTTTTTAGAATAACTTTATCTCTTCCTTTTTCCCTCCTTCAAATGAAAGCAAAAGAATATCATATAGTTTGTGATGGGCTTTATGTAGTCTGTATGGAGGAGGGGTTGTAGACCACTGGGTTACTATTGAGGAAATATACCACTGTGACAGGAGAGTGATCTATAGATTGGAATGGGTGTAAGCCAAAAAAGAGAGGAAACGAGAGAGAAATTATCAGGAAATCATACCTGGATGAAGACAAAGTAGGCCTACAACAAATCGATATGTCATTGTAAAACACCACTAGTTTCGCCTTAAACTTGATTTGAAAATGCAATGAAACTATTAAATAAAGTGATTTTTAATTAAGAAATACAAGGATGTGGGCTCCATTCATGCCTGATTGTTCTTGCTGAGGAAGTAACAGCTATTACAACGTTATAAACTGATTATTAAATCGCTCATAATATTGTTTACATTTCCAACAAATGTACAATGGGTTAATGACTTGATTTTACGATACAAAAGGACAGTATCGTACAATTGAGCGCTTCATTTTTAAGTCATTACCCACATTATCCACTGGAGGGCTCTCTATTACCCATTTCATTCAATACTGACGCTCCAGTTGTTCAGAGTCCTCTCTACCAGTGCTCAATTTATTATGGTTTCTGTAAAGATTAATAGCACAATCGATTCTCCTCGTTAGCTATAAATAAATGAACACTGATATCAAATGAAAAATCATTATTATGAACGAAATATATCAACATATTTTGCCAAAGGACATTACAAGTTTTAAAAACGTATACAGTCTATTTATAGTTTATATAACCTAATATCAATAGTAATTTATATTAGGCTATCACATGTATTACTTGAATAGTGCCCTATAAACAAATAAAATAGCCAAGAGGGGTATTTTAATCTTTATTATAGGGTTATTTCACAACTTCAGATAATTATAAGAGGGCTGATAAGTTTTCGCAGTAGCTCAATAGCTTTGTCCCTTTGTGTGTATTTGTCCCTCTCTGAGGCAATGACAATCCCCGACCTCTGTTTTTCTTGATGTGATTTCCTTTTTCCCTTACCAAGGCTGGCTTTCTTTTCCTTTTCGGAACGCCATCCCCTCCAATTCCCCTCCCTCATTACGTGTTGACCCGTCGGTCCTGCCTCCCTCTTTCCCCTCGTCTTTTTCTCTGCCTTCCAGGCTTCATGTCATACCACAGCTAATTCCTTAAATTCCAGCCCTCCTCGCGCTTCAAACGACTCAGGAAAGGCGAGACAAATAAATATGTTTATTTACAGAAATCTGACCCAAAAATTCCACTTGCGTGCTTGACCCAGCGGTGTTGTCTTTTGCTTGACTTTCAACAGGTACGTTTACAAAATATTCTATCTGTCTCTTTGTTTTGTAAGTGAACATACATCTGTGTTCTTTCATAAACCAATGCCTCTCATAAGTTGCTACCAAACTTTCTGTATCAGAGTTAGACAGGTCAGTTGTAGCCATACTACAGCTGGCTGCCGGTTTCATTGTTTCTAAAACGCTGTATGAGGTAAACATTCTTTACATTTCTGACATGTTTTGTCCAATTCCTAAATTTGTATCCCTGCACTGTACTTCCTGCGTTTCGGCCGGAACTTTTTAAAGGAAACTAATAACGTCATAGGCACGCAGTTAAACGTTAGCGCTCCTCTGGGTGATAGGCTACTGAAATTATAAAAGGAATAGATATAATGTTTACAAAATAGATATTTCAGTTGCATCATTTTAGAGAATATCAGTTGTCAGAAAATCTGAGAATGTTTCCGAAATAATAGACGTGAGTGAATTGTTTTATTATGCCAAATAATACAATAAAAAATACCAGTCTACTATTAATAATAACTATTTCTATGAATTACTTTTACTAATAATAACTACAGCTATTAATACTAATTTAGCACTTGAGCTATATTATCTTCAATAACTATATCTAGAGAGCGATTAAAACAATTACATGTGTATTATTATGTGATTATGATTGTTAATATGTATTTGTTATAGGCTAATGAAAGTAGTTCCCATGATCCTACACGTTAATATGTCTGTGAAAAGTCTGCATACCATACATTTACAGAATGCATGCGTCAACAAAATGTGGTTTACTGTGTATTGTCTGTGCCCAAGCAAAATGCAATTATATTAGGCATACGTTTTATATAGTTTTAAAACGTCCACATTTTCAAACAATTGTATTTCCGACTTGTTTATGATGTAGTGTACTTGTTATGCTGTTTTTGAGTCACCAATCCAACCACTGCTACCTGGCATATGTTGTGCGTAGGCAGTGATGACCGATCAGTACACACACACACACACACACAGGGTTTGGTTTTGTAGTGGAGTCGATAAACTGTGTAGAGTCTAGTCATGGTGGTGCGGACAGGCTGTGTGAGGGAGTATTTTTGGTCCGGGTCCCAGAGCAGGGTTAGAGTGGTGTGTGTGATAGTCCATCCGGGGGCACTCCCCCGGGGCAAGGGAGGGTGTGTTCCACAGGAGCAATAGATGGAATGGGCCAGTGGCATGGAGAGGTAGGGGGCAAGCACACACCTGTTAGGGCACTCTCTTAAAACTACTGTATGACAGCCAAGGGTTAATTAATTTTCTCAACCCTTGCTCACTTCTTAGTTTTTCTGTCTTGGGGTCTCTGAGTGCACTGTCCTAGTCTGTTTTTAATTTACAAACTGTAGCCTACTAATGATGAGAGTGATTGCTAACTTGTCATTCTGTCTCTGTGTGTCAGTGTGTCCATATCATCATGTCTCTGCAATTGATCAAAACTCATAAGCACTGTGTGTGTGTATTTGCGTCTCTTTGGTGTATTTGCGTCTCTTTGTGTGTGTGTGTGTGTGTGTCTCTGTGTGTGTGAGTGAACATTTGTCTGTGTCTGTGAGTATATTGAGCTGCCCTGAGATTGGCCCTGTGCTGAGGAGACTATTATTCAGTGTGCTCATCCCACATAGCGAGCATTCCTCCTCCACTCACACGAGAAAGCAGAATAATGCCTTAGATTTTAGCCCTACAGAACAAAGAAATCCCCTGGCCTCCAAGCCCCAACAACCGGCGTCTACCAACAATCCTCCTCTCTAGTCTCTACATACATATGTCCAATAAGTCATTGGGCTGTATTAGTGTATATGTTTGATGGATCTCTTTGTAGGGTTAATCTTGGATTGAACTCATGCAGACCAGTCTCCCTCTTGACCCTGTACTCTATGTGATTATTATGAGGTATGACTTGAATATACTGTAGCACCCCCGTCTCTCCTGCCCCCCCATCCCCCCTCACCCCTAACCCTCTCTGGCGTTGAGGCCCCCTGCAGCCCCCCTTCAGTCCTACCCACCCCACAACACACTGAGTAGGCAGTGGGCACTGTGCCAGGGGCAAGGGGAAACTGATGCAGCTGTTGCCTCTTATGATTGGGGGTCAAAGGGTGGCGAGGGTGTGGGCAACGCTGCATAGTTTGTATAGGTGTGTGTAGTGTAGTCCTATATGTATTTCTGGTATCTTAAGTGAAAGTATCAGTGTGTGCCTGTGTTTGTGTGTGAGTATGCATCTTTATGAGTGCATATCTTATTTGTTCCATACGTTTATGTGTGTGCATTTTTGTGAAGTACACATACCTGCTTCCTACGTGTGTGTGCGTCTGTGTGTGTGTGCATCTGTGTGTGTGTGCGTGTATGTGAGGGGATCTGCGCCCCCTGAGCGCAGCATCAGCCGGGAGATTATCCCGTTGAGTGGGCCCATGGGAGAGGAGCTGAGATGGGGGAGAGGGGGACTGTGGAAGGGACCACCTGATTTAAGGGGCTTATGTCAATTAACCCTGTTGGACACTTTGGCTGAGGAACCTAACCAGCATTCTAATGGTTTATGCCCCACAGCTCTCTCTACACTAAAACTTTCTCTTTCTTTTTCAGTGTTGGACTATTACATTGTAATTACAGTTGCACTCCAGGTTACTTTGTGAGCAAAGTAAATACATGTACTCTCTTTGAGCACAGCAAAGACCATTTCACCATAGACCCCTGATTTAAACCACAAAGACCATTTCACCATAGACCCCTCATTTTAAACAAAAATACAATTTCACCATAGACCCCTCATTTAAACCACAAAGACCATTTCACCATAGACCCCACATTTAAACCAAAAATACAATTTCACCATAGACCCCTCATTTAAACCACAAATACCATTTCACCATAGACCCCTCATTAAAAAAGTTACTAAGGTTCACCACCAGAGCAAAGAAAGGGGCTCTACAGTCTACGTTTGCCCTCCTCAGTTGTTTTACATAGTGTTGTTAGGTGCATGTGTGTGAGCAGGGTTATCTGGCCAGCTCATTTACAGGAAGCCCATTGGAATGCCAGGGGGCTCAGAGGAAGAGAGGGTGGACTGGCTGGATGGAGATTGTTCCTCACTCAGACGTGACACTCAGTGACTCATCAGGACAACCCCTTCCCTCCTGTTTTTCCCTTTACACCCCTACAGCACACCACCAGGCAGCCCAGATACAACCAGGCAAATCACACATTATCATGACTAACCATGTCAATAGCCTTAAACGTCAATTGGCAACCCAGATTTGCCTCTAGAGGAAAACAAACAATGATAGAGACGGGCCTCACCCAGTGACCAGAGCAGGAAAAACTCCATTTTAATTCCAGGCAACAAAATAAGAATACTTTAGTACGCCACTGTACACCCTATCCACTCTAATACCTACATGCATCATATACCAAGTCACTGAATAATAGTTGTTACATTCGTGAAACTACATTCCTCTTCAATGTATGAAAAGGTTGTCACTCACGCCAAAGTTATTTTGATCTGGTTCTGTTGGCTGTTTTTATTTTCAGGAAATAAGATGAAATTCCTGTCCAAGAAATGATGCCTCGGGAGGGGACTCCATGAGCGAGAGCGTGTTCAAATGAGGCAGAGAACAAAACACTTTGCCTAAAGACGTCTAAGGACCCAAACTCCCTGTTGATAGCATGAAGAAGGGGATTGTGTGGGTGTGTGTCCACGAGCTTATGGCAAGGACCGAACACTCCTGGCAATATTTGGACTGAACATGAAGGACTTTGGAGGGTGTTGGGGTTTAGGAATCGGACCAAAAACATTCATATTGTCCCAGCCCCAAAGACACAGACCCATCAAGGAACGTCGTTCTCCATTGAGGTCTTATCATTCCTGAGTGTCTCTCTGTTGCCTCTATGTTGTTGAGAGCTTACTTATACATTACCCAGAAACCTAATGATCTATTCAGGTCACATGGTCAGCAAAAACTCCTGGCCCACCCTAGTCAATATGTGATCAGTACTGTACATCCAGCTTGAGTGTTAAAGTGTAATTGACTAGATAGAGAGTGCTGATTGAGCCTTAAAATAACCCTGATATGATCTCCTCCTTGATGTGTCTGTCCAAGTCTCTCTCTCTCTCTCTCTCTCTCTCTCTCTCTCTCTCTCTCTCTCTCTCTCTCTCTCTCTCTCTCTCTCTCTCTCTCTCTCTCTCTCTCTCTCTCTATCTATCAATGGTGGTGTGGTGGAGATCCCAGTTGAATGTGTTTCCTGGTCTGTTGGCTTAGTGACTCCTCAGCCCTCTGCCTCGAGGTGCCACGCTGTTTGTTTTCATGGCTCCATAATTTAATTTTGGATCCGAGGTGCTTTTTCCAAGTAGGATTAGCAACTCCCCAGTGATGTGGTCTAAGATCTTATAGCCTACGCACGCACACTGCTCTTCATATGACTGCACTCTGACGTAGCGATCGCTTTTCTAGATAGATCACCTCCTTGGGCTGACATCAAATGATCTGAATATTGTTTGTGGTTTTTGTTTCATCTTAATTGATTGATGTTTGAACCTCTTTGAGGGAGATCTGGCAAGATTTTAGTCACAGACCTCACCTCACCTAAATATTGTGTATTTTGCTTCCTCAGGATCACCCTCCTCTGTCCTGTCCTTGGCCCCTGGAACGCACCCTCTACCCCCTACACCAACCCCCTTCCCCCCTCCTGGGTCTACCCCCCCTGCTCCTCCCACCCCAGCCCTGTCCTGTGGTCCCCCCGGCCCCCCACCACGTCTGCGGAGTGGGTGCCGGCCCCCTCCCCTGGGGGCACCAGTGAGGAGCTGAATGAGCCTCTGGACAAGCCTCTGGAGAACGATGCGGAGGGCGTGTGGAGCCCCGACATCGAGCAGAGCTTCCAGGAGGCCCTGGCCATCTACCCGCCCTGCGGACGCAGGAAGATCATCCTCTCCGATGAGGGAAAGATGTACGGTACGCCCCACCCTTTTCCATCTATTCCCCGGTGTTATGTGACGACTCTGCTGTCCTCTCACTCTTATATGGACACACTGTCTCAGGCGCTGTCCCTTGATGTGCAATATATTTCCTTATTTCTGGTCATATTTGAACGGAGCGCTGTCCCTCACACATTTGTGTGACCTTTATGTACAAATACACATGCACACACCCAATCACTATCTTCATGTTTCAGAGCACTCTTGTTCAAACCACACAGCTGCCCATTTTTTTAATGTAGTTCTGTCCTTGAGCTGTTCTTGTCTATTAATGTTCTGTATTATGTCATGTTTCATGTTTTGTGTGGACCCCAGGAAGAGTAGCTGCTGATTTTGCAACAGCTAATGGGGATCCTAATAAAATGCCAAAATACCAGACCTCTTCCCTCGTGGCTGAGTAGCGTGTGATGGCACGATTGATGTGTACCCTCTCCTCTCCATGTTGCTGCTCCCACTCTGATTGATACTTCACAGAATCTGCTTAACTTCCCTCCCTCTCTTTTAAGTGTTGTAGTCCAATGAAAGTGAAGAACAAAAATGGAGAAGTTATACACTGAGTGTACAAAATATTAGGAACACCTGCTCTTTCCATGACAGACTGAACAGGTGAATCCAGGTGAAAGCTATAATCCCTTATTGATGTCACCTGTTAACACACTTCAATCAGTGTAGATGAAGGGAAGGAGACAGGTTAAAGAAGGATTTTTAAGACTTGAGAATATTGAGACATGGATTGTGTATGTGTGCCATTTATAGAGTGAATGGGCAAGACAAAATATTTTGAACGGGGTATTATAGTAGGTGCCAGGCACACCGGTTTGTGTCAAGAACTAAAACAATGCTGGGTTTTTCCGCTCAACAGTTTTTCCCGTGTGTATCAAGAATGGTCCACCATCCAAAGGACATCCAGCCAAGTTCACACAACTGTGGGAAGGATTGGAGTCAACATGGGCCAGCATCCCTGTGGAACGCTTTCGAAGAATTTAGGCTGTTCTGAGGGCAAAGGGGGGTGCAACTCAATATTAAGAAGGTGTTCCTAATGTTTTGTACACTCAGCGTATGTCGTGATGAGGTCAAATATTTAGGTAAGAAGTGTTTTGTGGCGCAGCGGTCTAAGGCTTGAAGCGTCGCTACAGACCCGGGTTCGATCCCAGGCTGTGTCACAACCGGCCGTGACCGGGAGTCACATAGGGAGCCGCACAATTGGCCCAGCGTCGTCCGGGTTAGGGGAGGGTTTTGGCCGGGGGTGCTTTACTTGGCTCATCGCGCTCTAGCGACTCCTTGTGGTGAGCCGGGCTCCTGCAGGCTGACTTCGGTCGTCAGTTGAACAGTGTTTCCTCCGACACATTGGTGCGGCTGGCTTCCGGGTTAAGCGGGCGGGTGTTAAGGAGCGCGGTTTGGCGGGTCATGTTTCGGAGGACGCATGACTCGACCTTCGCCTCTCCCGAGCCCATTGGGGAGTTGCAGCGATGAGACAAGATCGAAATTGGGGAGAAAAAAAGAGGTGAAATAAAAAAAGGCGTGTTTTGTAGACAAAGAAGGATTGTATTGTCTACCATAAAAATGCTAATAGTATAGAGTGCTTATAGACCCTTCAGAAAGTCATACAATGACTATAGGCCACACTATGTGTTGCTGATAGATGTCTGATAAAATATGGCTTGCTGATACAGTGAGGGAAAAAAGTATTTGATCCCCTGCTGATTTTGTACGTTTGCCCACTGACAATGACATGATTAGTCTATCATTTTAATGGTAGGTTTATTTGAACAGTGAGAGACAGAATAACAACAAAAAAATCCAGAAAAACGCATGTCAAAAATGTTATAAATTGATTTGCATTTTAATGAGGGAAATAAGTATTTGACCCCCTCTCAATCAGAAAGATGTCTGGCTCCCAGGTGTCTTTTATACAGGTAACAAGCTGAGATTAGGAGCACACTATCTCAGCTTGTTACCTGTATAAAAGACACCTGTCCACAGAAGCAATCAATCAATCAGATTCCAAACTCTCCACCATGGCCAAGACCAAAGAGCTCTCCAAGGATGTCAGGGACAAGATTGTAGACCTACACAAGGCTGGAATGGGCTACAAGACCATCGCCAAGCAGCTTGGTGAGAAGGTGACAACAGTTGGTGCGATTATTCGCAAATGGAAGAAACACAAAAGCACTGTTAATCTCCCTCGGCCTGGGGCTCCATGCAAGATCTCTGCTCGTGGAGTTGCAATGATCATGAGAACGGTGAGGAATCAGCCCAGAACTACACGGGAGGATCTTGTCAATGATCTCAAGGCAGCTGGGACCATAGTCATCAAGAAAACAATTGGTAACACACTACGCCGTGAAGGACTGAAATCCTGCAGCGCCCGCAAGGTCCCCCTGCTCAAGAAAGCACATATACAGGCCCGTCTGAAGTTTGCCAATGAACATCTGAATGATTCAGAGGAGAACTGGATGAAAGTGTTGTGATTAGATGAGACCAAAATCGAGCTCTTTGGCATCAACTCAACTCGCCGTGTTTGGAGGAGGAGGAATGTTGCCTATGACCCCAAGAACACCATCCCCACCGTCAAACATGGAGGTGGAAACATTATGCTTTGGGGGTGTTTTTCTGCTAAGGGGACAGGACAACTTCACTGCATCAAAGGGACGATGGACGGGGCCATGTACTGTCAAATCTTGTGTGAGAACCTCCTTCCCTCAGCCAGGGCATTGAAAATGGGTCGTGGATGCGTAATCCAGCATGACAATGACCCAAAACACACGGCCAAGGCAAGAAAGGAGTGGCTCAAGAAGAAGCACATTAAGGTCCTGGAGTGGCGTAGCCAGTCTCCAGACCTTAATTCCATAGAAAATCTGTGGAGAGAGCTGAAGCTTCGAGTTGCCAAATGTCAGCCTCGAAACCTTAATGACTTGGAGAAGATCTGCAAAGAGGAGTGGGACAAAATCCCTCCTGAGATGTGTGCAAACCTGGTGGCCAACTACAAGAACAGTCTGACCTCTGTGATTGCCAACAAGGGTTTTGCCAACAAGTACTAAATCATGTTTTGCAGAGGGGTCAAATACTTATTTCCCTCATTAAATTGCAAACCAATTTATGACATTTTTGACATGCATTTTTCTGGATTTTTTTGTTGTTATTCTGTCTCTCACTGTTCAAATAAACCTACTTTTAAAATTATAGACTGATCATGTCTTTGTCAGTGGGCAAACATACAAAATCAGCAGGGGATCAAATACTTTTTTCCCTCACTGTAGCTCGTCTGCTTGACTGTTTGATAACGGATCCGGATCACCGGTGGTGGAAAAGCGAGGGGCCCAAACAGAATAGATGGTTGTGTGCTTATCAGACGCGGTCTGCCATCGCCCCTGTCACTGCGCCAGCTCCTCTAGCCATTAGCCATTAGCCACACACTAGGCTAGGCTAGCTAGGCCCAGCGAGGTCACAGCCGTCCCCTGATCAACTCTAAACCCTTATAAAGCCTGCAATAATGGGGCAGAGGAGAGAGGGTAGGTGTCACATTCTGTGTCATGGGGAAAAGAGGGGGAGGGAAGGGTGGTGAGGGCTGGGGGTGGGCGCTGAGGTACCCCTTCCTCCCCATGGGGGTCAGGGGCGGGTGATGTGCACCAGGGAGCACGATGGCCCGTTAGGAATGGTATGCGTTTGGAGCCGGGGTTCAAGGCAGCTCTGCTGCAACCCTATACCAGAATAGACGTTTACCCTTTGAGTGGGAGGAATAAATAAACACCAAGGTAGCGGCGGTGTCTTGTGGGGCACTCGCGCTCTGCACCTGTCCCTGTTGTGTGTCTTTATGCCTCCCTCCTCTGTTCCCTGCTATTTCTGTCATTTACCAGCCCCTCATGCACTCTGTCCCCCTTCCACATCCCTCACACACGAACACACACACACCGTAGGCCCTGCCAGAGTCCCCCCTCCAGGTCTGTCCGTCAGTCTGTCAGTGGGTCTGGCTGCCTTTCAGCTAACCTCCAGCTGCTCCCCAAGTTCACCCCAGCCTCGCAGCATCGCGGCCAGCCCAGATTTACAACATGAGACAAGACTAAGCACGTAGCCCCCCCCCTTCCACCCCACCAGCTCTGTCAGGGTCACCGACAGCCCTTTTGACACTTTGCTACAACTCAACTAATTTCAACCTAAAGCTATGTGACTCATTCTCATGTTGAGGTTTTGAACAGAAGTAAATTGTTAGGCTACATTAAGTGAGAGGAAAACCTATGAAAATATGTCTATTTAAGATGTCTATGTAACAAGGTTCCTATAGGGAGAACTCAGGAATGTAGAGTATGTGTTGGATTTCCTCTCTACAACACAGACTGAGGTTCATTTCAGAGGCAACAACGCCATACTAAGATGGCAAACCGTTAATTGGATGGTATGTGTGTGAATCCTCTTCAATCCATTGTAAATTCTTATATTGAGAGGAATGTTTTTGTCTCATATTTCCTCATGCATTCCTGGCATTCTTCTCGTAATAGTCTGCAAAGCGCTGGCCATCATGCCTATTACACATTGAAGTTAGTAGCTCGCCTATTAAGACAGTGTCACGGATATTGTGCCGTTTGTTTGTGCGGCGGTCAGTCATTCAACATGCATTGCCAATGAAAACATTTACTATCTTCCATGGGTCCCTGTTGTGCTAGGCCCCATTGGACTTACGGCCGGTGTGTAAAGTAACAGGGATCCACCGGGTAGAATGGCTTTTCAGAGCCGGGATGACAAATGATGTGTGTTATAAAGGAGGATAGAGGGACAGTTGGATAAGTGCTTTGTCCCAAGGTATAGGATACCCATATAGGCCGTATATGAAGTGGAAATGTGATCATGTTGGCTGTTTATTCACAGTGATTGGATAATCAGACATAACTCTTCTTGTAATCCCTTTTATTATTTACATAATCAAAAATTGTGTCTTGACTTATGCCTAATGCAAAAATAACTGACATTATCATATTTTGTTCAGTCATTATGTTCTTTCACACCTGCTCTCCCTCTATAACACCTATTGTGAAAATCTGTTTTCCCTGTCCTTCATTGCAAGGATTTTATTGCCTATAAACATGTTGATGTGTTTGTCTGTCTTGCGTACAAAGCCAAAGTGCCCTGCAAGCAGAGAGCAGCAGTTTTTTCTGTCAGCTCAACCCTCATTAATAACAGTGTGTGATGTAAAGGAAAGGCCCAATGGAAAGAAATAGTTATCCTCCTCACCCAGGTCCCAACTTTCCCAGTCAAGTGAGAGATTCACTGACAGAAGGCTGTGTGTGGCCAGTAGCCTTTTGATAAAGTGCTTGTGTGTTATGTTTTTTAGTCTTTGCAGCTGAGAGGACACAGAGTTCTCTGTACAGTCATCATATCATTGCTGAGTCTCCACAGTGTGTACTAGGGCAGTGGGGTCACTGTCTCCAGAGAGAGTACTTGAGAAGGAATGGCCAGGTCAGGGGGTTGCGGGGTAGTGAGTGGGTAGTGGCGTGTGTGTGAGGCTGTGAGTGGACACTGGCGGGGGTCACCTGAGCCCCCCTGAGGCTGGGGCGGTGCTCAGGGGGACAGCCCTCACATGGGAGGGTCCTGAGTCTAAACCAGACCCTGGCTGTAACCCTAGCCCCTGTCTTGACCTTCACTCTCACCTGTGATAGGATCCCCTAAGGGACTTTGAAGGAACCATCACTGCCTTTCTGCTAAGGTGCCTCTGGAATTCAGACATGGCTGTCTGCTTGGCTCTGACATGAATCTCATTATAGGGCCCTGATCGAGCGCTCTCTCCCATAAACTTATTCCAAGATCTAACATGACTGGATAAATAAAAGCTATGTAATGGAACCCCTTGCCCTTGCTTACACCTATCCAATGGTGGTAAGTCAGTGATTACTTTTAGGATATATTCAAACGGGAGGAGATGGGGAGAAATTATGTAACCAGTGGAGAGATGCATACTGTACTGTATGGCCAGGATTCACTTCAATCAAATGAAACTGACAGTAAACAGTCAGCTACTGCTGTTACCATGGTAACACCTCTGAATGAATCGCAATGCTATGTGGACGTACCTTTAAATCCTGTTTACATTACAGGGACTGCACGGTATCAGACAGTGTCAATGAGAGAGGGGTGAAATAGCAGAGTGGCTTCAGAGACAGGCCTGTTCGTCGGGAGTCTCCACGCCACTCTGCTCGGCTCACTATCCTATCGGAGGGGAAATCGCACCCTGCCAACACATTCCTGCGGCCTAAATGTGACTGTTGTTCTCGCCCACAGACAGAGAGGCACATGTGCTTGCGGAAGCCGTATGGCTGGAAGACGTGTGTTCAGAGAGGGGCTCGCTGTGTGTGTGTGTGTGCTCCCTGGCTGGCATGGTTGGCGGCCTCCTATCGATCCCATGGATTGCCACTGTTCAGAATAGATAGAGAGTAGATGTAAGAAGCTGAGTCCTCTGTTGTCGTCTGTGCTGGAGTCTGGGTTGGCTAGCCAGCCTGGGATGGCTATGTGCTAAGGTGTGAGTCGATGTCCTCTAGGCAGGGTCATGAGGGTGTGAGTGTTTGTGCACAAGGGTCAAAGGGTGTAGTTGCGTGCACTCACACACACAACCACACACACCCAACCCAGTACGCCTCCATGAGGCAGGTAGCATTAAAGGGAACAGATGCATGGCCGGTGCTGCAGCATGCAGGGCTGTCAGTGTGTTGGTATGTGAGGAATGCTCTGGGGAGGATAGAGCTCAGAGAGCAGGGTCGGCCGTTTAGGGCCAGAGAGGAACCCAGCCTTCTGAGAAGAGGCATATGTATGACAGGGAGGGAGGGGAGGGCTGCACCTTCACGTGACACAGCCTGCAACCATCACCAACCCCTCTGACCTTTCCCTGACCCCAACAAACAGAGCTGGAGGGGGACGGTGGGGAGAGGGTGAGAGGGAAAAGGGGCGAGGGGGAGACCAGCTCTCCCAGATGGTCCCAGAGCCGGACGAGTAGATTATTGTTGTTGTGGTCGGTTACTGACTGCTCTTGAGAACTTACACAGGGTCCTTTGACCTGATCCCAGTCCCTGACGCTTTAACCTTAAACACTGAGAGAGAGCTACACAACTCAAACTGGCCTTGGACCAGTGGTTAAGGACATGCTGTGCCTGCAATGCAATGAGTAGACCGGGGTCAGGTTCTGTCTCTGTCTGTCACCCACTCTGGATCCTTCCCAGTGGACACGATCACACGATGATGACCTCATCATTGTGTGACTGACCGACTCCTTCTGTGATCTCGCACTTGTGTCTGAATATATTTAAATCATACCACCCGTCCATTTCTAGGAGTGGCAGGGACATCTGATATAAAGACCAGCCTCTTAACAGCTCATTAATGACTTGGTGTAATGGTCACAAATACAGTATGCTAATTTTGAATGGACTGGGAGGATGCCATGTGTGTACAGACTTTTTGTGACAGTATGTGAGCATAATGCTGAATCATGGCTCAAATTATTTATAAGCACAATGCCGAAAATCAAGATTCCACTCTCAATGAATGAAAGAGATCAATATCAATAGTTAAGGTGAAAAAAATTGTCAGAACTTTCGTAAGTTATTGAAAATAGTGTAAAAATATGTTTTTTTAAATAAAATTACAAATAAAATATTTAAAAGGTACGGTATCTGGAAGTCTTTCGGAACAACACAGCACTTACAAAGTTAGACGAAGATGGAACATAATGTAGTGGTTTCCTCCAGTACATGTGGAGTGAAGTGTACTGTACTCGCATGTCTGTTACTTTTTAAGAAGCCTACATGTACTTTTACTAACAATGTGCTTTCTAAATGATTAACTACTGGTGGTATCTAGAGTAACTTGCAAGTTGCAACTGAATAATGGGAACTTAATATTAAAGTTGCCTTGTTCATTTGAGGTCAGGAAATAAGAGAAAGCTCTCTGCCTTCACCGTTATACCGTGTAGTCCATCACCTGACAAAACATCTCTACGGCATCCAGAAGTCACCCCAGTGACCTCACAAAAAGTATTCGCCTGCCTTAAGTCAGCGTCTGCAAAGTGCACAAGAAATGTGGTACACGTTTTTAATCCAAAGGGATTAAAGAAATATGTATTTAGATGCTTAAACAATCGGCGAGCGAGTGCACCTTCCGATAAACACTGAACACTTGAGCAGTTCCAGCACAGAAATTAAAATAAGATTGAGGGTGAATGAGTGCCGTGACTGGGCCTTGTGTGGAGGCAGACGGAGACTGAGAGAAGGGTTTAAATCCACAAAAGCCTGACACAAAGGGAGCCCTACAGCTCTGTGTGTGTGTGTGTGCATGTAAGCGCTCGTGTGTGTGAAGAGGTTAGCATCGCCCTTCTTCATTTTCCTCCTTTGTGAACACATGTCTCCACTTACATTTTAGTCATTTAGCAGACGCTCTTATCCAGAGCGACTTACAGTTAGTGAGTGCATACATTTTCATACTGGCCCCCCGGCCCCCCGTGGGAAACGAACCCACAACCTTGGCATTGCAAGCGCCATGCTCTACCAACTGAGCTACACGGGGCCACTTCACAGATAACCATCACCGCCAAATTCACCGCAATACCCTCTGATGCATACAGCTGCTACTTTCATAAGTCAGACGTTTGCCTGCAGTGGACTAGTCCCCTATTAAACTTGAATATTTTGAGAGATTGATTAGTGGAAAGTTATGTCTGAACAAACACAGTCTGCTAGAACCTTATCCCCACCAGTGTGGCTCAGAGGAGGGCTGGAGAAACAATGTTTTGCATTCCACTCGGCGTGTGCGTCCCAAATGGCACCCTATTCCCTATATAGTGCACTACTGTTGACCAGGGCTTGTCAAAAGTGGTGCACTATATAGGGAGTATAGGGTGCCAATTGGGACGCAACCTGAATCTGATCACTTTTATCGCCTGCCAGTGTTCTGGGCTCCTTAGGGTTCGGGTTGCCTTTCCTCAACCCAACCGGGCGTTCTGATTGGTCAGTGGCGTAGGGCATCACTATGTGAGGAAAGTCTTACGCTGGTTGTTCCAGGTTGCGATGTGTGACTGATCTCTGTGTTAATTCACATGGAGATGTGGTGTGAGAACGAAAAATGACAGTGTTTAAGAGGTGGTGCAAACTCTACCAATAGATGGCTGGGTGGCTGGCTGAGTGTGTGTCTGTGCATGCCATAGACGTGCGTCCCATCCCATCAAGTGCGACTGTGCGTGCATGTGCGCGTGTGTGTATGTGCAGGGCCAAGAAGAGAGGTGAGAGGTCACATGACCAAGTCCCTTGCCCTGAAACCATAACCTTGATGGTGGAACAAGCCCAAGATTTACTGCAGGCGTAAAGGCATATTCTATAAACATTGACACACACACCAGCTGCCGAGCAGCCTCTCCAGGCCTCCTTCATCGCTCCCTGTGGCCGTGGCGTGTCTGTTCGGAGCACGGCTGCTATACCCCTTCACCTGCTCAGCCACTGTGACCTGTCTGTCAGCAGCACAGCCCCACAGGACACACAGACCAGGGCAAGCACACACACACACTTGCGCTGTTACACACACGCATGGCCTTAAACATTTACACATACACACATTACACCAATACACACACATACAGGTAACATGAGTACACAAACTCACACACCCCTCCCACCTCTGCAGCTGATTTGCCCAGCCAGGCACGATGAGTTAGCTTCAGTAAACATTTTAATTCCTGCTGGTTAAAACATCCTCATCATCTACAGTACCTTATCATCCCGTATCTTACTGACACCCAGCTTGTTGTATTTAACTGCATTAAACTAGGATTTACACTGTTGGACCATATCACTATGAAAAAATAAACAAAATCAAACTTTGCATCTAAACAAATATCACCTTTTAAACTGGTTAATTTGCATTTTCTTCATGCCATTAAAAATAAAATCTAAATCAATGTCAAAACTAAAATGTATATTGTCTGGCTTACAGGACGGAATGAGCTGATAGCACGGTACATCAAGCTACGCACAGGGAAGACGCGGACAAGAAAGCAGGTGAGTTTCACGTAGCACCAATCCACTCCTGCTCTACATGTTCCGAGCCCTTTCTCCCGAACCATGTGCACCCCTTACACAACCCACCCACCCCATGTCTGTCCAAGCTGTCTGTGCTCCAATCAGAGGCAAAAAAAAAGACAGAGGGAGAAGACCATAGCATAGCCATGACAGGGGGAAGTGATGCTGCCTTCACTCCTAAACTGTCCCCGAGCCCTAGCCCCCTTCTCACGCTGAAATGGGCCTCTGCTGAGTGATTTAGAGGGCCGGGGCCCAATGTGCAGATGCTATAGGATCAGATGACGGTGTGTTTTTTCACCACCTCACGTAGCACATAGCCCAGCCTCGTTAGGAGAGCAAGAAGCCGGCCAATACAGGATCTTTACGGCAGAGAGGACGCTGTATAGGGCTGGATGAGGCAGGGATTTGGAACCCTATCTGGGACAATTTGATATGGAGTGACTGACTGACGTGTTGGCACGGACTGATGTTGCATTACATGGAGAGAGAGGGAGAGGGGTTTCATCTTTGAGCCCTTATGTGATGATGGGATGGGGGTAAAGAGGGAGAGGGGTTGGGGTTGACATTGAGTTGAGGAAGGGTCTAGCAATGGCCAGGGCCAAAGGTATATGGACACCTGCTTGTCGAACATCTCATTCCAAAATCATGGGCATTAATATGGAGTTGGTCCCCCCTTTGCTGCTACAACAATTTACGATTTCCCTTCATTGGAACTAAGGGGCCTAGCCCAACCCATGAAAAACAGCCCCAGATCATTATTCCTCCTACACCAAACTTTATAGTTGGCACTATGCATTCGGGCAGGTAGCGTTCTCCTGGTATCCGTCAAACCCAGATTTGTCCGTCGGACTGCCAGATGGTGAAGCGTGATTCATCACTCCAGAGAACGCATTTCCACTGCTCCAGAGTCCAATGGCGGCGAGCTTTACACCACTCCAGCCGACGCTTTGCATTGTGCATGGTGATCTTAGGCTTGTGTGCGACTGCTCGGCCATGGAAACCCATTTCATGAAGCTCCCGATGAACAGTTCTTGTGCTGACGTTGCTTCCAGAGGCAGTTTGGAAATTCGGTAGTAAGTGTTGCAACCGAGGACAGACGCTATGTGCTTCAGCACTCGGCGGTCCCGTTCTGTGAGCTTGTGTGGCCTACCACTTCGTGGCTGAGCCGTTGTTGCTCCTAAACATTTCCACTTCACAATAACAGCACTTGCAGTTGACTGGGGCAGCTTTAGCAGGGCAGAAAGTTGACAAACTGACTTGTTGGTTAGGTGTCATCCTATGACGGTGCCACGTTGAAAGTCACTGAGCTCTTCAGTACGGGCCATTCTTCTGCCAATGTTTGTCTGTGGAGATTGCATAGCTCCGTGCTCGATTTTATACACCTGTCAGCAACGGGTGTGGCTTAAATAGCTGAATCCACTAATTTGAAGGGGGTGTCCACATACTTTTGTAGTGTAAATCAGTTTGTAAATATGTCATTCTTAATTAGTAAAAAAGCTGAAGAACATACGCACATCCAGGTGCTGACGTTGTAGGTGAGTTCATGGATGCTTGATGAAGACCTAATGGTTGAAACGTAATAATAAAATCACCTGGGAGCATGAGCAGCAGTGTGCAGCGTTTTCCTTTTTATTTTCCATTCTTAATGAGTGCCATGTTGGTACCAAAAGTTTCAAGACAACATTGCACTGTCGTAAGAATGAGAATATTAATATCATTGTTTGTCGGACATTTGGCGTCAACATGGAGATACAGACACATCTACCAAATACCTGATCTCCCTCCCTCCCTCTCCTCCAGGTGTCCAGTCACATCCAGGTGCTAGCGCGACGGAAGGCCCGGGAGATCCAGGTGAAGCTGAAGGTACGCTACGTGAGTCTCCCCCGTTTTTGGATCTTAAACTGTTGCGCTGCATTATGGGTTTGCTCAATATAGTAATGGAATGGGTAGAAAAACAAATCAAACAGGTTCTTGGGTTTACTCCAGAGTGGCGCAGTGGTCTAAGGCACTGCATCGCAATGCTAGCTGTGCCACTAGAGATCCTGGTTCGAGTCCAGGCTCTGTCGCAGCCGGCCGCGACCGGGAGACCCATTGACGGTGCACAATTGGTCCAGCGTCGTCCAAGGTAGGGGAGGGTTTGGCCGGCAGGGATGTGGGTTCGTTTCCCACGGGGGGCCAGTATGAAAAAAACTAAAAAAATAAACATGTATGCATTCACTAACTGTAAGTCGCTCTGGATAAGAGCGTCTGCTAAATGATTAAAATGTACATGTAAATTCTGCAAGATCTACGTGGATCTGCCAATATGGAGGCGCAATTCAACCTTTTACGATTGCATTTAGAACAAAACACATCCAAATTCCAATCCTCCTCACCAATGTATGTCGGGCCACATACCATTGTAGGGACCTTGCTTTCAATGGGAATGTCTCAATGTCTACCATTCTACCCATTCCAATTCTATGACTGCTAAAGCACTAGCTATGCAGGTTATTTGGAGTACCATGCTGTTGGCTGATGTTTTTAAGGTGGGAAGTTAAAATGGAGGGTTGTTGGGGAGGCTGTGGTGGTGCTTGGCTGTAGCCATGATGTTGTTCCTGTAAAACCACAGAGCTGAGATCATCAGGAAAGCTTCCTATGGTCTTCATGTACCTTAACCCATGTTATTGTCTTCTCATTTTGACGTTTGATTCCATGAAAAAATTACGAAATATACCATGGCCTTTATCCATTAATCCGATATGGAATTTCTAATGGATTCCCATTCCTACATTTCAGTGAAAACAATATGGCGAGACAAAACAATGAGAAACCGAGAGAGTGGATTGTATTTAATAGCACCCCCTTCATTTGTATGAGTGTTTTATGGAATGCTCAGTACAGATGATGCATCTCTACAAATCACCACAGTCAATTTAAATATGCTCCAGCATTCCTGGCTTGAGGCTTGCTGTGCACAATATGAACAAATGCATTTGTCAGGATATAAATTAATGTTTGTATTGTTCCTTCCAGGCATTTCATTTGGTAAGTATTTCAATAAAAGTGTTCCTGTTTGGTGGGTGAAAGCTTTTCCCCTGAGCTTGCGTGTTTACGTTTCTCACCACAGACACACACGCATGCATGCAAGCACGCGCCCACACACACGCACACCAACTGACACAGCTCTCTGTCACCCTGGACGGCGGCCACTGGGCCTCAGCTGGCAAGGCCCGGCATTGGTCACAAGCCTCTGACAGCCCTTTTAAATAGGTCTTTCTTGTAACTGAGAACATTACCAGATGTACTCCCCATATTTCAGCTATGCCCTTGTGTTGGCCGGTTCTGGGGAAAAAGAATGTGCCGGTTGGCCTTGCATTAAAGGGTTGGGCTGAGAGTGTTTGTAGTCCCAGATGAGTTGGAAACTGCTGAAGTAAACATGATGGACACGCACAGAACAATAACACTTTACCATAGACACTAGACAGGAATGACTCTGCCGTTTCTGGTAGCCACCGTGTCACCTTCTTATCGTTAACATTTAGCCGTGAACTAGCTTGATTAGCATTAGCATGGAGCTAGCCCTCTGATGTGCCCGGCCCAGCTCCCACTGTGACCTCTAGCAGAGACATAGACTGCTTGTCAACACTTCCGGCCTCTGCCAAGGCAATAAACCTTACTTTCGACTCCAGAGCCCTTGACTGCAATATCACCCAGCATCCCAGCCCAGCGCCGGATGATGCAACCTTTCTTTCACCCCTCTTTTCCCACCCAACTAACAACATAGTGGGGCTAGTGTTCCCAGGAAAACAGGTCGCTGACTAAAGTGGAAAGCGTGTGTGTCTGACCCCTGGGGCCTGCTGTGTGTGTCTGCAGGACCAGGCTGCCAAAGACAAGGCCCTCCAGAGCATGGCCACCATGTCCTCTGCCCAGATCATCTCCGCCACCGCCTTTCAGAACAAGATGGCTCTGCAGGGGCTGTCCAGGCCGCCGTACCCCACTGCCGGGGGGGTGAGAAGAGTGCATGGACAAACACACACACACACCCTGTCCTTGGGCAACACTGAGGGTCACATATAGAAGGAGAGGTGGTGTCATGTAGTGTGTGTAATAAAATATGTTTTCTTTTCTCCAGTTTTGGCATGGCGGTCTTCCAGGACAGCCTAGGGGTCCTGAAGAGTAAGTTACAACCCTGTGTGCGTGCCTGCCTGTCTGTCTGTCCTTCTGTTTGTCAAAAGGCATAGGCCTACTTCAATGGAATACATGGAAATCACAATCCGTCAACACTGAATATGACAGAGAAACATCTTAACATGTTTATTTAAAAAGCACTTTAGTTGATGAAGCTGAGCCCCCAGTGTGTTTAAGCGTCAGCCAATTAGGTGTGTGTGTGTGTGCGAGGGGTCAGGTGGGTGAGGGTGTAATGTGTCTACTGCCTGTCTTGTCTCTCCAGTATTAAGCCCTTTTCCCAGCAGAGTTACGCCATGCAAGCGTCCAGCCTGCCCCCCATAACAGGTGGGTTTTCTCAGCTTCCCTCACATCCCCATGTGTCGACAGATGCTGTCACGGTCTACAAGTGATGAAATACACAAGATACTGATGAAGAGCTCCAACAAAGCTCAGAGAAACAGACAGAATGTAACAACATTTTAAAAAAAACTTATTCTTCACCAGGCTATGAGAGCACGGCAGGCCTGTCCATGTCGCCGGGTACCCCCCCGTGGCAGGGGCGCAGTATCGCCAGCTCCAAGCTTCGCATGCTGGAGTTCTCCGCTTTCCTGGAGCAGCCTCAGGACCCAGAGACCGTGAGTAGTCACTTAGTAGCCCCTCGCCCTGCCTGATAAGCCTCTACATCCATATTCATCTCACGTAGGCTGCGTTGACACAGACAATTAGTGGGAAAAAAATCAGAATTGGGCTGCCTTTTTAAATGCAGCCTTAGTTAATACGACACTGCAAATTAATAAGCAACATTTCAGTTCTCATCAATGTAAAAGAGTGCGACAAAAAGCTTTAAATAAATATCTATGCTCACTTTCATCCAACAAGCCTTTTTCTAAAGGTGTTACTTCCTTCCTCAGGCCATGACTGCATCTTGACCATGAACTGAAGCAGCGCTCTGATAGTAATCAACATCTCTCTCTCCACTTTGTTTTGCAGTTTAACAAGCACCTGTTTGTGCACATCGGTCAGTCCAACCCCACCTTCAGTGACCCTTACCTGGAGGCAGTGGACATCCGGCAGATCTACGACAAGTTCCCTGAGAAGAAGGGAGGGATGAAGGAGTTGTTTGAGAAGGGGCCGCCCAACGCTTTCTTCCTCGTCAAGTTCTGGGTGAGTCAAAGCAGAATCAAAGCGAGGTGTGTGTTAGAGGCCGCATTGTAGTGTGTGAATGTGTGTGTGCATGCAGGTGTGTGTCTGTGTTCGTGTGTGTGTGTGTGTGTGTGTGTGTGTGTGTGTGTGTGTGTGTGTGTGTGTTTTTGTTTAACTATCTTTGTAGGTACCAGATGTCCTTACAAGGATAGTAAAACAAGGAAAATTCAGACAAGTGGGGACAAATTTGCCAGTCCCCACGAGGAAAAATGCTATTTTAGGGTTAGGGTTACAATTAGGGTTAGAATTAAGGTTAGAGGTTACGGTTAGGGTTAGGTTTAGTTTTAGGGTTAGGGGTTAAGGTTAGGCTTAGGGTTAAGGTTAGGGTTAGATTTAGATTTAGATTTAGGGTTAGGGAAAATAGGATTTTGGATGGGAATTAATTATTTGGTCCCCACAAGGATAGCAATACAAAAGTGTGTGTGTGTGTGTGTCTTTCTGCTTTCTGAATAGAATCATATAAAGAGAGGTGAAGCAAAGAATCACTCCAATCACAAAAGGGGAGACTATTTGGTATGGTAAAGGTTTTTGTAGCACCTGTCAGCTGTTAATGACCTAAATGTGTTAAAGGCCCAATGCAGCTGGTTTTATATCAATATCAAATAATTTCTGAGTAACAATGAAGTACTTTACTGTCAGGGCCAGATGAAGAAATCATAGGCCCTGTGTCATTTTTTTTTGTCTGGTACTATATATATATTTTTTTGTCTGGTACTCCTGAGTGGCGCAGTGGTCTAAGGCACTGCATCGCAGTGCTAACTGTGCCACTAGAGATCCTGGTTCGAATCCAGGCTCTGTCGCAGCCGGCCGCGACCGGGAGACTCATGGGCGGCGCACAATTGGCCCAGCGTCGTCTAGGGTAGGGGAGGGAATGGCCGGCAGGGATGTAGCTCAGTTGATAGAGCATGGCGTTTGCAACGCCAGGGTTGTGGGTTCGCTTCCCACGGGGGCCAGTATAAAAAAAAATATGTAATCACTAACTGTAAGTCGCTCTGGATAAGAGCGTCTGCTAAATGACTAAAATGTAATGTAAATGTAAATGTAAATATATATACAGTGAGGGAAAAACGTATTTGATCCCCTGCTGATTTTGTAAGTTTGTACACTGACAAAGAAATGATGAGTCTATCATTTTAATGGTAGGTTTATTTGAACAGTGAGAGACAGAATAACAACAAAAAAATCCAGAAAAAGCATGTCAAAAATGTTATAAATTGATTTGCATTTTAATTAGGGAATTAAGTATTTGACCCCCTCTCAATCAGAAAAATGTCTCGCTCCCAGGTGTTTTTTTAAAAATATATATTTATAAAACAAATTCACCTTTATTTAACCAGGTGTCTTTTATACAGGTAACGAGCTGAGATTAGGAGCACACTCTTAAAGGGAGTGCTCCTAATCTCAGTTTGTTACCTGTATAAAAGACACCTGTCCACAGAAGCAATCCATCAATCAGATTCCAAACTCTCCACCATGGCCAAGACCAAAGAGCTCTCCAAGGATGTCAGGGACAAGATTGTAGAACTACACAAGGCTGGAATGGGCTACAAGACCATCGCCAAGCAGCTTGGTGAGAAGGTGACAACAGTTGGTGTGATTATTCGCAAATGGAGGAAACACAAAATAACTGTCAATCTCCCTCTGCCTGGGGCTCCATGCAAGATCTCACCTTGTGGAGTTGCAATGATCATGAGAACGGTGAGGAATCAGCCCAGAACTACACGGGAGGATCTTGTCAATGATCTCAAGGCAGCTGGGACCATAGTCACCAAGAAAACAATTGGTAACACACTACGCCGTGAAGGACTGAAATCCTGCAGCGCCCACAAGTTCCCCCTGCTCAAGAAAGCACATATACATGCCCGTCTGAAGATTGCCAATGAACATCTGAATGATTCAGAGGAGAACTGGGTGAAAGTGTTGTGGTCAGATGAGACCAAAATGGAGCTCTTTGGCATCAACTCAACTCGCCGTGTTTGGAGGAGGAGGAATGCTGCCTATGACCCCAAGAACACTATCCCCACCGTCAAACATGGAGGTGGAAACATTATGCTTTGGGGGTGTTTTTCTGCTAAGGGCACAGGACAACTTCACCGCATCAAATGGACGATGGATGGGGCCATGTACCGTCAAATCTTGGGTGAGAACCTCCTTCCCTCAGCCAGGGCATTGAAAATGGGTTGTGGATGGGTATTCCAGCATGACCATGACCCAAAACACACGGCCAAGGCAACAAGGAGTGGCTCAAGAAGAAGCACATTAAGGTCCTGGAGTGGCCTAGCCAGTCTCCAGACCTTAATCCATAGAAAATCTGTGGAGGGAGCTGAAGGTTCGAGTTGCCAAACATTCATGACTTGGAGAAGATCTGCAAAGAGGAGTGGGAGAAAATCCCTCCTGAGATGTGTGCAAACCTGGTGGCCAACTACAAGAAACGTCTGACCTCTGTGATTGCCAACAAGGGTTTTGCCACCAAGTACTAAGTCATTTTTGCAGAGGGGTCAAATACTTATTTCCCTCATTTAAAATGCAAATCAATTTATAAAAAATGTTGACATGCGTTTTTCTGGATTTTTGTTTGTTATTCTGTCTCTCACTGTTCAAATACACCTACCATTAAAAAATTACAGACCTCTACATGCTTTGTAAGTAGGAAAACCTGCAAAATCGGCAGTGTATCAAATACTTGTTCTCCCCACTGTATATAGTGGGCTCCAAAATTACTGGCACCCCTGACTCCAATGCACAAACAATACTTTAATTATATTGTTTATATTTTTTATAGAGAAACTCAAAATACCAACACGTGAGAAATACTGTACTTTATTAATGTGTCAATGGAACCAACCAAAATCATACAATTATTTAATACAAAATAAATGTCACCAAAATCAAGGTTTCATCATTATTGGCACTCCTCATTTAGTACTTAGTCCAACCACCTCTGGCAAGGATAACAGCATGGAGTCTTTTCCTGTAATGTTTGACAAGGTTAAGGAACACATTTGGAGGGATTTTGGCCCATTCCTCTATGCAGATCCTTTCAAGATCCTTCACATTCTTGGGTTTGCGCTTATCAACTGCCCTCTTCAACTCAGCCCACAGATTTTCTATTGGATTGAGGTCCGGCGACTGAGATGGCCATGGCAGAACATTGATTTTGTTGTCACAGAACCATTTCTGTGTGGATCTTGAGGTATGTTCTGGGTCATTGTCTTGTTGGAAAGTCCACCTACGGCCAAGTCCCAGCCTTCTACCAGAGGCAACCAGATTGTCAGCCAAAATTGCCTGAGACTTGGTGGAATTCATTATGCCATCAATCTTAACCAGTGCCTCTGGATCTCTGGAATTAAAACAGCCCCAAAACATCACTGACCCACCACCATATTTCACAGTGGGTATGAGGTGCCTCTCCTTGTATGCATCTCTGTTTTGACGCCAAACATGCCAATGCTGTATCTGACCAAAACGTTCAATTTTGGTCTCATCTGACCAGAGCACCTTCTTCCAGTCATAATTTAAATGACGGTTGGCAAACTCCAAGCGCTTGCGTCTGTGTCTTGGGGTCAGAAAGGGCTTTCTTCTGGCAACCCTTCCAAAGAGCCTGTGGTTGTGGAGGTGGCGTTTGATGGTGCTTTTTGAAACCTGGTGACCCAAAGACGCCACCAAGGCCTGCAATTCTTTCATAGTGATACTTGGGGATTTTGTTGCTTCTCTCACCATCCTCCTCCCTATCCTGGGGGGCAAAATGCATTTGCGTCCTCTACCCATGAGGTTTTCAACTGTTCCATATCTTTTTATTTTTTTAAATAATTGCCCTGCAAGTGCTCAGTGGTATATTCAATCGTTTGTGGATCTTCTTGTAGCCATTACCAGATTTATGAAGGTCTACAACCATCTGTCTCGTTTGAACTGCCAGTTCTTTTGTTTTCTTCTTGGTGTTAGATGACAAAGGGATATTGCATGCGTGTTACCTCATTTGTATACCCTAGTGAAACAGGAAGTGATGTAATGGCTCAATATAGTTCCTTTAAGACTTAGATAAACTTCAATAAGTGGAATTTAAATCCTGGTTTAATTTTGGTAGATGTTATTTACAATAATCTTTAAGGGTGCCATTAATTGTGAAACCTTGATTTGGAGGACATTGATTTTTAATTAAATCAATAAATGATTTTGGTGGGTTCCATTGGAACATTAATATAGTACAGTATTTCTCGCATGTTGGTATTTTGAGTTTCTCTATAAAAAATATAAACAATATAATTCAAGTATTGTTTGTGCATTGGAGTCAGGGATGCCAGTAATTTTGGAGCCCACTGTATATATATATATATATATATATATATATATATATATATATATATACATATATATATATATATATATACACAAACAGTATATATTACACAGTATATACAGTAAATATTATACATATATATATATATATATAATATTTACTGTACATGCTGTGTAATATATATACAGTGAGGGGAAAAAAGTATTTGATCCCCTGCTGATTTTGTACGTTTGCCCACTGACAAAGACATGATCAGTCTATAATTTTAATGGTAGGTTTATTTGAACAGTGAGAGACAGAATAACAACAAAACAATCCAGAAAAACGCATGTCAAAAATGTTATAAATTGATTTGCATTTTAATGAGGGAAATAAGTATTTGACCCCTCTGCTAAACATGACTTAGTACTTGGTGGCAAAACCCTTGTTGGCAATCACAGAGGTCAGACATTTCTTGTAGTTGGCCACCAGGTTTGCACACATCTCAGGAGGGATTTTGTTCCACTCCTCTTTGCAGATCTTCTCCAAGTCATTAAGGTTTCGAGGCTGACGTTTGGCAACTCGAACCTTCAGCTCCCTCCACAGATTTTCTATGGGATTAAGGTCTGGAGACTGGCTAGGCCACTCCAGGACCTTAATGTGCTTCTTC